TTTGAATTTTAATGATTATGATCAAATTTCACTTAAAACTTTCCAAATTCGTTTAACTATGTGGACATGGATGTGTTGAAAATTTAAAAATCTCATCGGAAACGTGAAAACAATGGAAATTACAAACTCGATATATTCAATTGACACAAACATGATGATAGGCTCTCCCTTGGAATATTCCTCTTCAATTTTCGTTCCAGTATTTAATTGCCTTTTTTGTGGACACTCTCCACCATTTTTTTCTCCAATACTTTTTTACATCAACCTACGAACACACATGCTTTTATTTCTTGGATACTGTCATAAACAAAATGAGAAGAACATGTCCCTTAATTAACGTAGTGGATGTTTCAGCCTCTGTCCTAATCAAATCCACATATTTACTCTTACTTGTGTTTTGGCTTGAACTCACATTTAATGCGTCTTATTATTACAATACAAAGATGTGTAAACAATTTGAAAGAGTTGCTCGAAGACTTTATTGGGCGTTTATCGGTGTATATTTCTTTGGAGCTAGTATAGGATTTTTAGCATTTACAATATCACGTTCGAATGTTTCCTATTTCTTGACATCCATTACGTTAATATTTGACATTTCCATTCCAATACTTTTCATTATTTTTGGAGGCGTGCTAAGAAGACTCACAACACGCTCGACCGTTTCATTTCCTGTTCTCATTCAAAAACATTTGAAACGAGTTTCCATTATTAGTATCATTTTAGGATGTTATTTGTTACTACTTCCAATGGTGAGAATTTCTGTATTGATATTGAAGAATTTTGTCTATGCATCGAGTGGATACAATGCAATCTCCTCCATTATTGAAGTGACTGTTTCCATCTTGTTCTTTTTCATTCCTTCTGTGGTGACGTTTGGAATCATCATTGCACCTACAAGTATTAGTTTTCTTCACAATGCCATTACTGATAGAAATGCAAAAGCTGGAGCTTTTAAAATGAAATGGAAAGAATTTGAAAAGAACACGGATGGAGCACATGACGAGACGTCTCCATCCATGTTTTATCATGATCATTCTGTGTTTGATGGTGATACAAAAGACCATATTCAATTACAATCTGGTGACACGAGTGTGTATCGAGATGTTTCACTTGGCAATACTCCACCAAATCCTTATACAAGTTATTGAACTAAGCTTCAACAATAATTTTTATTTACAACAGTGTTGACGTGTGAAAATCATCCGTCTTCAAAATTTGATTGTTGCAATCAAACCATGCTGTATCTTTGTGGAAATATCGAAATAATAAAATTGCGAATGGTAAGCATGATGGTTTTTGCATTCCGAAGAAACTAATGGCTAGCACCACTACAATTCATTTCATAATATTCATTCACATCCATTCCGTAATTATTAACGACTTTCCAATCATTCTTACGAGGAACATTTGAGTTTGGTTCATATTTTTCTTTGGCTGTAACCGGCATCATCTTTCCTGGTCGAGGTGGTGGATTTGTCTTGGCAGTCATTGGAGCAACACGAGTTGTTGGAGAAATGAGTGCATAAAGCCTACCGAAGAGTGGGATGCTTCGGAGCGATTTCTCTACAAAACTCAATACAGAAACCACACGATCCGTCAAGAAAAAGACCCAAGGGGAATCTCTATATTCCTCATACATAGGATGAAGAGGCAGCTTTGAAGACATTTTTTAACAACAATTCATCCCGAACATCTACGCGGACTGCGAAGAAGAACGAGTGGAATTGCAGCCACAAAACTAGCACAGAGAGACATTGTGAAAATTAAATAAATCAATATTAAATTGTATTGTTTAATACGAGAGAGAACGTCACGACGTCTTCATCCACAAAATTAATCATCACAGGATTCGTCCAATGATTGATCCATAACGTTGTCATCGCGATGATTCGAGAACGATGGTTGTGTGTCACCAACACGATTCTCATCGGTAGAAAATGAGTAAAAGTAAGAGTCAGGCAACGTGAACCTATCATCATGCCGAGGGACCGAGTCCATGACTTTTCGGTTGTTAAAAAAGTCGAGGACAACATACAAAGAATCGGATGAGGAAAGACCTAATTGAACAAGTGGAATCATAAATGAATTCTCATCCCCAAGTATTTTGCCTTTGTGTACTATTCGTTGTTTTTCGTAAGGAATTTGAAACATTTCAGCTATGGCTGTCTTCAAATCATGCAAAGTTAAATTATGAAAATTATATACACGCATTGTTTGTCCAGTTAACGTCCTAATATTAATAAAAGACAATGTACTGTTACAATTATTTGAGTATTGATTCAAAACATTCATAGGGGAGGTAATGATGGATTGGGAAGAGATGGGAGAGTTGGAAATAAAACTCTTGCAAATGCTGTTGTGACAGGAGGAAGAGGAAACGGAATAAAAGGGAAAAGAACATGTTATGGAATTAGAGGAGGATGAAGATGTTTCAATTTTGATGCTAACAGTATGTACTTGTTTGATCTTTTTGCTAGATCTAGTTTCAAATAATTCTATTGACTCATCCGAAGAATCATCACGTTCTTCATCATCACTGCTCACATTATTGTATTCCATCAAGAGCATGTCATTTTCTTTTTCCGACATGTTTGATGAAAAATTAAAACTTTGTGGTGTATGTGTAATGTGTTGATGATGATATATCATCTGATCTTGTTGATGTTGGTCAATATTTCGTTTTCCTAACGCCGATGATGCAGTGTATAGCCCATTCCTTCCCGACTGTGGTATCGTCAATGATGATGGGCAAATTCTTCGTTTTGATGATGATGATGTCTGTGCTGGGGAGGCTGAACACCACGAAGAGTTCGAAATATTCAATCCAAAGGAAGTGGGATCACCATCACTCATTTTTTTTGATAATAAAGCGTGCCAGGCAAAAGTGGAATATTTTTTGGCGCTCAAAATCAATTATTTATTTGGTGGCCAACGAATATTATCGAAATTCTGAACACCTAACAATTGGGTCAATTCATTTCTCAAATACGTGGGATTTGATTTCCAATGCTCCACCAACTTTTCCTTACAGCAACCAAGTCCCTTTTTAAAGAGTGTTTTGAGAGCGAGTGTGAAATCCAAAAATCGTTTCGATTGAATAATGGTTGGCAAATTGATGAGATGTTCTTTGGAGAGTTTGATTGAGCTGAAAACTTTTCCTTCCAAAATGGCTTTCCCAAAAACTTGTACTTGCTTAGATCCATCATGTTTGAATTCAACATCTTCAATAGGAAGAGTCCAAACTACACCAGTGGAAGATTGATGAATCGTTGGGCGAATGAAACATTTTACACAGTCATCTTGAGCATCGTAGAATGGAGGAGGGGAATCTAATGGGTCTGAATGTTTCACAAAACCACATTTGCTATTTCCAAATCGAGAAATCCAATTAGGTTCCACAGCAGTCACCCCTCTCATGTAAGTCTTGTTTTTTCTACTCTTGGTGAGTTCTGTAAAGATGACATATTCAGGATGTCGACCAAAAAGGCACGAGGAAGGATGAATGAAAACTGGAACACTTCGTCCAAGAGAGAGTGTAACGTAGGGCTTGCTCGTTTCTCGATAACTGACATCCATATGAGCTAAATCCTCAACCGTAGCAAGGCGTGCCACTTGATCCACCATACCAGCACAAATTACTTGACGAATTGCTGTTTCGACTTGAAATTGTTCATCCTCATCATCTTTTGGTTCTGGGAATGGAAGTGGTTGTGGGCGTTGTTGTTTAGTTTGAACTGAAGTATCTGTCTCGTCGTCGTTGTCTTCATTGTTTTCAACTTCAGTTTCATCGCTATCCAACTCGAGGGCAGATACTTTCAATTCAGATTTCACAGTATTCAATAATTGTCGATATAATTTTCTCACTTCTCTCATGTTCTTCTGATGAAGCATGTATTCCATACAAAATTCTTGAGGCTCTTCAGAAAATAAATAAGCACCAACTGCTTTTAACATGGCCAAATGATCGCTCAATGGATGGGACCACAATTTCTTAATTTCTTTACATTTAACTTTCATTTCTTGCTCTTGTTCGTTAAGGTATAGTTCTTCTTCCTTTTTTGCTTCATCGGTCATGGAGTCTTGATCTTCAAAGTTTTCTACTGCTTGTTGTTCCTCAATTTCCTCTCGATCCATAGTGAGCTTTTTGTTAGCGTCCAACACGTCGGATTTCATTCCAAGTCGTTGCAATTTTTCTTTCATTTCTTGCTGTTTTCGTTTTTCAATCTTTTCTTTCAGTATTGTCAAGTGATTGTCATGCATGAATATTTGTTGAACGGTCATCACGCTCACCACACCTGCAACGTATTGCAATAATTCTGTATTCGTTTTGGAGAGAATCAACATTTTAGCAAATCGAGGATGCAGAGGAAATCGATTCATGGCAGTACCCATCTTGGTGATTATGGTTTCGATTGTTCCATCCTTATTCGACAAATATTTATCGAGAGCCCCCAAGTTCACTAACACATCTACACCCTTCTTCACGGATTCAACATCGGGAGGAGTTGGGAAGGGGAATTTCTCAACTTGTTTAATTCCCATGCTCTTCATTTGTAAGATGATATTTTCAATTGGAGCTTTAAGAATGTCAGGTTCTGTGTAATCCAAAAATCTCTGATCGAATACGGCACTGCTAAACATTCGGTAACAATGACCTGGGCCCGTACGTCCAGCACGACCAGCTCTCTGATTGGCACTCGCTTGAGAAGTCCATCCAATTTGGAACTTAAAAATTCCAGTACTCTTCTCGAAATGCTTCTCCTTAATACGACCGCAATCAATCACATACCGAATGTTGGGAATGGTTAAACTTGTTTCTGCAACGTTGGTGGCCACTACGACCAATCGATGTCCTGGAGGAGGGTTGTTAAATACTTTCATTTGCTCTTGAGGTTGAAGCATGGCATATAAGGGTAAGACATGTAATCGTTCTGATTTCTTGTTGCGATTCAGCTTTTGATTGTGCTCTTCACCCTTCTTTTTCAATTTTTCATTGGTGATATTATCTTGAAAAAGAACTACAGTTTCGCTTTTGCCATTCTTTTCTTCTTCTTCGAGTTGTTTGTCGTTTTTCTTGGGCTCTTCTTCAGTAGGTTCTTCGTTCTCCTCATCAAACATGTTATCCTCTTCTTTCAGTCCAACTGATTTTTTGCTTGACGAGAGAGATCCTTCATCTTCATCATCACTGTCACTCAAATCTCCTAATAAATTAATGAGCTCCTCTTCTTCTTGAGCAGTTTTTTCCTTCTCTTCTTCTTGCTGTTTTCTCAACATTTCTTTCTTTTTAATTTGTAGGAATCTCTTATCTGAATATTTTTTCAATCTTTCAACAAGATATTCAATTTCTTTTCGGCCAGTAAGGAAAATTAAAATTCCACCATTTGGCAAATTTTCATGGATTTTCACAGCCTTTTTATATGCTGCTTCCACATAGTCATTGAAAACTGTTCGCTTGTTGAAATGAACAACAACTGGATATTGTCTTGATTGAACGTCTACCACTGGAGGAGCAACTGGAAACAGTTTTGTGTTGTCGGTAAAGCTTTCCAGTTGAAGTGTGGCGCTCATGATGATAAGTTTGAGAGGAGTAATGGGCTTTCCTTCAGGAGTTGTCAACTTTGCTGCAGCCATTCTATTTCTTTGGGGAATGAATCTAGAGAGCCAACCAATGAGGATATCAGTATTGACATTTCTTTCGTGGATTTCGTCGAGAGCAATGACAGAGTAATTGAGGAGTAAAGGATCCGACTGAATTTCTCTCATTAAAATACCATCTGTCATGAACTTGATCTTTGTTTTCTCTGTGCTCACGTTCTTATCAAAACGAACTTGGTATGCAACTTCTTCACCAAAAACTACATTCAATTCTTCTGCTACACGTTTGGCAGTGCTTACTGCAGCAACTCTTCTTGGTTGGGTGACACCAATAATTCCTGGAAATCCAGATTCTACACAACCATATCCATATTCGTAAAGAAATTGTGGAATTTGTGTAGTTTTACCAGAACCTGTCTCACCCTTCACAATGGTAATTTCATTATCATTAATTGTTTCCATAATTCTTTGTTCCTCTCCACATATTGGAAGTAGCATTCTCTGATCTTGAATTTCTGGTTTTCTATTCACTGTGACATAAAATCTTGTGTATCTAACTTCTTTTTCCTCATCAGTTTTAGAATTGTCTAATTTTTCTAGCATGTCATCAATAAGTTCATCATATGTTTTACCCATAACTTCAAAATCGATTCCTTTCGTTGGATCATCGTCGCTGTCATAAAACAAAGATTCTTTTTCTTCTTCCTTTTTCTTTGCCTCTTCTTGAACTTTCTTTGAAACCGCTTGAGGAATATTGCTAACTACGTTTCCAGTGCCAAAGAAATCCAAAACCATCAATGGCTTCTTTTCTTCTTGAGGACGGTTTAATGTTTCTGTATTTTGATTCTCTCCCTCCGTGTTCTCTTGAAGCTGTGTTGGAGCTACGTAAATTTCCATCTCATCAGAATCTTCATTCACTAATTGCATTCCTTCCTCGTTCCATCGTTCTTGAACCAATTCAGGATTTCTCTTTTTCCAAAACTTGTCAGCCTTGGGTGCTGCATTTTCTTTAATTCCAAGTTTTTCATAAATTGCTAATTTTTCAAGTTCTTGTTTTGTTGTTTCAGAACCAGTTCCCAGTTGTCGTGTTGGTTTCAAGACTTTGAGTTGATCGTCTTGCAATGTATGTTTTTTATGAGACTCTATCAGCTGTTGTCTCATCGCTTCTTTGGCCTTCTTCTCTTCAACTTTTTTCTTTTTTCGTTCTTCACTCTTTTGTTTTCTTCTACTTTTTTGAGGAAGGGATTTTACTCTTTTCTGTTTCGAATGATCTGTAGTTGTCGGAGTTGATGATGGAGCATTACTATCCGCAAAATGAGGATCAAAAGGAAGTTGTTTTTGTAAATCTTTAGACAGAACTACCTCTTCTGATGATGGTTCGCTAGTAGTATTTAAAAGTTTTGTTGAATCCTTTACATTGTTGTTCACCGTTGCTTGTTTCGAATTGTTTGCATTATTGGTGCTTGATGTTTCCTTGACCTTTTTTACAGGTCTTTCCGATGACAAAATTGATGATTCCAACGACGGTAATATTAAATTTGAGCTTTTCTTTTGTGTATCATCTTCGGAATGTGTTCTCTTCTTTGCTTGGCTCTTCTTCATTTTTTTTGAATTCGGTTGTTGCGTTTTCTGTTGAAAGAGACGCGTTGTGCAAGAGACATTAAAGTAGTGTAATCGAAGGAATTTCACTTTTATTACAAAGGGAAATCTTAGTTTGTTGTGTTTTCAAAATTATTGGTGTTTTTTGTTGTGCAATCACTACTGATAAGGTGATCTTAGTATTTACAAGAACCTAGAGGACAATGTAGTGTTGATTGAGAATTAGAGATCGCTTTCATCCATCATCGAATTGTGTAAGGCCTCTTCAAAGTCCAAGAAGTCTCTAAAGTTAATCGAATTCAAATCCATAGAGCCTCGCGAAACGGTGCTTGTACTAAGGAGCGAAGATACTGATGGTTCTTTGAGAGCTTTCTTTGGCTGTTTAAATTCTGGGCTAGCCTCTTCTAACTTCTTGCAAAGCATTGAAGCATACATGTTCGAAGGGATCTCATCACCAAACACAAATCCAATGTCTGTGAGGTTATTGTTGAGGCATTCATGGAAGAGATTCTTTTTGGTTTCTCTCTTTCTTCGTTCGTCGCCCAGCTTGAATTCATAAATCTTATTGTGCCACGATTTACCATCGCCACCTCCGAAAATGACCATACTTGTTTTGTATAATACAGCTGATAGACCATAGCAACCTGGTGCAGTATTAGCTTCGTTGCAACCTCCGATGGTTTCAATGAGCGTCCATTTCATACAAGTGGTATCACATTCATAGACATCGGTGAGCCAATTCGAACCATCTCCACCTGCGAAAATGTAAATCTTTTGGTCGAATACTACACTCACATGACCAGCTCGTCCAGCGTTCACTTCACCAATATACGACAGTTTTCTCCATCTGTTGGTAGGTATATCATATTCGTGTAAATCATTAAGCCTTTGCTTTCCATCTCCTCCACCAATCACAATTAGTTTATCACCAACCAAATTGCAGGTATGAGAATCTCTGCTTTGAGGAGGTAAGCCTTGAGTTTCAACTCTTGTCCAGTATCCAGTGATAAAATCGAAACAATAAAGGCAATTAAGGGTTCGTCGTCCATTCCAGCCTCCAAAGACGAACATCTTGTCTTTGTATACATTGGCTGAATGTCCTGCTCTTCCACTGGGCACTTGTCCTTTTGGGTCTACCTTTTTCCAAGTTTCTGTCTTGATATCAAACATGTACATATCATTGAGCCAGTTAAATCCTAATTTAGGAGTTTGTTAACAAAGGAAAAATACCTCAACCACACACTCCACTTACCATCACCACCACCAAAGATGACCATGTAGTGTTTGTACAGTACTGCTGAATGGCAATCTCGTTCCGAAGGCACTTCTCCTTTGTTTTCAATTTCTCGCCACACTCTCTTTTCTGCAGTGAAAGAATATTGTAACAGGAACGAATATTAAAGTATTTGAAATTTGTTGAATATGAAAAAGTTGAAACAGTTAAATCGAAAAACATACCTAAATTAAAGGCAAATGTGTCCTTCATTCGTTCCTTTCCGTTGTAACCTCCGTTGAGGTACATGGTATCTTCGTACACGACGCATCTATGACCGTATCGTCCACATGGACCTCCAATTGGACTCTCCTTGTACCATTCTAATGTTTGGAGAGATATGATGATGACGAGTTTTCATGAACAATCAAACCACTTACTTTGCTCTGTTACAATTGCTTTATGAACCATCTTGATGTTGTTTTTGATTAGTGTTGTTTGTCTGTTATCAAAGTGATGAACGGGTTGATGAGCCTTGTTGTAAGTATGAGGCTTGTGTTGTTGTTGTTGTTGTAATGGAAGGAGTTGCTTCAGTTGAGTGTGATTCAAGTTGAGGCTTATGTTGTTTGAAATTAATACTCTTTATGGACTTGAATGAGAGTGTATTTGGAATGCAACAACTCGTTGTACTAATGCTGAGAGTAATTGTTGTTGTACGAGTAGTGTCTCTCCCAGAGAGGGTTGTGTATTATGTTTTTTTTGTGTATTAATAAAATGTTATTTGATGGCTTGGCCGCGCCTTTTATTTTCACCCTTTTTCACTTTGTAGTTTTTCTTCGCATGAACACCAGCAACTAACGCACCCATCATGGCAGTTACATCAAGCCAAGGCATCAACAGAAAGCCTCATCCATCCATACTCGCGCCTTCACCTCATACAATGCTACTACATCCTGACAGTGAGTTATTTGTCGTGTTTTACCACTATTGATCATGATTCTTTACATTTTCAGTTGTTCCCGTTTGGGATGTATGAGGACGAAGTAATATATAAAAGATTCGGAAAGGATTTGAAAGGAAAAACGCCAGTCAAGTCAAAGGTTCCTCTCCATTTGCCAAAGAACAATACGTTAGAAAGTGCTCGGAAGTAGCGATGGTGGTTGCACGACTTTTATGTCTTCTCAGTTTATTTGTTCATTTCTGGCTCAATAGTGTACTGTAAATCATTCAACAAAGAGAATGCTCAAATTAACAGAACGGCTTACAATGTTGTATAAAAAGATTCTTCTCTCACTATTGACAACTTTACAAGACATCAAGTTAATACACATCAAGCATGAGAGGTGATGTGAATATAAAATTTGGAATTGTGAAATGATTTTTGTAAGGTATGAAACGGTGTTCGCTGACCATCAATGTGATGAGTTGATTAGTTAACGCACCTAAATAAAATCTCATTGGGTAGCTCAGGATCAAAAAGAGGGAAAACAACAATTTGAACAAATTAGTATCAAGACTCCAAAATATTACAACTGTCATAAAAAGTAATGAAGAATTCCATCTAAATAAAATAAAAATCCTTTTACGAAGGAAGATCAACATTGGCTACAATCATTGATTTGTGTCCTTACAGAAAAAGTTGTGATCATGATTAAGGGTCGTTGAAACGATGAATAACATTTTTGCTTTCAAACCATCAAGGATGTTTCTTGTCATTGAGATGACTATCTTGACAAATATATACACTGTTGACAGCATGTAGGATCATTCACGCCCAATTGTCGTTGCTTCTTTTTGAAGACCAACGAATTGTTACGAACAACTAAATTAAAAAATGCACGGAAGACCAAGAAATCAAACCATTGACGAGAAGAAGAAACAAATTTTGAAGGAAAAGATTGAAGTATTTTCTGCTCTCCGAAGCGATCTACTCAAGAACAAACACAACAAGATTTTTTCCTATGATGCTCTTTCTAAAATCGAGAAAGCTCTCTACATTGCTCCCGAGTTTTATACATTGTGGAATTATAGGAAGGAAATTATTACTCATCTCACTGAAGAGAATGAAGAAATTAAAAATTCGGCTGAAAAGAAAAAGGAAATATATGAAGGAGAATTACAGTTAACTCAAACCGTTCTCAGCAAGCATCATATCAAGTCCTATGCTACGTGGCATCATCGTTGCTGGATTATGCAAAAGCTTGATGCTACCTATTGGGAGAACGATCTCAAATTGACTTCACAGCTACTGAGTTATGACAATCGTAACTGTACGTACAATCCCTATGATATTCATCAAACAATAATAATTAATATCACATTATTTTGATCACGTGCACGAACATTGATCCTAAATATTGTAATGTCACATGACTAAATTCATCAGTTCATTGTTGGAATTATAGAAGATTTATCTTACACTTGCTTGACAGAAAACCATCTGCGGAATTGGAATATTTGTATGGCATGTTAGATGATGTACAGAATTATTCTGCATGGCACAATAGATCTTCACTCCTCGTTGAGTACTCTCAAAAGGAAGCAATACCATTCACTGATGTTGTGAACCAGGAATATGATTTATGTACAAATGCCTTCTACACTGAACCTTCCAATCAGAGTGCTTGGATATACCACCGTTGGTTGCTCTCTTCACGTATGTCATCATTTTTTCAATCACGATTTACATAATTTATGACACACTACGATAATTGGAACTTTTTCATTGTACCTGATTTATTCTATATCAATGGACGTTACTCACAACACATTGCGATTATTTATTTTTGATTTATTTGGGAAATATTTCATCAACCTCATTCAGCTGAGGGCAAAACTTTGAGATCCAAGGACCTTGAAACATGCAATGAATTGTTAGACATGATGACCGATTTGAAGAATCCTAAAGACGAAAAATGTAAGTAGTTTTGCCTAGCTCATTTTCAGCATTTCTTACGTTGTTATTCAGGGTGTCTCGTTACCATTGTCTTGAACATGTTGGAAGAGCCAATTCTTGAAGAGGCTGAAAAAGAAACTGTCATCACTCATCTCAACAAACTGGTTCAATTAGATCCAACACATAAAGGATACTATAATGATATTCGTAAGTTTACAACTTGACGTTCTCAGCTCTCAACAATACCTTTCGTTTCAACATTGAAAATGTTAGGTAGCGACTTTTTGCTGAAACATTATTCAAACAGAGACCATCTTGAGAAACTTGTTATCAACTCCATGCAAATATCAAGAATGCACATTCTTAACACCTTACCAGAAATTTTTGCACAACTCAAACACATCGACCTATCAAACAACAATATCATTTCAATCCCAACTTTAAAATTAGAAAACTTGGAAGAGTTGGTATTGGATGATAACAAGATTAGATTCCTCGAAGGACTTGCTCATTTGAAAAAACTCACCAAGCTCTCCTTAAATAATAATGCAATTGCCAAAATTCCAAACGTCCTTGTTAGTTCAACTGTTTCACAACTATTTTTGAATGGAAACCCTGTTGTCAACACACAGTCGCTCGAACAAAACAAATCAGTGGCATTCCCATCCCTTTCTCAGCTGCAACAATAATAAAAATTAGTTGGTGGTGTATTATGCTGCAACAATAATAAAAATTCAAAATTATTCGCTGTTTCCTTCAAAAACAAGCAAAAAAAATGTTACAAAATCGCAAAGAACGAGTTGAAGAATCAGACTCTGAGGAGTATGAAAGCGAAGAAGTTGAACAACAAGAGGAGGAAGACGAGGAGACTGTAAAAAAACGTGATCCCTCTTTCCGAAGACAACTACGAGCCAATTATATCGATTTGATTTCTCGAACAAGTGAAAAGGCCGAAGAAATTTGCGAGCCAGGATCACATGAACTTTTACACATCCTCGGAAAAGGAGACAAGTACCAGGAAGACATTTACCACGCACGTGAAGGTGCTCTAGACGCTGCTTGGTTTGCTCAGAGCACGAAGTGTGGTTTAGAACAAGCAACAAGATTAAACTTTGGAAAAGAATGGGATCCTATTGAATTAATCACAAAACTAAGTTCAAAATATCCATCATCAAACCAATCAAATGTTATTACATCAGCCGAATTGGAATTTATTCCTATTGAATTGGATTGGAACAAGATTGGAGAGTCTGTTTCAGGTTTATTCCGAAGAACACCCACCATCACATTCATGAACGGCCCTATTAAAGTTGAAAGAAAAGAAAAGAAGAGGAAAGAACGTCCAAAGAAATCAAAAGATGATATTGTAGAAGAAAAAGAAGCAGAAGAAATGACCGATGTAACAAAACAAGATGCAACCACAAAAGAAGTTCAAAATTTGTACAAAAAACTCAAAAGCCAGACAAAGAAGAGAAAGAAAGAACATACTGATGAACATTTGTCTGTGTTAGAAGTTCTTGTAGATCCAAACTCATTCACAAAAACGATCGAAAACTTTTTCTACTTCTCATTTCTGGTGAAAGAAGGAAAAGCCAGTTTTGAGTTGCATCAAAATGAGCTACAGACATGTATTCTACGTGACGACGAAACCAATGACAGCACTCGAAATCAGAGTGTCCTAAGTCTCAACCTCAACATGTACAATCAATTAGTGCAGCAAAGAGCAAAAGCATTGCAGCAACAATCCAATGGTGCATCTTCGAGTCCGCATGCAGGCAATGACAGAACAGCACAAGAAGATGGAGAAGAAGAGTAGAGCACCAGCTTCATGTTTTTCACCCATGAATGATGATTTCTATTTTTTGAAGAAACAAACAATACAAGTCCACATTGCGCTCTAAAGTACTTTTTTCTTCGCCATTGTAATCATGAAAATGTAGTTGACTACATTATTCTGAAAAATTTTGTTGAAAAAAAATATCGCCACAAACGTACGTAACTTTCCCTATCTCATTTCGGCATTAATCTTGCTTTCTTCTTCTTACATCTACTTAGTACACAATGAAGACTCTCAACGCAAACGAGTTCGTGAAGGTGCCAAAGGGTGTTACCATCACCGCCAAGGCCAGACGTGTTGTTGTTACTGGTCCAAGAGGAACCTTGTCCAGATCTTTCCAACATGCTCAACTTGACATTTTCGTTGAAGCACCAACTGAAGAAACTCCATACACCAGAGTTATTGTGCAAAAGTTCCACGGAAACAGAAGAGAAAACTCTCTCGTCAGAACTGTTGCTTCACACATCCAAAACATGATTGTTGGTGTTACCAAGGGATTCAAGTACAAGATGAGATTTGTTTATGCTCACTTCCCTGTCAACTGCAAGATCAGTGATGACAAGAAGAATATTGAAATCAGAAACTTCTTGGGTGAAAAGAGAGTTCGTAAGGTCGATATGAGAGATGGTGTTACCGTTGATGTTACTGGTCAAAAGGACGAAATCATGATCCAAGGTAACGATTTGGAGAATGTCTCAGAGTCTGCTGCTGCTATTCACATCGCTACTCTCGTCAGAAACAAGGATATTCGTAAGTTCTTGGACGGTATCTACGTCAGCGAGAAGGGCTTCATAGAAGAAGAAGTTGAATATCAATACTAAATAAATTAAAAAAATTTATCTTTATGTAAGGCTTCGTTGAGTCAATTTGTAATTTGAAGAGTGTTGTTCTTGTGACTTTAATAACATCACGGAGCGAAAAGAGATAGATGCAAAACAAAATTTGGCGCCCTTTTAAAAACTACAGTTTTGTCGGTTAGGAGTTTCATATGAAAAAATATGCAAGCAGTGTTTCATTCATTTCAACAGGAACCAAAGCCTGTCAATAATAACACCACAAAGAAGACCAAGTACAGAGATCCCTTTAGCGAAACTGGAGGAGGTACAACTCAAACAAATGCTGGCTTCGGTAACATCATGTACGATCGGAGAGTGTACAGAGGCAATACCTATGCACAACAAGTAATACCACAAAATCAACAACTAGAATTGGAGCTTGAAAGAAAGAAGGAAGAACATAGGAACAAGAGAAAATTATTAGAAGCTAAACAAAGACAAGAAAAGGCCCTTGCAGAACAATTACTGGCGGAAAGAAATCTCGAACCGGTAGAGGGTAGAAAACATATTGATATTCAAACAATGACTTACGTGGAAGAAATTGACGAGACTGATGTCTGGACACAGACGGATCCTTTTCAAGATAGACCCGAGTCACCGGTGTTCATTCCCTCAAAAACAGGTGTGGACATGGGTGTTCAAGTTGAGGATGATTTATTTGATTTTGATTTTGAAGTTGCACCAATTCTGGAGGTGATTGTGGGAAAAACATTAGAGCAATCCATGTTAGAGGTTTTAGAAGAGGAAGAGATGGAAGCGCTCAGACAACAAAAGAAAGAGTTTGCACAAAAGCGAAATGCAGAACTGGCAGAAACACAAAGGTTGGAAGCTGCAGAAAAAAGAAGGTTCGAGGAAAAAGAGCGTCGTAAGGAGCAAGAACGACAGAGGTTGCAACGCGAACAAGAATGCAGGCGGAAACTTGCAAGTAGGCAATTTGCAAATCAATACCTCGAAAATTTGGACCTCAACGTGTTTACAACCCTTCAAGAGGAAGGCTTCTTTTACGACATTGTACATAGACAAGTGGAACAAGAATTTATGCCATTCTTGATACAACTCACTAACCAAGAGTTGGACAAGAAGCGACAAGCAAGAGTTGAAGTTGATAATATCATCAAGATGAGTATCAGGAAACTGTTGAAATCCAATTAGGGTTGCATTTGTCACATAACTCAACTTCTTTTACGCTAGGCATGTAGAATACACCTTTTATTTAAATATCCATAGTATTGTTGATTTGAATTTTGTCGTTGTTAATTTGGATAGGATTTGAAGGGTCGAAGGCAGGCATTCCCAAGTAAGGACATGTTGAGCAACGGAATGCATCTCCCTTATAACAATTTCCACAAGAGCTCACATGTTGTTCAGTAGATGATGGAATTTCTCCTTCTTTTCTACCACATGTGCAATTCTTACATGCTTTTTTGGAGCTTCCAACTCCAGTACCACAATCATCAAATGAATTTGCAGCGTTGTTTAAATCTTCGTCTTCTAGCAAGTCATCATCATTCATAATGTCATCCTCTTCAAGGTTGCTGACAGTCCAAGTTTTGAATGATTTCTGTTGTGGTTGCGAGGATTGAGTGGTCAGGTTATTGGCTTGTTTTTCCTTCGTAGCGAGAGAAAAACTAGTTCCCATGTCCCATGAGGCCTTTTCAGCTTTTACTACCTTTTGGTTATTGTCAACAACAATGTTTAAAAATCCACCCATCATCAAATTTTCTTCTGAGTTGTTAGTTTGGGACAACATCACAAGTCCGCCCTTCTTTAATACTCGGAGACATTCCATAATAAATTGTTCAGTTTGAATCTTTGAGTCCAAGTTAATAACAGCATCGTATGAGTCATTTTCGTATGGAATCACTTTAGAAATATCACATTTTGTCAATTGAGAATTACTATCATCAAATCCGTTCGATTTCAAGATGTTCTTTGCGGATTCGAAGGACTTTTCCATTTCTTCTGAAGAAAAATTAACAATCACCAACACTTGTTTTGAAATGGTCATTTCTATTGTTGATCGGAAGCTGATGCTAGTTAGATGATGAGAAGCTCAAGGTGCGCAAAGCGGACGAGCAGAGAGTCGAGAATTTTTTTTGAGATTTGAATTGTTGGCTAATTTTATTCCACCAAATGCGCATTGAGGTGCGGACAAATAAAAAGTGTTGAATCTTTCCCATTCAATTGAATCGGCCAAACATCTAAGGATCACCAATGGAACTAACGAATGCCGAGTCGCTTGTAACCTCATTTCAACAAAGGAGGTCATTGGAATGGCTGGGGTACCTCAAACAATGAAAGGTAAGAATATTTTTCTTGATTTTGGAAGCTTGTCTTTAAATTTTTGTTGATACCAATCATGGGTCTCAAAGGAGTGATAGGAAAGGTTGAGAGTGGTAAATGAAAAGCAAAATCTGAGTGATGATCGGTCATTTGTAAAATTGTATTCCATGAGTGAAATTGATTTTTCATCAAACAATGACTCTAATAAATACATCCGTTCGAACCACTTACAACATTGGAAATTGTGAAAAACCAATCATCAAATTCAGTGAAAAATACATAAGTATTTCTGTAAAATAATGAGGGCAGTATAAATATTCGAAAAGATCTCCTCTTGGGATTTGATATCCAATTTCAGGGTTTTTGTTCTTGATGCGAGCTAGAGAATAGAGAATGGCATGACATTTGTATTGATGAAAACTATCCACAGTAAGAACGAAATGCATTAGTTCATGAGCACCAAATCACACAATTGTGCAAACATACCAGCTCCACAAAAATAGTATCACTCCAGCCATCACCATTGCTATTTGTATCATGTCGTTTCCATAAGAACTGTTATGACCTTCAAAACTATTTGATTCAATGATCAACAAAGAGGAAACGCATAAACTTAAAGGAGCACAAATATAATATGAAACTCCACTCAAGAACAAGAAAGGTCCAACCAATCTTGCTGGGTGAGTCCATGGTTGAAAGAAAAAAACCTCAACACATCTTTTCAATAAATGAATTTCATAGAGCAGAATCATCACGATCATGCAGTTGATCGTTCCAAAATTACGATTATTAAAATTTCCATTTTTGTTCTCAGAATTATTGCGAAGAAAATAATAAATAAATATATAAATTAAACTAAGAGTATTGAAAAATAATCCAATGGAATAAATACATCTCCAATGAAGCTTCTCAGTGATGAGAGGTTGTAAGAGAGTTGAAATTACTTTCTGAACGAGATTTTTCTTTCGTTCTGAACTTTGATTTTCAATGGTCGGAGAGAATCTTCCATATTGCAATATGTGATGAAAAAAGTTATTGAAGAATCGGAGCGAATACAATCCAATACCAGCAATCCAATAGATATTCAGTCCATAATAAAGCATGCTCATCATCATGTTTCAATATTTTTTCAATCTGTTTGCCTCTAGAAAATGACGGCATACCATTCATAGAATGTTAATCTTCATGCTCATGCATGTAAAATAGTAATTCCTCTTCATCTGAAGTTGGTTCTTGGTAGTGGCATCGTTGTACATGTCTTTTTGGGCGAGATTTCACCAATGAATAATTATCGTTGAGCTCTTCTGAATCGGTGAAATCAGAGTCCTCACTTTGATTTTCATCAAACTCTGATTCCTCCTCTTCATGATAGTCGTCATCTTCATCATCAGCTTTCTTTTTCGATGGTGGTTTCTTGGATTTTCTCGTCTTGCTTTGTTGTAATGCTGTTGTGGAGCAGTTTGTTTCTTTCTTTCGTGTTTTACAGCTCTTTTGCCTTGTGGTTGAAATGTTGGCACTATTTGAAGAAGAGTTCGTGCTGGTCGAGGATGTCGAGGAAAAAGAAATCTTTGAATTTCTTCTCGAACTGGTAACTGATCGTTTCTTCTTTTCTACAGAACTCGTATCTTGTTTGTCTAAGACATCATCTGTTTCTTCAACAGCTCGATCCATCATGATCGATCTTCTGGAAGTGTTACTCGTATTATTGGTAGCACTATTCGAGCGAGAGGAGGACCTTTTCAATTGAGAAACATTGCCAGTAGTAGACTTTTTGGACTCGCTCACAACTCCCTTAGAATGTTTTTTAACGTATAGCTGTTGACTTCTTTCCATTAACTCCTTAGCATCCCAATTGGGTAAATATTTAATGATGATTGCTGTCCAATCATTGCCAAATTCTTGGATTCCCTTCTTCAATAATTCATCATCTGATGATTTTTGCCATTTGAGTTTCTGTAAGCAATCCAAATTAAATACATTACTTGGATTTGGATGGAAGTACGATTCATCGATATCACCGCACGGAGTCAGCATTTCCGGAGGTGAAAATAACATTCTTAATTTTCGGAAGTATTCTTGTTTGAAAATCATTGGATGCAATGCATCGGATTGTGTAGTTGTCGTATCATGGTGATGATGATTGGCAGTATTCGGAGGAATATTGTAAAGAGAAGTGTTTTCTGCTGTTAGAAGTGTTGTAAAGGATGCATTCTCGTGATGATAATGTTGAAATGGTTTGTGAGATTCAAGTGGAGATAAAACATCAGAATCCTGTTTAGTGGTGATGATTGTTTCGTTATTGTAATTATCATCATGGGAGAGTATTAAAAGAGAAGATATTTCCGAAGGAGGTAATGATGATGTTGCCCCTAAAACAGATGATGACACATCATGCTGCTGTTGATTTTGTTGATGCTGTTGAAATCCAAAGTAATCTTCACACCAAATGGCAAATTCTTCATCACGTTGCTCATTGGGGACCATTATTTTTGAATCAACAATTGTTATTGGAATGAATATTTCGAAAATTATTGAAATGCACAACGGCAAAGGCGCCAATCTCGGACAATTTTATGTCGAGTGAAAATCCATAACAATTCATCAACCCAGAGAGTGAATGAAAGAGAAGAGGTTAGAAACGAAAAGATATGTGTGCAAAACTGTTGCTGTCGTTGATAGTACTTCAAGATGCAATTTTGTCTCAACATCATCACACATAAGATCCCAAATTGCATCTTGCAGTTCACGATCAAACTGTTTACAAATTGCCATTTCGTTACAACACATCATCTCTTCATACAAAATCAAAGTCCAAAAGTGAATTCCCCATCACAATCATTGGAAACTTACCTTTGAAAATCTCAATTGCCCAAAATACTGCAAATTCCCTGTCCCTGTAATTCTCCATATTTCGATGACAGGTCGAACAATACAAATTTAAACAGCTCCTCACATTATAAAACTCCAACAGCGCCAGATGACTCGACCAACAATTTTTTAAACACACAACAAAAAAAACAACACAACAACACCTTCAACAAAAACTCCCAAAGAAACAGAACTCTTTGATCTTTTACAAGCCTCACTCTTTTTCAACCACCACCAACTTATTAATAACATTCTCTTGCAACGTTCACTTGAAAAGATGCTATTCAGTAGAAAGATCTCCTCCTCAGTGTTTACTCTCTCTCGTTCTGCTGCTGCCTCACGATATGGATTTTTGGCAGCTGCTCAACAACAACAAGGCTATCACCGAGTGGTCAGAGAAGCCTTTATCAACTCGAGAAATATGAAAGATATGGAACGAGTATCAAGCATGAGATCTACCACAACCATGGATGATCTTGCTTTGAATACCGATCTTGCACAATCCACATTACGATCATCCTCCACCTCAAAAGGTTCACTTCTGAAAAGAGAGCAAGCTCTTCTGACCAATATGGAGAAGTTGGCCAACGTTGATCCCGCTCTCAAGAAATTGCTCAAAGAGTATTCTGATGAGATTGCCGTGGTGATGAATGATGATTCGCCTCAAGCCACATCAATGATGGATTCAGAATTGGTGCATCGACTGCATGAATGCAATTTGAAGGTGCATCGATACTTGACAAAGGTTGTTTCATCACACCTCCTTCAAGAGATGCGATTTTTGAGTTTGGTCAATTCCGAGTTGGCACATGAATGTGTAGAGATGAACAGTTTGCTTGAAAAGCACATGTTTTCTCTGTAAGGTTAATCACACTACGTGTTTGACGATCACTTCCATCTTTTTTGTACCATAGGTTTTCATTGTTGTACCATACTCCCCTGTAAATTTTGTATCAATAAACACAAATATCGAATAAGCTATGAGTTTGAAGCGCATTGTTCTTGCATTTGTCAACTGTGCTTCTTTGTTTCCGATTAACTTCGAGCACTTGCACTAAGAAAAAAATGGAAGAAATATTTAATTTAACAAGTGGCAGCTTGGATCAAATCGATCAAAGTAAAACGGAAATCCACAGTCATGAAAATGATCCTTCCTATTATGCTTCATCTTCTCATCCTCGAAATAATATTCCTCACACAAATTTAATTCATCAACAAGAACATCCATCAAGCCACATTCTCGAAAAAAGGAAAGAATTATTAGAATATGATCCGGAGCAAATCAGAGAAGAGCTTTCAAAAGATGAAAATGGATATCAAAAGAAGCGATGTGAATTAATTGTGGATGTACTGTCTAGATTAATACATGGTATTGGCTTCGATATCGAAACACAGATTAAATTTATGGATAAATTCATCGAAGATACTCAGTTGTTTTTAGAGGTGAGTAGTTCTGTGTGATATATGATGGTGGCCAAAAACGAATATTGTTCACCATTACAATGGTGATGAAAATATATTGTTGTGTGAATTAAACAAAATTAATAATGAAAATTAATACAAATCAAAACATTTTAGAAAATGAGAAAAACGAACGAAAAAACAAAAGAAATTATTTTCATGATGGATAGAAAGGATTAAAACGCATCACAAATTTCATTAAGGCATACGGAATGCATTTATTTTAATCTTCGTACTTGCTACAGTATTTGTGACAGCATGTGCAGGTGTTCCATAAATGTGCATTGCTGAATTCAATGAGAGACTGCCAAACGCCAACCATCTAACAACAATCACAACTCCAATGAGCGACAAGTACACATATAAAAGTTTGATTGTCAAAACTAAGATATTCACGCAACTTCTCAATAAAGATTCAAATAAGCAAGATTGTTCTTGTTGAGCTTGTCGACTCAAAATTGCATTTTCTTTTGCCATGTTCCACATATTGACCAGATGTTTGGCTGGTGAATATAGACAAGAATTGTGATTTGTTGTCAACTTTTGTAATGAGAAGGATTTGTTTCGTAAAGAAGGAATTGTATTCGTTGCAGGTTGAGTGATGTTAGGCATGAGGTTAATTTGAGTAGAATTCTTTCGAGTCGTTTCTCTTGAAAGAATGGATGAACAGGTCAATCGTTCCGACGAGAAGCAATTCATTGGTGAGTGATGAGAATAAATAATGATGAAAAGTGTAGAGACAATTCCGAGAATTGCAAAAATTAATTTCCGAAGTCTCCAAGTTTGTGAAATTAAATGATTCAATTTTCGAGACACAATATTTTGTACATTGGTGGAGGAAGAGGAGTCACTGGAGGATGATGTTAAATTAGAGGTTGTTGAAGAGGATGATGATGAACTTGCAATATTTCCATAAAATCGATTATATAACGACGACATGATTAGGATTAAACATTTTGTCACAATCAGTGACAAGTAAACAAAGAAAACATAGAGAAATACTTGAGCAGGTGAGAAGGAAGAGGATGGGATTGGTTGTTGATGATGAATTTGAAAGGGAGATGGAAGGTTCGAATTTGCTTCTAGCACATTGAAGGAATTGCCGCTGACTTCATGATGATTTGCACTGTTACTACCACTGCAACCAAAAAACAACCATCTCGAGATGATGGAATTGCAAGTGGTGATGCTGTGTTCTTGTGGGTGAGAAATTTGGAAGGTTTCCATAACAGTCGTAGTAAAATTATAATGAAGATGAAAATGCTTTTGCAAATAATAATAATTTGGAAGAGAAGTGTTGCAATACTTGATGGGTGGCTGCAATCGACGATTCTTTGTCTGTTGGTGGTTTGGTAGCAGTTTGTGTCTAATGGCCAAATTTAGATTAAGAGTCTTTCTTGGCAACTCACAAGGAGTGGATGGGTTTTTTTTCAAAGTTTATCAAGGATCCATCCTTGAACAGACGCACACATCTACTCAAAGCCCCAAAAGGAGCTCTCTTTTCTTGTATCTCGACGAGAATTTGCGCGCTCATCATAGGAAGCTCTGGTTCCGAGAGTCAAATTCCTTACGCGAGGAGAGTAAGAGAGCATTAATGAAAAAACTGCGCTCAATCAATAATGCTCACACCATTTGAGCGCACATTTTGCTTGCAATCGAACTGCGCAAGTAATTAAGCGAATGGATAATGCTGCAACTACAGTTGCCTAATGAGGCATGCAGACTGTGCTCTTTGCAATACAACGTGGCTCGCAAAAAATTTTTTAATTTCTCTGTGTAAGGAATTACTTCGCGCAACCTTTCTCAAGAAATTTGTGAAGAGTGGTTGTATTGTTTCCAATGAAGTGTCTGAAGTTGAAAAGATGGTACGACGAGCAAAAGAATGGAGACTTGTTCTTGTTTTGAAAAAAATGAAAATGCTCAAGCGGCCATTGCTTGCAAAATTTTATGGGCGAAATTTGTTGTTGGGAGGATCATCGGAAGGAGCAAGGGTGCTTCATCATTTTAAACTATTATCATTAATTAATAATAATAGTTTTAGACATTTTTCAATCGGATCAAGAAATTTACAGCAAGAAAATTCATCATCACAAAAACCATCCATTGAAAAAACGTTGGAACAAGACTTTCCTTCTTTGAAAAAATCCAGCAGCAATGCAGCCTCTACTCAAGCTGGAAAGCCGAAAACTGTTTCTTCATTTTTCAAATCGCCATTCATTAAAACACAAGATGAGAGGAATCAATATCTAGGGACGTTCCGTGAAATTATTTCGGTGAGCTTGAAAGAAATTCCGAATTCTGTGGTTGCTATTGCCACAATTTTATTTCTCCCTCTAGCGTTCGGCACAACCTCTTTCTATTTCTCCTCTCTCCCTGCCTCCGTACTGCTCGAATATCAGCTTAATTATGCAAGCATGCTGCTGATTTTATTTGGATCTACCCATTTAGGACTTGAATTTGCAAATTTTGTCAACAAAGAGAAATTTAGATCATTTTTGGAGGCACAAAAATCTGTATCTCCGTTTACTCCATCAAAACAGCAAGAGAACACTGTGCCTGTTGATGTTGAAAAAGAATTAGAGGCAAGAAAGACGTCACACAGCGTTGTTAGAGGAGTACTGTGTTCTCTTCCTCCAATGGTTGGATTTTTATGCTTATCGCTTCCTGTTCTTCAGTCAACCCTGCTTCTCTCTTTAACATTTATCGTTCTGTCCTATTATGATGCCTATTTAACTGCACGTGGGCTAGCTCCTCAATGGTTTACCTCATTGAAAATTCCATTCACAATCATCATTGTAGCAACACTCATCGTTTCCTTTTTCTTTTATATTGTTTATGGAGCTATGCAACAATTTGAAAAGAGTACAGAGCAGGAATTGGCCCAGTTCGAGAAAAAATCAAGAGCACGGTCAAGAGAAGGAATTGATTTTCTTGCTGTTGCCGAAGCAAAGAAAAACAGATTGAAAACATTGTCCACACAAAGCCCAGACAAGCCTGAATCTGAATAAATGAATGGATGACAGATATGTATTTAACAGTAAGATTAATAACTGACAAGTATCGGTACGGCTCTAGAGCATAATACCTCAATTTTATGAACCTGGATGCAACAAGGTTACATGGTGGTATTCAGGGTATTTTGGAGGGCCATGGAAATCAAATTATGGTTGAGAGCTACCTTTGCAAATTCCTCTCGTGTGATTGATCCATCCTTATCAACATCTAGCTCAGAGAAAAAGTCGTGCGCAAATTCGGCTGGCGTTTTCCCACTCTCCTTAAATTCTTTTGGAAAGCTTTTATAGAGTTGGGCAATCATTCTCTCAACTTCGTCATGAGTGATTTTTCCAGTTCTATCTGTATCATAAACATCAAATGCACTAAATATTGTCAAGTAGCCAGTCTTTCTGTAGAACTTACAATAGTATTTTTTCAAGTGGAGAGGCTCGTTCATAAAGCAACATTACCACCACATACTCTGGTATAGATACAATTCCATCATCGTTGATGTCAAATAAGCTTTGTAATTCCAATGATGTGTCAACAATAAATACATTGGATATGTTTGGGGCTTCTTTGAACAATCAAAATAACTTACAAGTATAAAGAATCAACCATCTGCGTTGTTGGGTTTGATAGATTCATGATTTTCGAAAGTTGGTCCCTCGGAACAGATCCGTAAGGAAATCTTTGAACGAGGTTCTGAAACAGTACTTTCAAATCTCGCTTGGCCACACTAAATTGTTTTGATATTGTATTTATTTCCTTATGCTTTCAACGATTTCAATTCCGAGCATGGTCATGGTTATTGAGGTTAATGATGATCCGCAACAACCTACCATCGACTGTTTTCCGCCCATTTTTTATTTGATCAGGGCGGCAGTTGCTACAACGTGCTTGCAAAGATCAATCCAGCTCTAGTTAAAAACGCTATTGAGAAAATGCTGTCAGTCGTTGCAGCAGAAAATCTCGTAGGATTATGTAGGATGTGATGACCTTTTCATGTTGTAAAGAGCAGAACTACACATTAAAAAATGCTTCAAGGTGGGAATCAACAATCGCTGCAGCCTGCATCATCAGCCACAGCTGATTATGTGAATAACTCGACCACGGGCTCCACTAGTAATTTTCAAATGGGACTTGAAGCTGAAGCGATGGCGTTCATGATTTCCTTGAAAAAAGGATTACACTCATCAGTAGTTGCCCAACAAATTCAAAGTGTTGTTAGATTCACTGATCTTATCACTGAGTATCCTCTTCCGATCATTGCCAATAGTACATTGCTAAAATTGGCTGATGTTTTTCGAGATTGTAACAATAATTTTGTTCGGTATTGGATTGTGAGCGTCTTCGAAGAGGTGAAGGGAGAATTATTGAAAGTATTAAATCAAGAAGAATTGATTAGGAGAATATCTGCAGTATTGGGTTCTAATGATCCTATTGCTCGATCATTGGCACTCAGAATGTTTGGTCACATGGCCGAAATACTCTCCGATAGAACTGACTTACATCATCTCATTGAAAAGAACCTGCTGACTTGCATTGAAGGATATGAGAGAGAGTCATGTGTTGTTGCTATTGAACAAATATGCTCATCATCAAAACAATTTGCTTCTCAGATTCTTCCACAAATTGAAATATTGCTGAATGATATCAAGTCACCTCCTCAGGCTAAGCTATCTCTTATACGTGTGTTAAGACACATGCACAGTGATGTAGACACTGTAAACAGAACATTCAAATTATGTTCCGAGTCATTATTGAGAGCACACCCAACCACTCCTTTTATACTGGCCATTATTGACACCTTGACGCAACTTGCTCAAAACTCAGTTTTTATTGGCCAAGATACCTTTAAATTGTTGTTTAACATTTTTGAACTTGACGGGAGAAAGAAAGTCAAGATTGCATGTCTAAATAGTATTACCAAACTCTCAAAAAATCTCTCCGATACCTATACCCTAGATTTCCCTTTTGATGTAAGTCAATTTTCATTCTTACATTTATTAACAATAATGATTACTACATTTTTTCACTTCCTTAGATGTTATCCAAGTTTCTGAATAACTCTCCTTTTGACTCTATCAAAATATGCATTCTCAAGCTACTGGCATCTCTTTCATATTCTCCTTTCAATGTTAAACAGTGTTTTAACTTTTCGGATAAGAACAATATTATTCATACTGTAGAATTGCTATTATTTTATCAAAAATTAGAAATATCTGATTTCTCTTTTGAAATTATGATTAATGCAGTACGCCACTCAAATCAAAACGAGCAAGTTCTTGAACCTCTCCTGAAAAACTTGTCAAGAGCTTTTTGTTTTTCTATTCCATATCGCGTTCGAAACAATGATAATTTATTCTTTATCGTAAGTATTGTTGACATCTTACATGACACTATATTATAATTCTTAACACTCAAAAACAATGAATTTACAACATTCTCACAGAAAAAAATCTGTGAATATTTGGTACGCTTCATCAAGTCCTTCCCAGGCTATGCAAGTCTTATCACGAAAACTCTCCTAAGCGAGATTGGTAACATTTGTACGTCAATATCTTCCAATCAAATCTCTCAACAACAGGAATTCCTACGATCGAGCAATTTGTATTTCTCCAAGTGTCTCCTTAAAATTTCATCACATTGTCCCAACGTTCTTGTCCATCATTTGACGGCAATCTATGAAACTGCAGCTACTACGAATTTACCAGACGAAATTATTGTGAACCTCTATGAAGTTATTTTCCATGTTCTATACATCAATCGACACAAAAACTTTAACAATGAATTTAGTCAAACAAACATTAAGGCTCTCGTAGAATCCAAGAGATATTGGTGTTTGTACTTGCTTGCTAAGAACTCAATGTTCTATAACCATTTCAGCCTCTCGGAGTCTATTTTGAACATAATTAAGGACAAAGTCGAGGAAGAAGCAACATCCTTCTATTTGAAATCCTTGTCGTTATGGGCGAGTGCCGAGAATTTACTTTTTACAAATTATTTGAAAATGCAGGAGGTGGTATTTATTGAGAATGACGTCTTGCAAGATTGTCTGCAAATGTTTGATCAGGCAACCATGCTTCTTAAAGCTAGTGGTGTCAGCAACTCTGGTTTTCAGCAATTGTATTTTGGACAGAGAAGACTATTTATTGACAGTATCCTGAATCTAACGTTACACCTTGCAAATTTTAATGAACCGAGAAATACTGCCACCTCTAATGCCGTCTTCCAGCATCAATCACAAGTGTTTATCTCACTCAGCGACAAACTTAATGACATGATTAATTCATTCTTTGACATTGATATGGAGAGTGCCAAAACCTTAGAGCTCCAGGCTCTTGCATGCAGAGTGATAGCCAAAGCTATTTCAACCATATTGGTCGACCATTCCATCTCATCGAAGGCTAACACAACTTTTCAAACATTCTCCAAGTCCGTGGAGATGTATCACTCGACACTGGATCCTCTTTTTGTTCAGTGCCAACATATTTTAAAGTCATTGGAAAGTTTTGATCCAAACAAACCATACAACAAGTCAGTGCTGATCCATCAATTGATTATGGCCATTCTTAAAGCTGGAGCTCCTGTACCTCAATTCTTTTTTAATTTCACACCCAACACTGCACCCAAGCTTGAGATTGAGATTAACAATACCCACAATATCTTTAGTAAGCCTGTAACTGCTATTTTAGGCCAAGGTCTTGTGATCAAATTCTCAGGCTATATTACACAACAACGTAAACAAGCCACTGCTCATCAACGCAAAGTGAAATCTGTATGCTTGACTATAGAAAAGAAGTTAATTTCCTCCTCAACAGCGTCACAAACTGATGGAAATCTCACAACAACTACCAACGACTTTGAAGGTGTTCAAAAATTCACCATTCCTGTTGTGGAACAGTCATTCCAAATGAAATGTCTTTGTCATTTTAAATCTGAAGGAAAATATCAGTTAGCAATAAGAACACAAATGGTTGATGAAAATGATTGCTACATTTGGTGGACAAGCAATTTGGCTGTGAGTGATGTCAACTCTCTCACATCCTACGGAAGCGATGAAAAACGACACATTTCAATAGTGGTCGATGTGAAACCTTTTCCACCCACTGCAAATAGATTGACCCTGTAGAGGATAAGAGTTTTTCATGATGCTCGGACGATAGACATCTGTCTTGCTTGAAATAATTATAACCTCGTTTTAAGCCTTTTTAATACAATGTGACGTTATTTATAATAAGGATTCGATTATTGCCTCATAAATATATCCTCAAAAGTGTTCCAAATGAATTTCGCAAGTTCAATCACCAACAAGCAGGATCAATAATAAATGATGAATTATTCCTTCTAATTATTTATCAAAAGTAGTGGCATCTGATTTAACAGTTTCCACAACAGACTTATCTTGTTCAGGTGCTGAAATTCCTAAAATTCTCTCCACATCTTTGTCTTGTTCTTCTTGTTCATTTAATTCAGACATAATTTCCTTTGCAATTTGCTCTTTGAGTTTCTACGTATCGGAAAGATAAATTAGGATAAATAAATTTCAAAATAATTCATTGTCATCATTAACAAGAAATTGATTATTCATAAACAATATTAATTCATTATCGGATTTTACCCAATCTCAAACACATACTCTTCTTTCGGACCATGATGAGAAATTTTGGAAAAACTTTTTAGTTTCCCATCCCACTAATCCAAAGCAAACCAGCGTAAAACCAAACATGGTGGTTGTTGCCGTCTTCCATATGACATTCAAGACTTTATCGAATTTCATTTTTTTATTCGTGAATATCAAGAACAAGATTTGGAATTTGTTTCTCACCTTCATCATGTCCAATATTGGGAAGGCTTGTTCCCAAGAGTTTAACCAAATTATTAATACCTGACAATCACCCAACTTCTCCAAATAATATTTATAATAATACAATGGATGTGAGCTATGAACCAAATGAATTTTAAAATACAACCAACAAAAAATACAAACAAATAGTATTCTCTGAAAATGTCTGCTACTAGTCCGTTGACTCCAGAACAACAACAACAGTTTCATCAATACATGAAACAACACAATTTAGATTCCTTGTTTAACGATTTAACCAAGAAATTGGTTGAAAAGCAACCTTTGGATCCTATTCAATTTATGATTGATGAATTAGAGAGAAAGGATCCGAAGAATCAACCAAGAAAAGTTGTATTTGTGTTGGGTATGTTTTGTGTGATTTAAATTATAACAATATGAAGAGAAACGAACACAATATTCCATGTTTGTTGTTGTAATGTTGATGATTGGAATTGTGGATAACGATGATGATGATTTTAATCGCTCCTAACATTGAATTTATTTTGGTCATTTTGAAACAAATCTCATATCGGGTTTGAACAAATGAAACCACCGATACAAAATAATTGTAAATGATGACGAAATGATTTTGAAATTTATCGATTCACACGATCATGACAATAATTTTAACATATCACCACAATATAGGAGGTCCAGGTTCAGGAAAGGGTTAGTATTCGTTTACAAATACTTGTAAATATGTGTAACACGTGCCCATGCAATAATTTACAATCAACAATGTATGAACAACATTGAACAATTTTATAGGGACACAATGTGCCAGACTTGTTGAAAAGTACAAGTTTGCACACTTCAGTGCTGGAGATTTATTGAGAGCTGAATCAACCAAGGACACTGAAACCGGAAGAATGATCAATAACTTTATAAAGGAAGGTAAAATCGTACCAGGAGAAGTGACCATTGCTCTATTGAAACAGGCAATTATGGGTCACGAAGATCCAAACACTGTCTTTTTGATTGATGGATTCCCTCGTGAGATGAAACAAGCCGTCGATTTTGAGAGACAAATTTGTTTCTGCCAGTTTGTCCTCTTCTTTGACTGTCCTGAGGACGTTTTGGAGAGTCGTTTGTTGAAGAGAGGCCAAACAAGCGGCCGTATTGATGACAACATTGAAAGCATCAAGAAGCGATTCCAAACCTATATTAATCAAACAATGCCAGTGATTCAATACTTTAAGGCGTTCAATAAGGTCAAGACAATTGACAGCTCGAAATCTGTAGATTTGGTATTCGAAGATGTTTGTAAACTTTTTGATTAAGGGATCATGAGATGAGAAATAAGATTTTTTGTACTGTTATCGTTCAAGCACCAAATACAAATTGCTAATGAATGAAAACGAAGAACAAGCGTTTTGAACTACATTGATTTTTTTACTGTTGCGTTTGAACTATCGAATTGCATCAATTTCAGATCCAATATTATCATTTCTGGTCTGGTTGTTGAAAATAAACTGTTTCGAATTTTGTGCATCTTGTTCTTTTAGAGCGATGACAACGTTTGATTTTTGCATTTTTTCACTTAGCTCGGTCTTTGCTTTTCGCTGCATAAACGGCTGCGAAAAGGGTTCAGAAAACTCGTCCGGTCTTAGTGTCATTCTACCAAGCTCAGAGTTAGCCATTTTACGCAGCCCTGATCATGCGTTACATTGTTATGAATCACTTAACAATATTGCTCAAAACTTACTCTCTCGTCTAAAGGAACCTTCAGATTTTGTGCTTCTATTCATTATGTCACTTGTCGAAATACCATCCTTGTCGAAAATGTCCATATCGTCTTGAACATTTAGCACTCCATGGCGATAACCTGAGTTAATTATTCGAATGAACTTGTTCTTTTTTCGCCTAATATCTCGTTCAAGCTTTAAAAATTCTTCTCTTTCTGCTTCTGCTTTAACTAAGGCTCTCATTTGTCTTGGGCCCAATTGCTTATGAAACTCTCCTTCTTCATTGTAAATGGTTGAGGAATCTCCATGTATTTTTAACGCCTTTCGCAACTCTTTCTTTTCAAGTGTAACAATTTCTGCTTTTCTGGGCTTTCCATTCCTATAATGTTCCCTTTTCAACAACTGAACTTTTTCAAAATCTGTTGTGGCGTTTGGTGTGAGATTTGGTTCCGAGCGAAATACTTTGTGATCTTTGTTATTTTTTTCAACCAAACTACAACTTTGGTTTGAAAAGCTCTCCTTGATGAATTGCTGGACTGGTTTGTCGAATTTTGAAATAAAAACCTCACTCATTTTCTTTACCACTGAGGGTTTGTTAGGAATCAGCTCTGACAACTTGGTTTCCGATTCATCCCATGATACAGGATCTCTCAGACCTCTATCAAGGGTTTTGAAGGGTTTATAGTACAACTCTCCAGCGTTCTCTGCCGACAATTGAGGAATTGGAAAATCCATGTCACCCACATTATTCGATGGTGCAGAAGAGAATGGAAATGCTTTGAAAGGAGGAACCACATTGATTTTAGGAGAGCTGCTTAAATTACTTCCTTGAGCCAGAGGTGGTAACAAGGGTGAATGATGATACTGTTGCAACTCGTGATGTGTCTTTTCGTAGCGAATATCAGCGTTCAAATGAGAGACAGCAGAGGATTGTTGCAACAATGTGGATGGCTCTTCTGCGCTAAAGGAGTGGCTCAGTAATGGATTGGAATGTTGTTTATGGCGTTGTTCGGAAGGATCCATGGTGAGTGTTCGTTTAAAATTCTGAATATTGGGAGAAACCGATCGCTTGATGAAAGCATCAAAACCCTTCGGATTGGGTTTCATGGTCAGGTTAGATTCCGAGGACGTTCTCATGGCAAAATATTCTACTGCTGATGAACGTCGCGACGTTTCTTGATTGGTAAAATTCAAACAAGTATCTTGAAGCTCCACAACTGTAAATTTGAAGAGAGGGATTTTTTTTTCGTAGACTTTTTTAAAAAAGACACATTCGGCTCACATGCAACATGCAATGACTTGATTCTATATTGAATAGTATACTACAGCAGGAGTTAATGACTTGATAGAAGAATGCAGCAATCCGAGAAGGCACGCATTCGTACTGAATTTTGAACATTTCTGAAAAAACCAATCAGTCGTGAATTCACCTTTTCAATCACAACACACGAATGAAAGTGATAACAATAAATATTGGAAATAAACTCATTCTCTTGAAGAGATAGGTCCGTACAAGTAGGTTGTAAGAATGAATCAAAAGGTGTACCATTTCCTAACTGTCCTTGAGTATTGGTCCCCATGGAATAGAGTGATCCGTGTGAACTTGTGAGCATGAGGTGTCTCAGTCCACAACTAATATCCGTAATATATTCATTGGTGTGTTGAGGTTGAAAAGGTAATTCAGTGGGAATTGCTTGCAATGGTATAATGGTGGAGCTGAAGGACCATTTGGAATGTCCTAAATCTCCCCATAAAAGCACTCTTGATTCATTACACACACGTCGTGAAATTAAGGCAATAATAAAGTTACTTCCAATCATGACCTTTTGAATGATTTCATTGGTATCATCAATTTTTGATCGATTCATTTCAGTGAATTTTCTTCGTTGAGAAGAAACTCCAAATAAGCGGCCATCTTGTAATAAAATAATTCCAATTCCATATCTTCTTTGAATTTGAACAATTGTTGACGATTTTAGAAATTCATTTTCATAGATCGTAAATTGCGCACGTGTTCCAATTTCCATGCCAAAAGTTGTGATTGTATCTCCATAGGTATAAAAATTTTGTGTTCCATTTTGGTCTAGTGTGACAAACCAACATCCATGCTCGCTACATGCAATTTGTAACACTTTTTCATTTCTATCTACAAAATAATGGATCATTTCACATGAAAAACAATCTCCACAATCATCCTTCAATTTGAATACTCTTCCTGAGCTCGAGTCTAAAAACAACGCTTGAAATGGACCACATTCAATTCTACTAATATTTGGATCAACTTCAATGAATTCATCTTCTTCAGAATCATATTCACGAAAAGTTACTGGTGAACACTTTTCCGGTCTTCGTGCATACACCTGACCAGCCTCGTTCACTATAAAACAATATCCCAAATATCCAGCTATTAACTTGACTCTGGACATTTCCAAATAACTGACATTCTTTGATTTTGCATTGAAAATACATGCTTTTCCATATTTATCATTTCCAATACATTCATCATGATAACAATTTTTCATTGGAACATCTCCATCGAGGTCATGATCCACTCGATATTCCGAATCCATCATGATTGGCATTTCCATCACTCCGCTATTCAAAGACGTGACTGCATGGCCATTCCCTAATTGGTATCCAAGGAGAGTTTGTTCATGATTCCAACCACAAGCTTTGACTTGTTGCTGACTAGGATTTAATATGGCTTTCCAATGATACGATCGATTCCATTGAGTCATGTCGCAAAGATTCTCTCGACCCGAAATCATTTTTTTATTTCTTTTCAAAATTAAAATGACACATGGCCTGCAAATTTTAGCTGGAGTTAAACGCGAACTGTGTCACTCTCAATTTTGCAAAGACTTCGTTTGCAAGCCAGTCTACTACTGGTGAACACTTTACAAAAAAATGGCCAAAGTAGATCCTTCCTCCGAAGGCTCTTCCGATACCAATGTGACTACGTCTTCGAGGACAGATGGAAATGTCCCACCTCCACCTCCTTCGAATACTGCTGTTTTATTCAACTCTGCCGTTACATCATTTTTAAGTCATAGTTCCGGAACCACAGCAGGATCATCATCAAATAATAATAATAATAGTAATACTAGCACTACTACTACTCAAAATAATTTTGTTGGATTAGCCAATCAGGGTGCTACTTGTTATTTGAATTCTCTTGTTCAATCATTATTTCATACGCCTGAATTTCGATACGTGATCTTCAAGTGGAGATATGACGCTCAACGTGATCCGAGCAAGGAACGATGTATCCCATACCAATTACAACGACTTTTTGCATACTTGACGCTTTCAAAGCGAAAGGCTGTACCCACAACAAGTTTGACAAAATCATTTGGTTGGGAGCAGTCGGATGCATTCGTTCAACATGACGTCCAAGAGTTGAATAGGCTTTTGTTTGATGCTATCGATGTTTCATTGATTGGTTCTCGAAATATTGATAACAAAGAAGAACAACAAAATGGCCTCACCCCAAAGATCAAGGAACTCACTAATTTTCATGACGTATTAATTAGTGACATTTATAGTGGAATAATGCTTGACTATATAGAGGCTAAAGATCATAGACGTGAATCAGGAGAACCTGTAGGAAGAGCGAGAGAAGATATTTATATGGACCTTCAACTCGTGGTCAGAAGCGTGTCGTCTGTGGAAGAGGCGCTTGACAATTATGTGAAACCTGAGCTCTTGGAAGGAAATGAACAATGGATTTGTGAGGAACTTGGAAACAAAAAAATTGATGCCATCAAAGGCTTAAAGTTAAAGACTCTTCCTTACATTTTGACATTGCACTTGAAGAGATTTGACTATGATCTCCAAACTTGGACTCGTATTAAGGTATGTATTTCATTGTGACCACTATTTTCAATTAATACCTTGTAGTTAGGAAATATGGTCACATTCCCATACGAATTGGATATGAAAAAATACGTGACAAATCAATCTGGCTCTCATATTTATGATTTATTTGCAGTTTTAATTCACTCTGGATCGGCTCTTGGAGGTGTAAGTTTACAAATAGCTATGGATTTTTCAACAGGAGACATTTTTGTTCACTTTTAACAGCACTATTATGCCTACATCAAATCATTGTCAAATGGAAAATGGTACAACTTTAATGACAGCAATGTTTCTGAAATTGATGCTCAACAAGTGAAATTAATGTATGGAACAAATGATGCAAGTGCAACTGGAAGATATTCCTCGTCAACCAACGCGTACATGCTTCTGTATAGGAAGAGAGATGATAATTTGAACATCAACCACGTAGAAGAAAATATGATTCCAGGTGACTTGCGAGAAGAGGTCGAAAAGGACAATGAACAAATTGCTGAGGAGCTTCGCAAGGCCGAGGAAGCACGACAATCGCTCAACCTTCGTATAAAATGTGAGGGTCAACCTGTATTATCCATAACTGTGAAAAAGACAGATACCATGAATCAAGTGTTAGAAAAGGTGCATGAAATGATGTCACGAAGAGAGAACTTTTATTCCAAGCTCTCTAATTGTAGACTCCGAAAGTTTGACATTATGAAGCAACTTCCAACATCTTCTTTCCATAGACATGGAGATCAGCCAATTTCACGGTTCAATATGTTCAATGGTACAATTTTGTATTTAGAAACGAAAGAATCAGATGAGGAATGGAAAGAAATTACAGAATATATTACAATTTATGTGTGTCCTTTCAATGAGGAAAATAATGATTTTGACCAACCACGATCCATCAAAATTACTACTACACATACCTTATTAGAAATTAAAAAAGAGATTGAGAAGGAGTTACAACGAGAAAGATTTCCACATGAAAAGTTAAATCTGGTCATTATGAGAAATGATCAGTTAATACTATTCCACAATGTGGAAGAAAATGACAGAACCATTGAAAATGGGCTGAATATTGTTGGATCTGATTTGGTTTATGTTGAAACTCTCGATGACCCAACACAAAATCTCGAAACAAAAGTTTTAGCCAAATTGGACGAAATGAAATATTGCTTTGATGTACTGATTAACACATTCGACAAACCAAACGATTACACCACTGCTGTGACAGTTGACAAACGGAAAACAGTCAGAGATCTCAAAGAGAGAATTGCAAAAATATTACAAACCGAACCTTCTGCTTTCAGATTATGTACTAAAATGCACATGCAGCCAATTAACGAAGATGTATTAATTTCTGAATGTCCCCATATATTTGAATATACGTCATTGCATGTAGAAAAGGGAGCTGCGCCAAAAGAAGGAGAAGTCATTCTTCAATTATATGTGCATCTTCCATGGCTCTCTGAACAACAGCCCCACCAAGAAAAGTCCATTGAAGAGCAAACAATATCCGCCCCACTTCAACAAGAAAATGGTCATCTTGACGTCGCAACTAATGTACCACCTCCTCCAGATACAGAGGGTACAGTCATGATGACTTGTGAACCACCACCACCATCTAGCTCAACAGCACTCGTACTTGCTCCTAAGGATGGACCAGTGTACAATCAAGGAATGAGATATCTTGACGTGATGCAAAAGTTAAAAGATGAGTTTAGATTTGTCGATAAGATTGTTGTCAACCAACAAGAAACGTTGGGCCAATTCAAAAGGAGAATTTACGAAAAATATTTCTCAAATCCTGATTCTGATCAATTTGTACCATTAGAATTGATGAGATTGAGAACCAAAGTTGGAGTATTCTTACAAAATTTGATAATTCACGATGATAAGACCATCAAGGAGAATATTCCAGATCTAACCAACAACAAACACATTTTAGTGCAAATAATGGAAAGACCAATGACAATGCATGAAGGTAACATGATCATTTATGTTCAGAGATGGCTACCTTCAGAGTGGAAGTTTTATGGAGGTGCTGATGCCAAATTTGAAGTGCTTATTCCAAAAGAAAGCGAATCACTTTCACCCCAAACGTTACGAACCAAAATTTATGAAACCCTTAAACATTCAGCTCTCTCTGATGTGTCACCAGAACGATTTGAACAAATCGGCATTAGTAGAGCACCAAACCAGTTCGACTATTTCATTTCCAAAGAATGCGTTCAAGTTGCAATTTTGAATTATGATGAAATTGATTCGATGAAGGACCTGTATCGACCACCTTTCATTATCAAACAAGATGACATTTTTATTGTTAGATTGAAAGATGAAATGGACAAATACGACATGGAAGAATACAAGCAAAAGAAAAAAGCAGAAGCCAACAACGCTTCCTCCACCACACGGGTGCAAGAAAAAGCATTGAAAATTAAGGTACTCGATAAAGAAACTGAAGAAAAGGAACAACGTTTGAAAGAAGAAGAGGAACAAAAAAAGAAGGAATCTCAAGATATGAATCAACATGCAACCAGTGACCCCATGAATGTTGACTCTACTTCGTCCTCTCACACAACACAGGAGGAGAACCCAAAAAAGAAATTAAAATTAAAAGCTGATGAAGCGTGAGTGAGTTTAATAAAGGTCAAGATTTGGCAACGTTATGTACTCATGGTTTCAAAGCTTCAGTACTGTGTGATCTTGATTTTGTTCAAAACAATCATTATTAGTGAGTGATAATGGTGATGACGAGTGACAGCAAAACATTCCTGTTGAGAAATGCAACTCACTCTTCGTTATTTCGGTTCAGATACTTGCTTCTAACGTCATCATTCGCTTCGTAGGCCCATTTCAAATTGGAGGAAGCTACGTCCAGAATTGAGGTGTTATCTTGTTCACATGCCCCAAAGACATATCCACTGGCCTTATCAACCATTTTCAATACGTTTAACACGCTCTCCTTGTCTTGAATGTTCAAAGTACCAAACGAAACAAGAGAATAATCTTGAATGACATCTGCCATTAATTGATTCAGCTTTCTAAATCTCGTCTTATATTTTCGCTTTCGCTTAGCCAGTTTTGATTCAAAGCTTTCATCATCTTGCATGTCATCTTCATCATTATCTTCATTCGCTTCTTCCATTGAATTGGAGTTGTTTTCTTCTCCGTCATGGTGTGACAGTGGTTTTCTTCCAATACTTTGTACAAGATACGATAAATCTTGAACCTCCGTGTAAAAGTCAATGTCAAATGCTAATTTTCCGTATTGTTCTATCAGATCCACTTTTGACAAAATATTGACATGAGGTAATTCCAACCTAATCATAATCGACAGAGAAACCATAAGAACAGAAATATATTTGGAGGCATCTGTACAATGATGAGCGTCCACTAAATTCACAGCACATAATCTAAAGTGCCACTTATTCACTAAAACATCACAAATATCTTTTACAACATTATAATGAGTATATAATTCAATTTGTCCAGGCATATCAAAAATGACATAATATGAATCATCCACAATATATGGTTTTAATTGTACTTTCAACCACTCCTCTAAATGTTCCTTCAAATATTCCATACAATAAATCAAGGCTCCGTTCGGACCCAATTTTAATTCTTCCATCACAGGTTGGACGCTAATTAAATCCTGTATATCCACTCCACATTCATAGGTATATCCTTCATTGGCGGGATCCATGTTAACCACAACAACTTTTCTTCCAATTCCTCTCATAAATTGTTGCATTCCGTTGCAATACGTGGATTTTCCACTTCCGGGAGGACCAACCACGATTTGACCGAAAGGCATTTTTTTTTAATTGAATTTTTAATTGTGTAGACTGTGTTTCTTCATCAAGTTCATATCGGAAACGTTGTTTAGGTGATGCTTAATCATTCTAGAATGTCAGGAGAAGGGATTGAACAATCTGAATTCTCAACTGTCAATCAATCGCGACTTGAGAATCAATGGATTGCAAAAAAATGAGTCATCCTCATGTGGACCGCTACGCAAGCTTGAAGCTTGTCTATGGAAATGATTTGATTGAATTTGTGAGAGAGAATAAAGTGTTGGTGGTAGGAGCTGGTGGAATCGGGTGTGAGTTGCTGAAAAATTTGGTTCTTTCGGGATTTGAGAATATTGAGATTGTATGTGTTTTATTAGCGAATTTGTTGTTATTGTTGATAATAATACTCGATGTTAAAATTATTCTATGATTAAATAATTATAAACGAATCGAACGATCATAATATTTCTACGCTACATGAATTTGTAAAATAATTATTTGATCATGATTGCAAATAGATTGATTTGGATACTATTGATATTAGTAACTTAAATAGACAATTTCTTTTCAGACAAAGGCACGTCGGAGAATCGAAAGCAAAAATTGCAAAAGAAACAGCTCTAACTTTTAATCCAAAATGTAATATTGTTGCTCATCACGGTAACATTAAACAAAGTGCCTATGGATTGGATTTCTTCAAGCAATTCAAGCTGGTAATCAACGCGCTTGATAATGTTGATGCAAGAAGACATGTAAACAGATTATGTCTAGCGGCTAATATTCCCATGTTGGATGGTGGTACTGCAGGATATTTGGGACAAGTGAAATCCTATCAAAAAGGATTCACCGAATGTTATGAATGCAAAGGAAATAGAAATACAGAAAAAACATATGCTGTATGCACCATTCGTTCCAATCCATCTAAAATGATCCATTGTGTGGTATGGGCTAAATTATTATTTGAGTAAGTGGGCATATTACGTGTATGAATTTTCGAATTGACATGTTGCCATATAATTTCCGTTGTTAAACAAATTCTCAACAACAATTTAATGACAATGATTGCTTGACAAATAGTCGGCTCTTTGGTAAAATTAGTGACAGCAATGAAATTTCAACTGGATTTGAGGAAATTTTGAAGGCAACAGAAGATTTCCCACAACGGGTTTTTGACAAAGTTTTTGTGCACGATATTCGAGAATTATCACAAATGAAAAATAAGGAAGTGTGGAATACTGGAAAGCCGCCTGAACCGCTCACCGACGAATATTTGAAAATCCTTAGACAAAATAATCCCAATGCTGAGAAGCGAGCTGGAGTTAAGGATCAAATTATTTGGACACCTGATGAATGTGTACAAATTCTGTTGAAGAGCCTGAGTTCACTCAAACAACGAAGAGAACAATCAAGCGAACCACTCTCATTCGACAAAGATGATGAGGATGCCTTAAATTTAGTCACTAGCGCCTCCAATCTGAGAGCTTTCAATTTTCACATTCCTCCTAGCTCTCGATTCGACATCAAGTCCATGGCCGGAAACATTGTACCAGCCATTGCTACAACCAATGCAATTATCGCTGGTCTTCTGGTGTGTGAAGCCTTTAAAGTAATGAAGAGTATTCATATGAACCAGGGAAAGGAAAGCTCTGTCAATCATGTCACTGAATGTCTACAAACAGATTGTTTGGCAAAAACTGTGGTGAAGGGAAGAAAGAACACAATTATTCTTCCTGTCAGCATGGGTCCACCAAACAAGAAGTGTTTTGTGTGCTCTTCAAATTCTGTTACCGTGTTTGTGAACTGTGACAAGATGAGCTTGGAGAGATTTGTTCAGGATGTTTTACAAAACAAATTAGCCCTCAAAGAGCCGTCCGTGTTGTCAAATGATGATCTTATCTATGAGTGTGGAGAAGAATTGGAGCAAGATCAAATAGAATTGATACAAAAACGGCAAAAGGAAATGTTGAAAGACACTGGTATTGTGGACGGATCAGAGCTCATTGTTGAAGATTTCTCTCAAGACATTAGTTGGAAAGTGATTGTGAAACACATGCCCGACATTGAGGTTGAGGAATTTTATGTGGAGGGAGATGAACCACCAAAAGCAGCAACACAAGAAAACCATATTCCATCCAGCAGTGGAGTTGTCAACAATCTCGATAATGTTGTCATGAATATTGATGACGGTGACGATGGCTGTGTTTGCGTTACAGATCAGCAAGAAGAACGTAAACGATTGGATGAGAGAAGAAATGAGCTCAAGAGAAAAAGAGCTGAAGTTGAGAACAATCTCTCCGAAGACACAAATCCTCTCAAAGAAAAGAAACAAGAAGATGAAGTCATTCTATTGGATGATTAACACAGCCAGCCACGTACGTCCATTAGAAAAATCATGCGATTAGAAAAAACGAATTTTTCATTCAAAAAAATTCTCATGCTCAAATACCACCACTAGGCTCGCCTTATTACAAGCAGAACATTTCAACAACAACGAACAGCAATAACAACGCTTACATTGCACGAACACCCTTAATATTATGCTTGCACTCTAGTCGTTAGAATGACTGACCACAATATTGGTTCTTCTTCTCCTATCATGATGAATCACGAAACAACTTCTCTGGCCTCATGTAATACTAGTAACGCTCATTCCGTACACTTTGCGGAAACAACAACAGCTGTTTATATTCCACCCAACAAGTCGTCGTGCTTTGTCGAAACCGACGATGATGAGGAACCTCCTCTTCCTTCAGACGATTCAATTTCTGTGAGATCGAGTGCCATTAAGGATCGAAGCAATCAAGGCTTTTCACCTCGTCCACTATCGTTAGCAGGTGAAATTGTTTCACCCTTTTCTCAAGCTCTTTACGCTGGAACTTATGAACACTTGGGAGAATTAACTGATAACACCCTCTCTAAAATCGAGAAGAGATCAAAGCATTTGAGTTGTTCTTCGGTGATGGAATTTTCTGATTTGTTGAAGCAGGCCGGAGTGAACATTGAAGAGTTGCAGGACGGTGATTGGGACTATGATACCGATGAAGAGAATGAATTGAAGGACCACTCTAACACGGACAGCAATCATGCAAATGGCAACAGCATAGTCAAAGAAAACACACTCCGACAACAGCATCAACAACATTTCCTTAATGTCATTACCAACAACAACTTTGTGGAAGAGTACGACAGCGATCCAGAAACTTTCACAGCCACGAGAGACTCAATGAAAGTTGAGGTGGACGAATACGATTTACAAACACGAAGAAGTCCTTCACAAACATTTACGCCTCCTCCTCTCAATAATAGAAAGAGTATGAGTCACCTATTTAGGTTTTCAAGCAGTGAAACAAAAGAAACAGATGGATTGAATCTCTCTCGGTCGACCATGTGTGATTTTCCTGTTGGCATGGGGATTGAGGTGGAGTCGCCTCTTTCTTCCTCACCACAACAAGATTCGTCTCCCACCTCCAGCGATGCTTCTCCTGGCGCATTGCTGTCTGTTCCAACACAAGCCGCACAGCAAGCAAGAAGAAGCTCTGTAAAGAGAAAGAAGAGTATTCGCTCCAACGATTTTATGAAAGGTGGAAGGTATATGAAATCGAAAGATTTTTTCTCAACACTCTTTAAAAAAGCTGAAGTTAAGGAATTTGGTGTAGATTTATTAACGGTTATGTCGAGGAAAAGTGAAATGGGTCATGAAATTCCAGCCTTAATAGAAGAAATGATGGTGGTGATTTCTGAAAGACTTTCAGTGGAGGGATTATTTAGAATTGGAGGAAGTGTTAAAGACATGGAAATACTTGTAAAAAAAATGGATTCTGGAAAGGTAGTAGAGCTACGAACTCTCAATATTCACGTCGTCACTGGGCTCACAAAAAAGTATATTCGACAAGCAAAATTAATACCTCATCAATCCTATCATATTTTCAAGAAGATTGCACAAATTGACAACGAAACAGAGGTCGTCAAGGAACTCTCAAATGTGTTTCGAGATGTATCCGTCATACCTTATTATAATTGTTTATTATTGAATAGGTATGTAGGAACGTTGTTTATTCAACAATGATTGAAAGACATTGTGCCATGTTCAGACTATTACATTTATTGTATAATATCCATTGCAAAAGCAATGAAAATCAAATGACGGCTAGCAACCTGGCAATCATTTTTGCACCTAATTTATTTCAGGAAGATCCTAATGCAAGCTCAACGACACTGAATTCCTCTCTCGTACTGCAAACCAAAGGAACGCGGATTATAACGATCTTGATTGAAAAATATCAAGATGTATTTCGGGATCTATTCGAAAAAATTAAGGCAAATAAGGACTTCATTCCTCTCCCATTGAAAGATTCAATTTCAAAGAATGAGTCAAAACATTCCACAACATCCAACAATAATAGTGCCATAGATAACACTGGATTCATTATTATGAAAGGTTTTTTATCCAAAAAGACAAAGGTTACTGGATGGAAAAGAAGATTTATTGTGTTAACAAAAACGCATGTTATGGTACTGGAAGATGAAGACACGTCCAAAAAAGCATTGAACTTTTTAGATTTATCAAAATCTTGCATCGAGAGTAATTATGAGAAGAAAGACTTTACCTTTAAGATATGTTTGAGAACTGATGCGCAACAAACCTCTCACGACGAAGAGGCAAAAGAAATCATTCTAAAAGCAGAGAGCGAGACAGAAAGAAATCAATGGTTCAACTCAATTCGAGAACGAATTGAAGCACTTCAAGCAAATCAAGCTATCATCTCAACGCTAAGATGAGAACCTCTCTCCATGATGTGAATAAACGCTCAACCAAAAAGGACATCAACAAAAAATATCCAAATTGAACACACAAGCAAAATGAAATCCGTCATGCATTCGTTCTTGAAATCAGCAAACAAGCATCAACGACTTTTGGGAAACCACTCAACAATGCTGATGCTAGGAAGCAGTAATCAACGATTTTCTCAGAGAGCTGCATTTTCAACACATATGGGTCAGCAGTACGAAATTAAAAAGTTAAGCAGTGATGATATTATGAAATTAGAGAACGATTATTCTGCACACAAGTAAGTAGCCGTTCATCATTTCTCTAAATATTGACCATCCAATCAAACTTCATGACTTTTACTCCAATGTTGCTGAAAATCATTCTTCATCATTCCGATGATGATAATCCAATCAAAATTTCGGAAATCAACTATTGGACTTTCTTGAAAACAGTTATCATCCATTGAAAGTAGTCTTTGAACGTGCTCAAGGAGTGGTGGTCTACGATCCAGAAGGACGTAAATATTATGATTTTCTCTCTGCATATAGTGCAGTCAATCAAGGACATTGCCACCCCAAAATTATCGAGACTTTGAAATCACAAGCAGAAAAAGTAACGCTCTCATCTCGTGCCTTCTACAACAATGTGTTCGGACAATGGGCTCAATACGTTACCAGATTATTTGGATTTGAAAAAGTGTTGCCAATGAACACTGGAGCTGAAGCAGTTGAAACAGCATTAAAAGCTGCCAGAAAGTGGGGCTATGAAGTCAAGGGTATTCCCGATAATGAAGCCATCATTATTGCATGCTCTGGTAATTTCCATGGAAGAACCATTGGTGTCATTAGTTTTAGTGATAGTGATGAAACAAGAGATGGATTTGGACCTTTCTTGCCAGGAGTTTTAACTGCAAAATATGATGATGTGGATTCATTGAGAGAGCTTTTGGAAAAGTTTGGAAAGAATGTTGCTGGTTTCTTGTTTGAACCCATTCAAGGTGAGGCTGGAGTTCGAGTTCCAAGCGACAAGTATCTGAGCGAAGTTTACAAGCTTTGTAAGGAGCATAATGTTTTGATGATTTGTGATGAAATTCAAACAGGTTTGGGAAGAACTGGTAAAATGCTTTGTTATGAGCATTCATTGGATAAATCTAAGGGTGAAAAACCAGATATTTTGATTTTGGGAAAGGCGTTGTCAGGAGGAGTATTTCCTGTTTCATGCATTTTGGCTGACAAGAAAGTGATGGATGTTTTTGAACCAGGTACTCACGGAAGTACATATGGTGGAAATCCACTTGGTTGTTCTGTATCAATGACTGCTCTTGAAGTTTTGCAAAATGAGAATATGATTGAGAATGCGGCTAGACTTGGTGAAATTTTCAGACAAGAATGTAGAGAGCTTGTTCATGAGGGAGGAATTGTTGATGAAGTGAGAGGAAAAGGTCTTCTCAATGCTTTTGTGATGAACCACAGTAGAATGCATGGCAAGAACTCGTATGATTTGTGTATGCGTTTGAAAGAGAATGGCCTTTTAGCAAAACAAACACATGACAACATTATTCGATTTGCTCCACCACTGGTCATCACTGAAGAACAATTGAGAGAATGTATTGCAATTATTAAGAAAGTTGTGCGAGATTTCGAGAAGGCACCTCAACCAAAACAACAATAAATGCTGATAGCACGTTGATTTTGCACCTAAGTCTTTGGCGTTTTGCAGCGTTGCCAAACAATCATGACAACAAGCAAAAAATGAACCAATTGCCTGAAGATCTCATCTTCTCCATCATGATCTTTTGTGAAGAATTGAAAATTGTTTCTGATTTATTATTATTGAACAGACATTGGCTGAGCATGGCTCGCTTTGAAGCTTTATGGAGGATGCGGTATGCTTTTTATTTGAAAAAACAAATCCGACAGCTTGAAGCTGAAATGAACTCGCCCAACATCAAGTCATCAAAAAAGAAGGGAATTTCAAGTTCTTTACGTAAATTAAAAAGCCAAACCAAAACACATGTAGAGGAAGCGGAAAAGATGTACATGAGAGAAAAACTACAGAGTCACACACCAACCAGTCCTTGCGTTGATGACGACGAATCAGCAACGCAAAAGAGCTTTGGAATTGATTTTTATTATGGATTTCGGTTTTATACAATTTTCAAACAAGAGCTTCATGGAAAATTGGTTGGTACTGTTACTGGCAAGCTCATTGAATTAATGGGAGAGAAGTTACCACAAATTAAGATATTGTGGAAACCTATGATGGACTATATCGTTGTTGAGAAGAGCCCTTTCTGTCAAAAGTGGAACGCTTTTGTCGACTATGTCCATTCTAATTTAAAACCATTAACTGGAGATCATTTTGATCAAGAATATCAGTTGCAGAGATGTTGTACTCTTTCCTTTATGACTTATTTTCGAAAAGATCATGCTTCAGCCTATGAAGAAGTCGTTAAAGCTTTAAAAGATACATCGGAAAATCCAAAAAAACGATTGGATGAAAATAATGATTTGTTAGTACAACCCGTGTTAGAACTCATTTCATCGGCCAAGTGTCGATTTCCTCTTAATGTGTTTCGTATCTTTGAACCTTCTTTGTATTTGAAAAGTATGAAACTCATGAGAGCATTAATGAAAGAAATTGAACTGGACATGGAGAGGCCACAACATGAAAAACATTTTAATGGTTATCCTCAAGATCACGAAATTATGGACAATGTAAAGTCACAATTCCAAAAATTGTTGGAACTTGGTCATTTTCAACCTGAAGAGATTAGAGAAATACTTTCGTTTTGGATCAACATGCATCCAACTCTAATACCACAAGCAAGGAAAATGCAAAAAGAACCCTATATTGAGAAAACCTTCAATACGGATGCTGATTTATTGGCTTCTGTTTTATTGTATGCTTTATTTCCGAATGATCATTACTTCCTTATGACAACCAAAATTTCATATCGATTGTTGAAGGCGGCGATACAAGACTGGAAATTTAAAATGTCAACACATATGGCTGCTTCTCTCTTTCGACATTATTTCCATTTGATTCGTAACAGATTCACGAGCGATGAAATAATTGATATTATAGAAACGTATGAGCAAGTTCATGAAGAGAATTTAATTGATGATGACATGGCACAGTGTTGTATCATTTCGAACGACAATTTGGACTTGTGGAAATACTGCATAGAAGTTCGTAAAGCCAATATCAATAACGTCAACACAAACACTTGTAAGGGCACACCAATCATATATTTATGCCTAAATCCTAATACAACGTACAACAGCCTGCACCGGTTCGATATGTTCGAATATCTAGTTGACAACGTTAATGTTGTTTTTGATAAGGATGAAGCTGAAAAGAGAAAAGACGACCCCTTACACTATTTCATCCGCCTTGTAATTTCTTTTAGATTTTATTCACCTCTACCAGGATTTTTTGACAGACAGAAAACGACCTTTCTAAAACTATTCAGTAAGGGCTCAAGAGTGTCTCAAAAAATTGGTTCTAAAACAGCCATGAATATAGTGAATGGATACTTGACTGACTATTCGAGAATATTTAAGGACCAATACGAAAAAGAGCAAAAAGAAGAGCAGTAAGGAATGTAGTCACAATTGAATCATCCAACAGGATTATAATAGTTTAGAGGTTTGGAGAATAAGGAAAATTAAAAAATTACAAAAAAAAATGTCAACAGTCTCGATCACCACGCACACCATCTCTCCACCAACGCTTGGCAATGCGTTTCTCGAAGACACTGCCCTTCAGGAAATTCTCGACAAGCACATCTTTTCGAGCCATGTTCTTCCTTCTCTTTCGGAATCGACTAAAACTCAAATCAAACAAGATTTGACTCATTTCGGAGAACAAGTGACTTCTTCTATTTGGAAAATTTCTGATTTAGCAGAAAGACATCAACCACAATTGTTTCAATATGATGCTTGGCAAAATAGAATTGATCATATTGAATTACATCCTGCTTGGAAACAATTAAATGAAATTAGTGCTCGGGAAGGAATAGTTGCATTGGGTTATGAAAGAGATCAGTTAGGAGAACACGGATTGCATCGATTGTATCAATTTGCGAAATTGTATTTATTTGATCCAAGTTCAAGTGTTTTTACTTGTCCTTTGGCAATGGGAGATGCTGCTGCAAGATTGATGGAGTACATGTTGAAGACTTTACCACCTGGAAAGACTCAAGCTGAAGTGGAACGATTGAAATTGTTTGCAGAATGTAAAAATCATTTAATTTCAAGAGATCCAAAGATGTTTTGGACAAGTGGACAATGGATGACTGGTGAGTAGTCTTTGAAAACAAATAGTAGTGTACTATTAATTACAATCATCACGCACCATCCGATCGACAACTGCCAATATCACTTTATGCTTGTCATTCACAAAGAAAAAAAGGGTGGAAGTGACGTGTCAGGAACAGAAACTGTTGCTACACATGTCAAAGATTTTGATTACACTCTGGATGGTTTCAAATGGTTCACAAGTGCCACTGACTCGCAAATGACTCTTGCTTTGGCAAAAATTAAATGTGAAAAAACAGGAAAAATCGATGATCAAGTGTCACTATTCCTTGTCAAGATGAGAGATGAAAAGACACAGAAATTGAATGGTCTTGTCATTCACAAGTTGAAAAACAAGCTTGGAACAAAGGCATTACCAACTGCTGAAATTGAAATCAAGGGAGCAAAAGCAACACTTGTCAGTCCAAGAGGAGAAGGAGTCAAATACATTTCCATCATGATGAACACTACTCGTATTTACAATGCCACTTGCTCTGTTGCTAAAATGAGAAGAATGATTAGCATTGCTCAAGACTTTTCTACCAATAGAACTGTCAATAGAGGTCAACTCTTGTCACACAATTCACTTCATTTAAGACACTTGTCAAAGATGGTCACAGAAACCACTGGATGTTTACATTTCGTTATGGATGTTGTCAGAATGATGGGTCGTGAAGAGAGTGGAATTGCAACAGCAGCTGAATCGCATTTGCTTCGTCTCTTCACACCAATCATCAAATTGTACACTGGAAAGAAAGCCATTCAAGTCGTCAGCGAAGGTTTAGAAATGATTGGTGGAATGGGTTACATTGAAGACACAGGAATTCCAAGATTATTGAGAGATGCTCAAGTTCTTGCATTGTGGGAAGGAACGACTAATATTCTTTCGTTGGATGTTCTCAGAGTTTTATTACATCCAAAAACAGGACAAGAAGCATTCAAAGCATTTTGTGATCATATTAATTCAGTGGTCAATTCTCCAACTTCTTCCAACGTTTCACAAGTTGCAAAAACAATTTCACATGCACTCTCAGAAATTCAACACTATTTGAAGAATAATCACACCAATCAAGCAGTGGTGACAACCTTTGCAAGAGAATTGGCCTTCTCCATCGCTCACGTTCAAATTGCTGCACTCTTATTGGAACATTGTATTGTCAAGAATTCACACAAGAATGTTCAAATTCTAAAATTATTTGTTGAAGATCATACACCATTGGTCATTCTTCCAAGTCAAGAGAAGATTGAGCAAATCAAGCAAATTCAAGCTGTAGATTATTTAATTGCCAATGAAAGTGATGGATACAAGACACCAGCAGAGAAGAGAAGTCGATTGTAAGGTATGATTTGAAAAAGGATGGTGATCTGTAAATTTGAGAATAAAAGTGTGATTTTCACCTTCGAACGCTTTGTTGTTTTTATCACTGATAATAGCAACACACGATCACTGATGAGCTTCGGAGGTATACAAAACGTTCATCTACCGTACGCTCACATGAATTGAACCTTGAAGAAAACCCACGTGGTATGTTCCTTGTTCACCACCTATCTTTCAAAATTATTCCGCATATCCATCAAACAAGAACGATTTCGATTGGTTACTGCACCACCTATCTTTCAAACTGATCATACATCACAACTACAATTTGCATTTGAACTTTAAACGAGCATTTCAAAAACACTATAAATACGTTCATTCTCGTTCTCTCCATGGACTCTCAACAACAAAAACAATCATTTAAAAAACAAAAAGCAACATTCAATTGCAAGAGCTGAATTGAATACTCATTACAACTACAAACACAACAACAAGATGATGCTCCAAACCAATGTTGATGATTCCATCATTCAAGCCTTCCAAAGCATGAAGATGGGTAAAGGTTCCTACAAGGATCACAAAATGCTCGTTCTTGAAATGAAGGAAAAGGGAATGCAAATCGATGAAGAACTCTCCAATGCAACCTCCTTGGAAGAATTATCTGAAAAACTTCCCAATGACCATACTCGTTACATTTGCTATCATTTGCATTTCGAGAAACCTGCTTCTTCAAGTTTACCTGATACTGCCTCTGAAGGTTTGAGAAGTAAGATTATCTTTATCGTTTGGTGTCCAAGTAAAGTGTCAGTGAAAGAGAAATTCCAAGTCGCTGCAACCAGTAAGACAGTCAAGGACAAGTTGAATGGAATCTTTGTGACTCATCATGCTTCTTCAAAGAATGATCTTGAAGAGGGACCCATGATTGAGAGATGTTTGGCTATTATGAAAGAACACACTAAACATTCTTGAACCCAAAGTCTATTGTAAATAAACTCTACAACAACAATATACACAAGTCATAGAGAAGCCTTAGAGATTCACTATTCATTCCAGATCAGTTACCAAATCCATTCACACTGCCATCAAATTTCTTTCCAATCCTCAACCACCCTTCAAACATCAACAATTCAAAATATATTGAAATCGGATCACAAAAGAAAACACCTCACAACAACACCTCTGACACGCGTGGCCATCATGTGTGCACAGTATTATCCGTCCTCATCCCCTTCGTCCACTCCGCAACAGCACAACGGACAAGATTCTAGATTTTTCTATGAACGATTTCGTCCCATGTTATTGTTGTTCTCATCATCATCGTTGACAACAACGAGAGGAGAAGACAACCATCGAGTGGATGATGAAAAGCAACAACAGGAGGTATTACAACGTTGGTTATGGTCGGGATGTTTGGAAGACTTGATTCATCATAACAACAAGGAACAGTCTTCTTCAGCTCTAGTGGTGGATTTGAATGATTATTCAATATCATCAACGCAACAACAAGGTCTTGACTCATGGGTCATCTTTCAGGTACGCATTGAAGGAATGAGATGTGGTAGTTGTTCCAGTTTGGTCAGTCGGTTGTTTCAGGACTATCTTACAGAACGATTCAATCATCATGAAGAACAACAAGCCAACCATGAGCAAGTGGTCCGAAAGTATCATCATCATGTAGATTTGGAAAAGAAGCGACTTGTATGTGTGGTAGAGAGGTCCCTTCTCTTCAATCATCATGACGGAAAAAGTATTTCCGAGCTCTATGATGAACAACTTGAGAGCATCTTGAATCATATCAAACAACACACAAGTTTTATTCCGTTTGAAATTCGAGCTTATTCAACAACAACAGCATCAACTTCACTTCACACCTCACCGGTCCATCATTCTTCATTGTTGAACTTGACCCAGCACCATCATCAGGATGAAATTTCCAAATTATTATTCGGAATGGACTGGCTTCTGATTGAGGAAATTATTCCAACCTCAACCTCCTCCTCCTGGTTCCTACTTTTATGCAACAAAAAACCAACGGAACAACCACCACACCAAAGCAACCACCACACATCTCCTCCATTATTGGATGTTGAAATTTGTTTCCGACTCCAACAAGAGGCCACCCCACAACGACTCTTGCAAAGCCTTTCAAAAAATAATTGTGCCAGTATCACTCGTTTGGAACCTTCGGGATTGTCTTGTTCATCATCATCCACATCGACAATGCCTGTATCAAATCCGAATCGATTATCTTCTTTGGAAGTGTCTTCTCCTCGAGAAGAACATGAGGAAATTGATTTGGATATGAATGAAGATGAGGATACAACCAATATATCTTCGAGGTTATTATTGAACGAAAATGAGGAGGAAGAGGACAGTGATCGGTCGGAAAAGCCTTCATTTTGGACATCGTTGTGGACTCTTCTTGGCAATGAATCATCCTCCGAGAGAAAGAAGATGACCTCCGATTTTGATGACGAATTTGAAATGGAAGCCATGAATGGAGAACAAACCATTGAACTCGATGTAATGGGAATGCATTGCTCTTCATGTGTCGGAAAAGTAGAAAATTCTCTGAACAGCACAAAAGGAATTTTGAAAGCTTCGGTTTCTCTAATGACAAACTCAGCAAGTGTCACATATAATAGTTCAGAACTTTCGAGTCAACAAATTGTGGAAACAATTGAATCAATTGGATTTCAGGCCTCTTTGAAACAACAATCAAAGAGGAAGCAACATCATCATGCAGAGAAAGAGAATTCGGAAAAAGTACAACACACAATCAATGTGTGGAAGATCCGATTTATCATTTCTTTACTATTTACTATTCCTGTAGTTATACTTACCATTGCTAACAAACGAAATTATTCAGGCTACGAGTTGTACAAAGTGAGATATAATTATTCGCCCAAAGATAAGCTTAATTATTTACTTGTAAATTATGGATGTATGATTTTGACTGCCGTCGTTCACTTTGTGACAGGATGGCACTATCATGTACAGGCTATGAAAGTACTACGAAATTTTTATGCAGACATGAACGTTCTAATTTCACTCAGCACTAATGCTGCGTTCTTGTATTCTGTTGCTTTGCTTTTTACTACAACCTTGGAGATGTATGGCGTTATTGGCCAAGCAGTCTCAAAATTCCCTTCCTATTTATTTGAAACTTGTGTCATGGTGCTGATGTTCCAAAATTTAGGCAAATTTCTCGAGTCAATTGCCAAGAAAAAGACTACAGAGTCATTATCAGCTCTTTCACAATTACAACCTGCAAAAGCCAATTTAATTGACGAACAAACCAAAGAAGAAAATTTGACATTTAGCTCTCTCACAAGAGAAGTATTCGTCGAGGAAATATCTGTTGGTGATTATGTTATGGTTAAATGTGGTCACACCATTCCTTGTGACGGCGTTATTGTCTTGGGACAATGCTTTGTTAATGAGAGCATGTTGACTGGAGAATCCAAAAGAATTTTCAAGAAGAAGGGCTCCAAAGTATTTGGAGGTACTGTCAATGAGCAATTTTCTTCTGGAACTGAATCTGCTGCTGGTGGAGTCATTATTGTGAAAGTGACCAAGACAGGACAGGAAAGTGTATTGGGTCAAATCATTACACTGGTGCAACAAGCTCAACACAACAAGGCACCAATTCAACAATTTGCTGACTCCATTTCGCGAGTGTTTGTTCCTGCAGTCATTGTGTTATCTCTAATTACTTTTGGAATTTGGTATTTCTCTTCAACTTTGGGATTTATCAATAATGGAACCAATCGATTAGATTCGGTACTATTTGCTTTGATCTTCTCCATGTCCGTTCTCTCAATTGCATGTCCTTGTGCTCTTGGATTAGCCACTCCAACTGCAGTCATGGTTGCAACAGGAATTGGTGCTGCCAATGGAATTTTAATTTTAGGTGGTCTCCCATTAGAAATTGCACACAAAGTAGACTGTATTTGTTTTGACAAAACTGGAACAATTACCAACGGAAAGGCCTCAGTGATTGATTATGGATTTTTCCATGAGGATGCTTCAAAAGTGTGCATTGATGAGCAAGACTTTTTTGAAATGATTGTTGGAGCTGAAAGAGCCAGTGAACATCCTTTGGCGGAAGCTATTGTCACCCATTTTTCACCCAAGATTGAACACTCGTTTGAGCATATGGACACAAGTTTGAACATTGTTGGAGGAAAAGGTTTGAAATATGTTTTCACAAACAAGAGAGACAACAAACAGCAAACAGTATTGATTGGAAAAGCCTCATTCTTGAGTCAGGAAGGAGTCATTGTTGAAAACACCAAAGATACCAAATTTACAAATACCAAAAAGCTCTTGAAAAAGGGCTGTACAGTGGTATTTTGTGCTGTCAATAATGTTTTAATTGGATATATTGCATTGTATGATGAATTGAAACCTGAAGCTGCTGAGGTCATTAGAACTTTAACAGAGGACTTTAATATCAAATGTGTGATTATGAGTGGTGACAACAAGCAAGCAGTACAGCAATGTGTCTCTCATTTGGGTTCTAACAAGTTGGATTATCTCTATGATAAGACTCCTTCTGAAAAGTGTCAATATATTGAATTACTTAAAAAACAAGGACATACAGTCGCAATGGTTGGAGATGGTATTAATGATTCTCCATCACTATCAGCAGCAGATATTGGTATTGCCATTGGAGATGGTACAGACATTGCAATTAAGAGTTCAGATATCATTTTGCTTAATTCAGATTTGAGAGATGTTGTTACAACTATTGAGTTGTCTCACAAAACTTTTTCTAGAATTCGATTGAATCACTTCCTTTCTCTTGGATACAATATGATCATGATTCCATTGGCATGTGGTGTGTTGTGGCCATTTTATGGTATTGTTTTGCCCCCTTATCTGTCATCCATGCTCATGATGCTTTCGAGTTTGAGTGTTCTCTTGAGCAGTTTGTCGTTGCGATTGACTTTCAAATCTCGAAAGAACTAAAAAGTTCAATAAAAATAGTTTTTTAATTGCCAACAATTCTGGAATTCTAACGAACCACACTCTTTCGTTTTTCTGCTCCCAAATAAGATTTAAAGTCAAAACTGAGAATCTCTGCTAATTGTTCCTTCATGTTGTTATGCATGACAGACAAGTGATCAACGTGTGCCTTGGTTTGAGCACTTCCAAACTTTCTGTACATTTCCAAACCCCTCTCCAAAACTTGCAGCTGATCTCCTAGTGCCTTTTGCAACCTCTTGACATTTGGCAGTTGATCTGGATTTTCTTTAATCCAATCCTCAACAAAGAAAGCACTAATATACTTGTTAATACCACCATGAACAGCAGCATCGATGGTACCATTCAAAGACATGGATAATTGCTTGGTATCTGGCTTAGTGTCCACCATATGATTCAACACAAGTTCATTCAAATCGACATTCTTATCTTCAATATTTTTGATAGCATTTTCAATTGGATTCAAAATGACTTGTTTACGAGAAATGATTGGTTTTCTTCTCACAACTGTTGGGAATGAGTCACCAGTCATGACAATTTCCACATTCAAATCCTTATCGTGATGAATGTCATCATTGAGTTGTGAAATGGGTTTGATGAAACTTCTTCTCAATTGATCATTTACCGATTCCTTATTGCTATCAATAATAAAGAATGTAAATTCTGTATACAAATCTCGAATCTCATTCATCTTCTTGTCATCAGGATGTCCTCGATAGGTTTTTCCTAATTTGAAAATTCGAATGTCATTAAAGGATTCATACGAAGTAATATTCTTTGAAACATTCATTTCACGTGCCACACTTGTGCATTTCGTTTCAACATCCTTATATGAAGAAGGATATACAGTAATAATTCGAATATATTGTCCTTCTGCTTGTTTCTTCTCTTCAGGTGCATCTTCCAGAGGTTTAATCAATTCCGCATTTGGAAAACGTTTTGTAATTCGATCTGTGAAATCCACCAATCTCTCTGCTTCATTTCCTCTATAAATATATTCCTTATTTTGCAATCCATAAGGTTCAAAACCTTTTCCATAATATCCTACAAAGAAATACGAAGCAAAGAATCGTTTTTGTTCGAAAATTTTTTGGAACCACTCTCCCTGTGAACGCATGAGATCGGACAATTTCTTGTACTCAAACGTTTTCGACTCGTAGATGGGAGCAAGTTCACGAGAGAGTTTGATGGCACGTTCCCAATCCTTACCTAAATCGAAATATTTCATGGCTTGTAAATAGAGTTTTTCCTTTCGTCGAAATTCAAATTCTTCAGGATATTCTGCAGACAGAGCAGGTAATACTTTGTTTTGTAAGGTATTGGCATTGAGTAGGAAGGATAATTTTTCAGCGTGTTTCAATAGGGCCATTCCTGCTTCGACAAAATTTGAATTATTTTCATGAATTTTGGCGAGCATGTGAATGTATTTGAAATAAATTTCTTCTTGTTGAGTGGTGGCAACGTATTGCATGACACGAAGGAGAGCACTTGTTTTTTGATCTTCTTGATCGTCTGTGAATCTTTTCACAGAAGCGACAAGTTCCATAAATCGTTTCGTTTGATTCATGAATTGTTTACCTTCTGTTTTGAGTAATTCATCCTTATCGAAACGTTCGTCAAGAACTTCAACAAAGAATTCTTTGAATTTATCATCAACGAGTTTGTCATTGACAATAAATTCGTCAAAAACGACAGCAGTGAGACCTTGAGTGTGTTTCAAACTCTTTTCTGATTGGAATTCTAGTTTCAAAATGTTGTAATAAATATTGAGAGTTTGAATGTAGATTTCTTGTTTTGGAATGGATGCTGCAAGTCTCAATACTCGATCAATTAAATCTGGTACAAAGTAATATTGATGGTCTTGAGATAAACTTTCAAAAATCTTTCTGAATAACATGACACAATCCACTCTCAAATCACCATGTAAATTAAATTTGGTTTGTTTGGAGAGGGAGAATTTTTCAATTTGCAATCGAGGACACAATGCAAATCGATAATACAAATCAAAGAGTCGATTCCATAACTTGGAGTCGAAACTTTTCACATGATGTTTCTGTAAGTATTCAGAAAAGATTTGAATCGTTTTCATGGAAGTATGGAATGAAAAGACGTTGAATGCAATCCAATATTCTGGAATGGGTGGATCATCAATCATGGATTCAATTAATTCGAAAATGTCAAGTACACGTTTGGTTCGAACTTTGGCCGATGGATCATCCTTGGTTGGAAGCACACGTTTTTTCATGAGACCTCCTTGAGTTTTGTCTTGTGTTAATTCTTGAATTTCTTCATCCTTGTATTGTTGAATGAGAAGTTTTTCCTCTTCTGTGAAATCTCGTTGGAAGTAGTCATTAATCATGTCAAAGTCAGTGAGATATAAAATACAGAGAACAACGGAGAAGAGTTGAGCACGAGTTTGTTGAATTCTTTCATATTCTCGTTGTTCTTGGAAAGATTCCAAATCGTCACGTTTGCCAAATCTTGAAATTCGTTGTTCTGCCTCTTGACTTTCTCTTGTGAGTTCATTAAATATGACTCGAATGTATGGCAATTTTGAAAGGAATAAATAGATATCTTTTTTCACATCGCTGTAACCTTCCACTCTTTGAATGAGCGCTCGTTGAATGGTTGCTAATGCATCTGCTAAAATTCCTGAACAAACACGTCGACTCAAAGAATTGGAAACGACTCTTTGTTTTTCTACTTGATTGAGAATCATTGGAAGAATTGTTGCTCTTGTTTCACGAGATTTCATTAATTCTGAAGAACAACATTGTCTGACAAGTCCTAATTTACCTTCAACAGTTGCCAAACGTCCAGTATTTGGAATTGCTTCAATAAAGTCCTTAATGAGTGCTGCAATGTCTTTCCTTTTGCATGAAGGAAACTCTTCAGTGACATGGAAGAAGAATGGAGAAAGCATTTTGAGAACAGTATCTTGAGCATCAAAAAGTTTTTGAGAACTTGTAACAGAAATAACCTTACTGATCTTTTCAAATACCTCTTTCACAGATTTGAAATATTCATCATTGGTCATACCACCCTTCAATTTTTCATTCTCATAATTTCTTCTATTTTTAGTGAGGAAGAGTAAAACCAGTGGGAATCCAATAAGAGTTTCTTTAAGGAGCGTAATACTGGACTGTTCTCCTGACTCTTGTTCCGACTCTTTCATGTCTTGTAAACTATCTAAATTAGTACTCAAACATTCCAAAAAGCATTTGTGAATGGTTGGATCTGAATGTTCAAAGCAATCGGTAATGTAGTCTTTGAACATGTCCAAATACTTTTCATTTTCTGGTAATCTCAACTTGTTTGCAAGAGAAAGTACTGTGTTAAATACAGCTCTAGAAGTCTCTTCATCTTTCTTTCTTGATAAAATGTCAAATAATGTGTTACAAACAACTTTGCAATATGGAGCAACAGTTGATAATGGCAATTTGTCAAAGTTGTCAAGAATTAATCGTGCAGGATATTGTTTAGTTTCCCATCGAATGAATGTGTCCAGAGTTGGGTCTTGTGACATGATGGTTGAAGATAACTTGACTCTCACTGCAATGACGTCTTTTGTTGAAATCAATTTAGATGGAGAACTAACATAATCCATGATAGTCTTTTCCATATCTTTCACGTACTTGTAAACTGGAAGATGGACAACACCAGTGTCGTTTTCACCCTTTGTGACAATACCAATATCATCCTTAATACTCATGAACGCAACACCAAATTTTTCAGTCAATTGTTTCTTCTTTGCAGTGCAATTGGAAAGAATAATCACTAGAACAGAATTGAGAATTTGATCGGGTGTCAAACTAATTTTCATGGTATCATTCCATGTAGGATTTGGAACGTGATACAAAATGGAGCTATGATAATGTGTGAATGGTGTCTTATAGAGACAACTATATCTGTCAATACAGGGCAAACTTTGTTTGACAGAGTTCGAATAAATCTTTGCTAATAACTTGATATTACGAGTTTCTGTGAATTTTCCTCTCATCATGGTGATGTATAAATCATTTCTCTCTTCTTTAGGATGGAAAGGAATGGTTAAATCGATGCATTTAGTGAGAGCTACTTGTGTCGTGGGAGAGAGTGTTTCCTTATTTTCTTCCAACACCTTGGAAATGGGTTTGTTAAATAATTTCAATGAAATACCAACACCAATAGCCTTATCTTGTGGAATTCTTTCCAAAGGACCACCTCCATCAATAATAATGTCAGGCAACTTGGCAAATAATTCTTCCTTCGGTGTTGTGTATAAAATTAAAGTACCAGGTTGGAAATCTTTTTCGTTCATCATGTGTTCTGAAATGACTTCTGGAGTAATTGGCATGAGAGTTCCACAAAACGGACGTCTATAACTTGGCTCTTCTTCAATATCGTCAATATTGGGATTTACACCTTGTCCTTGTTGGAGGAAATTTTGCATGGTTGCTGTTGGTAATTGCTTCTTAGTATTTGCTTTCATGTCGAAAAGCATTTTACCTTTACGATAAATTTTCACAACAAGATATAGTTCTTGAAGGTACTGTGACTCGGGAATGTCTGTGAAAAGTGCTTTGCAATTTGTGATTAAGCGAGTGTCACGAGGCATTCCCAAAGATGTCACAGTAAATGCAAAATCTTCAGTAATGTATCTCTTTTCAGTATAATTGTAAACAGAAAAGTACAATTCAGCTTCTTCTCCGAATGTGAACATGCAAGCTTCAACATTAACGAGTAATTGAACATTTCCTCTTGGTAATTCATGTCTCATTCTCACACGTTGAAGAGCATCGGTCACTGGGAAGTTTTCATCAATCTTTAAAATCAATTCATTTTCCTTCTTTTTAAACTGCTCTTCTTGTTGAATGAGATTCTTGTTGGATGGATTGGATGAATCGTGTTGAGATCGAAGTTGTTTCATTTCCTCTCGAACTTTACGATTTCTCTTGGATTGATCCTCTTTTTCTTGTACTTCAGAGTATTGATTGAAAAGATCAATGACGGCAGTGTTCGATTCATTGGCACGTTGACCTTTTTGAGGACCATCATTCACACGAACAATCAAGTCCAAGTTTAACTTTCTGGAACCCTCTTCGATCACTTTGATGACTCGCTGATTAATTTCTTCTTTCTGTTGTTCATCAGCATCTTTTTGGAAGTTATAATCTGTGATTTTCTTTCTCAACCCAACAAGGATAGCCATTTGACGTTTGACCGCATGATATTCTTCCATCATATTTTCATTACGGAGTTTAATCAATTCACTTGACCATTCTCTAATGACTTGCAAAATCTCACGAGCGAGAGGGCTCTCCGAAAATTCAACTGCTTGTTGAAAAGTTGGTAATTTTCTACTTTTCACATTTGATGTTGATGTTGAAGTGTCGGAATCTGTTGTGTGTGTGGATGGTCAATATGATGATGATGTGAATATATTGGAATGTGAAGTGTACCATCAAATTCACAAATGTCAAGTATTAATTCGAATTCAATTGAACACACCATGATATTATTATTACTAACATACCTAATTTAATAAAAGAACCAGGATAAATTCCAACATGAGGTTCATGATGTTGTTGACGATTGACTGCTGCTACTACTGAATTGGTTCCATTTTGTGAAACGTTGTTGGAATTATTCTTAATAAACGAAGCAGAAACATTGGAGGTTGCAGAGCTAGTGCCATGACTTGTTATTGTTGTTGTGGAACTAGTAGTACTATTATTAGATGATGTGATGGTTGTTGTTCTTGGTGATACTCTTGGTGATGTGGTTGTTGATGATGACGAGTCTGTGTTGTTATTCAAATTTCCACTACTTCCTCCAAATTTTGAGGCTCGAATTCTCACAATGCTTCTCGGAGAGTTGACTCCATTGGATGATGAGTTGACACTATTGGTTGTTGTTGTTGTTGTGGTTGACGAGTTACTACTACTACTAGTATTATTACCATTCGTAGTGGGAGGAGAAATTTTACCAGAAGACGATGAATGATTTTCATTCATCACCGAGGTGAGCGATGATGTATCAGCAATGGTTGTTGTTGTTGTTGTTCGTTCCAATTCTACCAAATACCAACCATCTTTTTTAGCATGGCATCGAACACGATCTCCCTTGTTGAGTGTAATTTGGAAGCGACCTTCAGCAGCACGAGAGAAGAGAACGGTGCCGAGAGTGTCATTGGGGAAGCGAGACCATGGAGCCATTAATGATGATGTAAGTGTGTAATGGGTCGTGAGGCTAAATTTTTTGTGAAAATGTGAATCTCTTCGATTTTTGAAATCAAGTGTCAGGTGTCAGCAAGTTTGAAATGTGGACCTTAATGATTCGTGTTTTATTGATCAGGATGTGCGACAAATTTTGGGCTGGCTTTGTTGCTTGACCTCTTTCACAACTAACTAATACCACTTGGAAAACAACAAATTGGTGCTTGACTAGCGGTGTCCTTTCAGCGTCAGTTACTTACATTGAAAATGCTTGATATGATGAAACAGTTCTATGATGTAAGCGAATAGTCTGAGTTCTTGTTTGGCAGAAATTGCCACTTTCATCCAACCTTCTCACTTTGTTAAGGACAATTTCTTCTCTCCTTATTATTATGAGCATAATACTGTTCAGTTTGACCCATCGTCTTCATTTGATCCTCTCATCACTCCAAGAGGTGAAATTCAAATGAAGGATGGGTATTCATTGTTTATCATTCTCCCTGTATGTAGCAAATATTTTAGATCACCTTCTTGTTTCGATAAGGACTTGATTTGGTCAAAGACAACATCTCCCTTATGAGAACCATGTCTCAGCAGGAAGAATGGAACGTTCACAGAGGTGTGGCATGCGAACACCAAAAGTGAAACTACACTAGGTTCACATCATCAAGCGCTTTTCATCGTGCGTCATTCTATAATTATTGAGATTTGTGGCTGGAAGTGATGTTTGTGGCATGTTCCTAGCAAGAAAGGCTTGTTGAAACTTTCATAAAAGGTGTGATTTGCACAAATGATTCTTAAAGTTCAAAAGACGCAACTACAATCTTTAAATTCATGAAAGCGTGAATAAGAAAATCATCAAAAAAACATTGTAAACAATTCGAGCCATTTTGAAAGCTGGCTATCTAGAGAGATCTTCTCTCGGTCCCGTTCAGAAGAGAGATATCTCTCATTTGCTTTCACGACCAGAGAGAAAGAAATTGAAAGTATTCATTGTACGAGAGAATACCACAAGAAAAAGTTATTACATTCTTCGTTGTTGAAAGAGAGGGCTGCCAAGCAAGCGTGAAAGGAAAAGAATAGAAACGAGGAGGACCATACCCTTTCTAAAATACTAATGATGAGAATACTTGTTTATCAACGTGCATGCTTGCAGACACGAGAACCTTCGTTCTGTTGATTGAAGAAGATGAAATCAAGCGAGAACAACAACAACTCGTTGAACGCCCAATAAATGTTAAAAAATTTTTTTTTTAAATTTTGTGTTTTTAAAAAATGAACAAACATTTCTTCAAATTATTTTCGAGCGAGGGTCAAGCTACGTCCTCATCAGCAAGCAACAAACGTCTCGGAGGACTGGAAGAAGATGAAAGACAACCATTAGATTTAACCAATGAAGAAAATATGCAAGATGAGGATTTTATAATAACACAAAATGACCAAGAAGAGGATGAAAGATCGGACACACTTCGTATTGATGACGGAGAGGACAATGAGAAGATTCAACTTGTGAATGAAGACGAAAGTGTTGTGAATAATAATCCAATGGAAGATGATGATGATAGAGAAAAAGCTTTTGAAATATATGAGAAGAATTATAGGAGTCACGAAATCAAGAACAGTAATACAGCACTAGATGCCAAGTTTTATGAAATCATGGAGCAGAACTGTTACCAATCCGAAACATCTCACATTATTTTAAGTAAACGATATGAGAAAATATGTGAAAGAAAGTAAGTGAAAATTCAACAATCATTGCAATATTAATTTTTGGAATTGTAGAGTGCAGGAGTTAGAGGAAATTTACAAGAAGACATACTTCTTACCCGATGAACAACATTTCAAAGTGAAAGAAGAATATTATACTCTAAAATTGGAAAAATATACTTGGGGGTTGATTTACACCCTTTTTGAAGACGAAAAGAGAATGGTACGGCAATATGAACTTCCTGAACAAACCGATTATAAGGATTTTTTGTGGAGAAATAGTCACAGAGAAATTGTGGACAGAATGAAAACAAACTCAGAATTTAGAAAGCTATGTGTATGTAATATCAACTTGTGCTGTATGGCAAAAATTTTTCACAATTTAATAACCACACCATTATCAATGTCAACAAAATAGCTTATTGTGGAATGGCTTGAGAAAAACGCTAGAGAGAGGATTGACATTGAAAACGAAGGAAATTGGATGTATACTTCAAGGAAGGACAGACAAATTGATCCTGACACTGTCTACAAACAAAACACACTGAATGAAGACGATTTGAGACAAGAAAGACTCATTGTCAAGAAAACTTGGGCCCTTGTCAGATCAGGTCAAATGAAGGATGCACAAATGTTTTGCCGTAAGCACGATCAATTTTGGAGAGCAGCAACGATAGCTGGTTCGGAGCTTTACCATAACCCAAGATTATTATCAAAGGAAGGCAATGTTGAGGAAGAAAACTCTGAAACCGTTGGTAACCAAAACCGTTTTGTTTACCTTAACACATTAATCTCCATGCTAAAATCAGAAGATTACATGACCAACGATGAAATACATCACTATGAAAAAGCTATCTACGGTAGTATTTGTGGTGACTTGCCATCAATGTTAGCTGTTTGTAACGACTGGGAAGATTATCTATGGGCCTATTGTAAGGCAACTATGAATTATTTCATCAACAGACAACTTGCTGAATTTGTTCCAAGCGACTCTGAAGACAAGAAATACGTAGCTGATGTTATAAGCTTTACCAACTCCAACAATAGAAGCTTCCATGAAATTCTTCAATCATTGCGAGTGTCCAACAATGAGAAAGTCAAAGAAGAAGCTGTTCACTACCAACACGTCGTTCAAGCTTACATTATTTGCAACCAAGTTCCTGAACTTATCAAATATTTACTTGATTCTATTATTCATCCTGCTGAAAAATCTATGAGCTACATTTCACACTTTTTAAGATTTAGTTCGCATTTTATTTTGACACTATCAATGGGTGGGGATGTAGTATTTACAAACGATCGTGGAAAGGATGCAATTTTAGTCAAGTACATCCACTACTTGGTGAATACTAAACAATATGAACATATAGCATTTTATACCAGATTTATCAGCGAGAAACACGAAACTATGAACAACTATGACTATCGATCTATAATTTTTGCTGAGGCTATTGTTTCAATCGAGCAATTAGAAAAAGAGAAAACCATTTCTGGAGATAATGTTTTGAGAAGAATGTTAATTGCGTCAGCAAAGAAAAATCAGCTCAATGTTTCTGAAATTGCAAGTATTGTAGCTGAAAAATCTCTTCAATCTGCAGAGAGCATCAATGCCATGCCCCACGTTAATTTATTAGATTCTCACTTTTTCCTTGACCCCAATAATAATCCATTTAATAAGCTTCGCGAAAAACACACCACAGAATTAGACATCAAGAAGATCAACTCGATTGATTGGTTATGTATTGAAGATATTAGTCCATATGAATGTCTTGCACAGAGCAACTCTTTGTTGCGTGAATTCATTCAGCTAGGTAAATTAGAAGCATTTGAAATGCTTTTGAATAAGCTTCAGGAGGCAATTGATCCAAAGCTTGAGAACCAATATGATACACCAATCGAGAAAGAACAACAACAATCACTACAAGAATACCATGATTGGAAGCTCTACAAGGAAACGATGTTGTCCTATGACAAATGGAGCAATCAATTAAGACAAAAGCCTCAATTTAAAACCATGGAAAATGTCACATTCAAAAGTCAAGCAGATAAGATCAAATACGAAACAGAGCTCAACACATTCACAAACACAACATTGAAAAAGTGGGCCCAAGAGAATGACTTGTTGTTAGAGGATGCGGTGAAAAAACATTTTAAATTTTTGGAGCGTAGATTTCTTGATCAGGAGCAAATCAATGACAATCCGCCACATCTGATCCATGAACTCAAACAACGATGTATTCCTGATGTCGTGTTTTGCCTCTATCAATTATTGTCCTTCTCAGAGAAGTACGAAGAATGCATGCAACTGGCTGACCAAGTTGCTTCTGATTCACTCTCACTCTTTGAATACTTTTCAAAGGAGCAATTACTTGAATTCTTGAAACTTATGGGTGTTTGTGAACTTAATGCCATTGTACAAGAACCGCTACTGTTGCAACAATAAACATTCAAAACGACGCCTCGGCCGCGTTATCCACAATACATTCTTTTGAGTTTTCACACACAAAAAATGTCTCAACCACCAGCAGCTACCTCAACTTCATCTTCCGATAAAACAATCACTCGATCCGATACTCCAATCGAGCAAGAACAACAACCAAACTCCCAACCCAATCATGTGATACGATACTTCTTTTTTGATTTAGACGATTGTTTATATCCAAAGAGTTCTGGTATCAACATTCATGTCCGTAACCGCATTGCCCAATATCTGTCGGAAAAGCTCGGAATTGAGAATGCTGAGGAAAAGAGCGTTAATTTATATCTTCAACATGGAACCACATTGAGAGGTTTAATAGCAGAAGGCTACAACGTGGATCCATTAACATTCTATCACTATGTCCATTCCGGATTTGAATTGAATGGAGTTCAGCAACATGATGAAGAATTACATTCCATGATAGCAAAATTAAAGCAAAATGTGGATAAAGTTGTTTTATTTACCAATTCTGATTCAAGACATGCTCAACGATTATTGAGTCATTTAGGAATTTTAGAATTATTTGACCAAATTGTTTGTTATGAAGATTTAGAACTCTCGGTGAAGCCTCACCCTCATAGCTATGAAATAGCTGCTGAAATTTCGGGATTACCGAGTGGCTCTCTTGAACATCATTCACCAAGTTGGAAAGATATGATTGTGAATAGTCAATTAGAAATTTATTTTGCAGATGATAATTTGAAAAACGTGATGTCAGCTTTTGATATGGGTTGGAAAGCCTGTTGGGTTTGTGAACAGGAGGGAGTTGAGCCACCACCCAATGAGGGAATTCCATTTGTCCAAGACGTGAAACAAATAACCAAAGTCTGGCCACATTTATTTCAATAGTGATTGAAACAACCTCCAATTTACTCATTTATTTCATTTCCATTACATAATTCGTTCAATTCTTCTCCATTCCAAGACTAGTTCTTCTTGACACATTAAATTATAATTATTATAAAAAGCAAGATGCTGTTAATTGAAATTCATATTTTTTCGAAAAAATGAAGCGAATTTTCCTCTCATCCTCTTTGTGCTTGTCCAAGCAAAAGGCTTTGCTGCCAACAACAACGAGCAGAATGGTTCCATCATCACATATGAGTCATCAGGCCATGATGATGTTTCAACAACAATACCATCAACAAAATTTTTCATCAAATCAAAGCATGATGATGCCATCCACTTCATCATCGGACGGTGCGAATATTCCAGAGCCTCAACTTTTATATGAACGCTTCAGAAACGTAAAGAAGCCCCTCAAAAAGAAGGCATCCTATGAGCAATTTGTTCAAACTGAAAACAAAAAAGTAGAGGATATTTCCCTAACAAATTTAAAGCTTCCTACACCACTCAAGAAGAAGAGAAGAGTAGGTAGAGGTGCTGGATCCGGTAGAGGAAAGTACTGTGGAAGAGGTAGAGGTGGTATATACTCACGTAGTGGTATTAATTTACCTATTGGTTTTGAAGGAGGACAAACACCACTTTGGAGACGTATTCCAAAGTTTGGATTCCGTAATGGCAAATTCAAACTTGATTATCAGGAAGTGAATTTAGAGCAAATTCAATATCTCATTGATTCAGGACGTATTGATATCAGCGATGGAAAAACAATTACAATGAGAACTTTGAAAGAAGCAGGTTTAATTAAGAACGTCAAATATCCTGGAATTAAATTGCTTTCGAAAGGAAAAGAGTTTTTCCGTTCAAAGGTTGACATAGAGGTTCCAAAAGCATCAAAGCAAGCAATCAAGGCTATAGAGAAAGCTGGAGGATCCATTCGCTGCATTTATGTCAACAAGAAGAGTCTTCATGCCATGTTGAATTTCGAGAGATATGTGAACAACAAGGGCCATTTACTCTCAGAAGAGGAGCTCAAGAATCCACATATCATTTATCACAAATATATGGGTATGCCCCCACCAAAGCTTTTGAGTTACTACATGAACGAAGAAAATAGAGGATATTTGGCAGAATTTACAAAGGCTTCAAGCTTTGAATTTTATAATGATGAACAAAAACAATAATTCCTCAATCATACATGAATTCATTAAAAATATTATTGCATGAAATTCAAAGTCCCCAAGCCAGTAATGCAGCAGTTGAAACTGCAATCGACATTGGATACAACCATGGATTCTTGTGCTTTTGTCCCTTCACATGCCAATACCAAAATGCACCAAAATGAAACAAACTGTAAACCCAGTTGACACGAACGACCAAACGTTTCACTTCTTCACTTCCCACAGCTTCACGATTCTTCATCAACAACACATGCCAACACAACGCAGAGATCACAGCGTCACCGGAAGCAGCAAGAGAACACCAGAATTTTGAAGTAGGAGTGACTTCTCCGTTGAAATACTTAACGGTGCCGCCAGGTGAAAAGACATAAAGAGCTATTGATGGAAGGGGAACCAAAGCTCCACTCCAGAAGAAAAGAGATTGAATTAGCGAGGATCCATAAGATGTGGAAGGTGACAACGAAGGAGGATTGTTTACTGATCTAGACATTTTTTATTTAATTAAAAATGATTGAACGACTATTTGGAGAAAAGGATATTCACTGTTACTAAGGGAAATCGGTAAATGTTTTCTCAATGCTCGAAAAGAAGTGACCTAAAATGACAACCCTGTTGACTTGGCCTTTATTTTGTTTTATTAAAGAGGATAGATGAATTACCAATAATTGTTGGAGGTTTGGGAGAGGAAGGATATTGTTTGATGTGATGGCAATAACTATATCATATTGATTATTAAAAGGTTCGTTGATGTGATCCGAAATATGTTTTAAATTATAAAATGTTGCCAATATTTGCCATCACCATTAATTTAAAATTCGTTTAAATTATTGTTGTTGTTGTTGCGATGATGATGATGCAGGAGTTTTTTCTTGTTGTGCTGCTTGTTGCTCAACTCTCTTTACGAATTCTTGTTCTGGGGCGTCCACATAAGCCAAAGTTGAAACGTCCTTATGAGTTGGGTTGAAAAAGTGTCCAGGAGGGTAGTGTCTCTTCTCCGGATTTCCAGACCAATTAGGTTGATGAGCACGTCTAACTCCAAACCCTTTTCTATTAGTTTCATCTTCCGTTGGAGGTTCATCTCTTAGTCTATGAATCCACATATGCCATTCAGCAGGAATGTCCGAAGCATCATAAATAAGATCTTTACGAGCAAGCTCTACCCAACGATTACGGTTCAACTCAGTTGGTTTTGTGGTTTCCCAGTACTTGTTTCCGTATTTATCAACACCAACAAGAACTTTGTCCCCCTTTTCCCACCAGGCTTCTCTGAGTTTAAAAGCCTTCTTCAAAGTTTCCATCACTCCAAATTGTTTGAAATCATTTAGAAGGGAGACTTTTGCTTGCCAAAATCCACGAAAATAATTCGCCATGATGATAAAATATTTTTTTTAATTGTGATGGATAACAACGAGTTGGTCCAGAGCGTGGATTGCCTATTGGCAATAAAATCGAGTGAGTCACAATCTGGGTGAGAAATCAGTCAACAGGGAACCTAATGAATGGAATTTAATGCGCTCCATCCCATCGCTTCATCTTACAGATTGTTCAAAATATCATCAAAACTTTCCTCTAAGGTTGTTGGAAGAGTTCTTGGATTGGCTAACTCTGAGGTTGGTAAATTATTGTGAGATAGGTTCGTTTGAGCTTGTTCTATGGTTGATGGAAAACCTCCAACATGATTTGCTGATGTTGGATCAAATGTATGAGTACCGTCTCCTTCTCGAACCAATGAATAAAGAGATGTTAAATGCTCCTGAAGTAGAAAGCTCTTATTATCAGCACCTGTTGTCTTTCCCTCCGTTCGTAGCGTTTTTAATCTCTCAATTTCACTCATTACGAGTTTTGATACTTCTGTTTCTCTTCGCTGTTTGATAGATTCTAGTCGATAAATAATCTGCGAGTATCTTTTACGAATTCTTCCAAATTGCTTTTCCAAATAGTTCATTGCCTTAAGATCTTTGTCAATCATTGTATAATAATCTACACCGAATTCATAGTTGCTTCTCAAGCCACCTTCAATTTCCTCAATGATACCAATGTGAACTTGACATGCTGCAATAACCGATGACATGTAGAGTGGAGAGGCAAATCCAATCGATATCTCATTGGAGAAAATCTCTGCAATTCTATTGGCTGCATCTTCTAGAACTTTTCCCTTGTAGCCGCATTGTTGAAGTATGAGAACACGAGTGCCGTTAATGAATGCATCACAAATAGCTTTAGAAATTTCTTCCTGTTCTGGTGTGAGTGTTTTTTGTCTATCACTTTCATGCTGTGTGACGAGTTTTGTTATTAGGTCGAACAATGTAAGATACAAATAGATTGTATCTTGGTTAATTGATTGAGATGTAATTTGTAACAGCTCTGGAGGTACCTTTTTCAAGCCTGTAGTATACTTGTAGAAGCCAACCAGCAAGTTTGCCACATCATGTTGACATTGTTTAGAAATGGACTCAAAATCCAGTTCTGCAAAATCGTCGTAAACAGGTTTTTCTGTACCTGAGCCAATTCCTGCTGCCATTTCTGCAATTGACTTTAAATATTTCAGATTTTGCTGACCTAATGAGTACTTTTCTTTCAGTTGTGTGAAATAGTAGTCCACAAAACTCAAATAAAAAATAGCGTCTCCATCATTTCCTTCTCCAGAACAATATATCGAAAGGTTGCAGTATGTACATGCTGTTAAAAAAGATCTCCATTGATCGAAGACATGAGAAAGCATTGATCTAGTTTTTTCGTATGCTCTTTCTGCTTCATCTTTGAACCCTCTTCTTTGACACATTAGCATATGAATACTGTAGAGAAAGCAATTAGCTTCATCACTCCTCTTGTCAGAGAAAAATATATGCTCTACAGATCTTTGATCCATGAGTGGCATGGACGTAGATCTATAATAGTCATCAACCGTCAGTCGTTTCATTAACTGTTTGTTCAAGTCTCTACTCATTCGAATTAAAGCAATCAAACTTTCATTATTAAAGTCAACTTGAGGCATTTGTGAAAATCCTGGCACATCAATTTCTGTTGTGTTGAGTTCGGGCATCATTAGAGCGGTGGTAGTATTTGAGGAGGAAGCGTGTTGTAATCTAGATACTGCCGAAATTGATGTGGCATTGTTCTTATTCAAAGGATTTTCCAGCCAATTGTTGGTATGTGGGTCAGAATTATTGGCGGATGTAAGGAATTGAGTAGTAGTGTTTGTTGAGGCGTCATTGATATGAAAGGTGTGAGAGGTAAAAGATTGCATTCCTGAAGATGACGAAGATTCCGTTGTTGGTTTCACAATGTCAAATTTTGAGTAACCTTCATGCTCCTCCTCTTCATTGGCTGCGTTGCTAGCTTTGTTTTTTGAGCTAGGCCGTCCTCGTTTCTTTGGTTTTCGATACTGGTTTGGATTGAATAACAAAGGCAAATTGTTAAAATTTAAATGATCATAGCGACAACCTACCTGGCATATTAATCCATGTTTGATGCAATATGTACAGGATGGTATTTTCTTATCTAATTATTATTATGATAACAATAATTTGAAACGACATTTTGAACTTTAGTATTGTCAGTATCCATGAACTTACCACACTTGATATGCTTTTCTCTGCAAGCTGTACAGGCAATATGAAAAGACGCAGAAGTTAGAGAAGAAAGATCGTTCTGATTTTTGAATGGTTCCTCAACGGTCGTGGTCATGACAGTGTTTGTGGGAGAAAGTGGTCTTTCAACGTTATGATGACCATGGTTTCCACTATCGACTGTTGTTATGCTTGTTGGCAACATGTTGTTGGTGACCGTCGAACCAAAAATGTCAGCACTTTCTGAAGGTGAGTATGAAAACGAAGGAAATGGTTGTTGTTCCTCGTTAGAAGGAAAAAGCAATTGGGAAAATGTTCCAGCTGATGAATGTGGCGGACTTGGTGTATTGTTGTGGTGAGTGATGATCTTGTTCTTTGGCTGTTCAATATACGGCTCCCAAATATATTCCACGTTCTTTAGCTTTCCATTTGATGAAAATGATCCAACAGAGGGCGAGGACGATGATTTCGAATCAGAGGATGATGACGGGTAAGGTTTGTGATTTGCTGATGTGCCTGCTTTTGCTAATTCTTTTGGCATTTTGTTTGTTAAATATGATGTGATGATAATCTTGTGTTAATTTCAACCGATTATTGTTGTTATTATTATTTGATTTTGTTGGTTACTAGGTCAATAATTGTTGTTGTTTTATGCACAAGGTCTTCCTTTTTTGTTGTTGATGAGCGGAAGGTTTTGTTTCAACTGCAGCCTGTAGGTTTGCTGTTGGTTGTTGGCCGGTTTTTTAATCGGTTCAGCTGGAAAGCCGTCTCGTTCGAAAAGCAACCGTTGCAACTATTTTTTGTTTTTGGCTTTGCAAGGCTTGCGCGAATCTTTTATTATTTCAAAAGAAATTGCTGCGTACCACCCATCACTTTCTTTTTTTGTTTCTGATTCATCTGTTTATTTCTGCTGCTCTGCCAATTGGCGGATACTTGTGTGAACGCGTTCATGATTTACCGTAGAACAGATGATTGTTTAGTTCAAGGGATTGAGCAAGTCCTCAATTCGAATATGAGTCCTTGGAATACGAGGAATTGCTGAGGTTGGGGATACGGGAGGTGTGTTGGACGAAGAGGAGGAAGAGGTTGAGCTTTGGCAACTACTTTTCAGAGAGGAGGCTGAGTTGGAACAGCAGCTAGAGTACTCTTCTCCACCACTTATGAAGTTGTTTGCGTTCATGTTCAATACATTGTTGGGAAGATGAGAGCAAGGCACTGGAGGAACTTCAGCTGGTTTGGGGTTTGCAACTCTTGTTTCTTCCTTTCGTTTGTATATTCTCTTTGGATTGTTACAAAGCTTCCAATGATAGAGTGGAACCTTACTTCCGTACTTGACGTCCTCTTGTTGATATTCCATTTGGAACACGTTTCCCTCTTGAATATCTAAGTTTTCGTGTTTGAGAGTGTAGAAATTCACGATAAAAGCATATTCTCACAAAAAGACATCATCATTGATAGTACTTACTTGCTTTCGTTGGTGGTCGGGCCGTATTCGACACAGATGGTGCTCCTCTCAATCCTTTTGTCTGATTCGACATTTGTTGTCCAACATTATGAAAAGAAACTTGAATAAAGTTGAATGGAGCGTTGGAGTGGTTGTTCACCATGGGTGTTGTCGTTGCCAATGATTTCAATCTTGTTGCAGCAGAAGAGTTCGTACGAGAGGTCTTGGAATGATGCAAATGAGAAGCAGCATGAGAAGGAGAATTAGTAGAACCCAAATGCAAATGGCTTGTGTGGTGTTTGGTCATTGATTCTTGTGTTTCAAGCTTGTTGTTTTATTATTTGTCGAAATTGTTAAATCAAGAAAATAGTTCAAAGATCAAGGTAATATTTAACCACCTCCACACATAACCACCTCTCTATTAACTCGAATGAAACTAAATTCGTTCAAAAGTTGTTTCCTAATGTGAAACTTACTATTAGACAAACTCGCTTTTTTCAACAAATTGGCGATTTTTGGGAAAAAAGCTAAAATGTATCCACGATTCTATATATCAATTTTGGTTTGATTGGAGTTCATTCACGTTATTTCTGACGAATTTTCCCATGTGGAGTTTGGCACTCAATTATCACTTTTCGATAAACAATTGTTTGTTTCTAAAAAAGGATATGAGGTAGTCGATGCTTAAATATACACTTGACAATTGCATATCGGGTCTTTGTGTGGTCCAATCGTTGTTTAAAACAACATACTCGAAAAGGAACGTCTCTTTTAAATTTCGTATTTTTGCTAACGAACGATTAGGAAAGGTTCTCATTCGAATTCGACCTCCTAAAATATGGAAAGTATGAGTTTAAAAGCATGGTTTTGGTACTTTTGTCGAGAGGAGTATGTGCTATGAAAGGACATTGGTATGAATTTCGAGAGACCAGTGAAGTCCTAAGCCAATACTACAGCACTAATGTTGCTCGAGGTTTCTTTTTCCGTTGTATAGGAGAGGCTATCTAGATGATGAGGTACTTTTCTCACAAGTAATATTAAGAACAATTAAGGAAACGATGACACCAATACAACCATGCTATCTTCTTTCTAATATATAGATGGTTTATTTTTAATTCTAATGCGATTTTCAGGTAACGTGATCGTTGCACTGAACATGAAATACCGACCATTATTTTACAGTCGGATCCAACAACTCTTGAATAGTGAATATACTTGTCCTTTTTCTTCGTTTTGTCTGAGTTTGAGTGGTAGAGAGTAAACCTGTTGTTTGAAGACTTCGTTTGTTTGGGCGTTCATCTGCTTCGAGACTTGAACTTTCAGAAGGTACGAACGGTTTAGAGTTGCATGCACTCGATTCTGAACATTCATTGGAATTGTGGGTCTTGGATGCTTTTAATGGTCTCTGGAGTGAATCTTTTTGTGGATCCTCTTGTTCATTCCATTCTCCATGATAGTAAGAGTGATGCAACAATGAAAGCTTATTTTGGGGAGTTGGTGTTGCCAAAGGTTCGGTAAGAGTTGCATCTTTTCTAGATCCTTTGGAGAAGGATTGTTGAGAACGGGTATGTTTCTTGAGAGTCCAATGAAAGACGGGAACTTTCGTTCGATGTTGTCTTTGTTCAGAGCATGCTTTCTGTTCACAATTAGAGTTTGTTCGAGGGGAATGTGTTGCACCTTTGGAATCTCGCTGCTGTAAAGATGGAGATGATGGACAAAAACCTGTGGTTGCGTTTTTGTACTCAACCAATGTTAAATCGTTGGATCCTCGAAGACGCTGATATTCGTCTGACTTGGAACTGGACGAGCATGAATCGTGAATGAAGGACACCTGCACAAAGGCAAGGTCCTTGAGTGGAGATTGGCGAGTGGCAGTTGGTATAACAGTAGAGGGTTTCACAGCAATCGATTCTTTCTTAAAATATATTTGTTGTGTTTTGTGCATTCTGTTTTTTTGATAGAGTTTCGACGGCTTGTTGACTGAAGTAAAGAGGAAAAACAGAGCTATTCTTTTGTGTTCGTGAGTACAAGTTCGTATGATGAATCGGTCCTTTTTCGATGTAAAAGTAAAAACCTGAAATAAAGGATTTGTTTACATTCCATCTTGGATTGTTTTAAGTCTTTTCATGTGTGACGGGAGTGAATGCTCTATCCATGTAGTTGACTTTTTAGTACCGGAAAAGACACACGCATTCGTTCAAAAACCATAAATGGTTCGTCTGATTGTTTTTGGGACAAACCGGCTGTTGTTAATAGGCTAAAATTGAAACTGGATATGTTCTGCAATGGGAATGAAGAATTACAATATTAACCTTGTTTTTAAGATTCAATATTCTTAAATTATTTTTAATGAGCCTTATTGTTTGGTTTTTAATAAAATTTTAAATAAAAAATTCTATTATTTAATTGTTCTCACTGGCGTCACGGTCAGTAGAAAAACTTATTTCCATAGTAGTAAGGCGAGTTCAAAACTCGGTTTGGATAATCTTTGACACCAATATGTTGAGGCTGAACTATGTTTTGTGCCGACATGATTTGAATTAGGTTTTCCAAGTCTTGTTTCAGTCTTCTCAATGCGGATTGAAGAGCTTCCATATCCTCAGAACGAATCATAGCAACAGGGGACATGAAAGAGACTCCGTGTTGTTCCATTTCGTTCAATTTGATTAGTGACTGCAACAAGTCAAACGAAGTGTTCCATCTTAGGGAATTCAAAGCATGAAAAAAGTATTGAGCATGGTTTGGCTCCCTCTCATTGAGTCTATGAATAGAATGCAAACACAAGTCAAATGGAACTTTCAGGTTGGGATGAATGTTTGGACCCAGAGTATGCTCTTCAAACAGCTGAGGCGGCACAATAGGCAATCGTTGATCACCTGGTTGATCTTGGACTAATTGATATGATGGTGAAATGGTTTCAAGCAGAGAGGCAGTTTGAATTTGATCCTTCGTTTTATATTTCCGTTCCAAAGGGCCTGTTTCTGTGGTGGAAGCTGTAATAAACGAAGAAAGGTTGCGTATGTTACTGATCATTGTAACACACAAGATGTATAGAGCGTTTTTATTTTGCTTGGGATTTAAAAAACTTTAAACTGTTTTTGGAAAGTCACTATTTATGTGTCGGGTTGTTATTCCAAGACCAGACTAATTCAAGAATATGCTTTTAAGGCTTGTTTTTAAATTGAACGAATATTAGTTTTAAACTCAGGCTGTAGTGTAGTAAAAGATCATCTACAAATTTTGTTCACCCTTCAGATTTTTAAAAACAAACCACAGTAGAGGCGTAACTGTTTATGCTTTCACTTGTTCAGCAACTTCTTCAGCAAAGCTCTTCTTTGGTTTGTATTGCATTCCTTCACCAACCTTCATTCTTATAAAATCAACAATTTCAACACCAGAATCCTTGCAGAATTGTTGAACAGACATCTTTTGGTCTAAAACCCAAGGTTGAAGTAAAAGAACATGATCTGAAAGGAATTGCTTATTCAATTGACCCTCAATCATCTTGTTGAGAATATCTTGTGGTTTTGGTTTGTATTCTTTTCCTTCTTGCTCAGCTTTTTGTTTTTCTTCAGCTTGCTGTTCTTCAAGTCTCTTCAACAATAATTCACGCTCGTGTTGAATGACTTCTGCTGGAACTTGCTCCTTTGTTAAATAATTTGGACCCATTCCACAAATGTGCATGGCAATTTGTCTTCCAAGACTTTGCAATTGTTCTGGAGTCTTGCTGGATCCTGGGGCAGCTTTAACAATGACAAACGATCCAACTCCACCCATTTTCTCTCCCTTGCTATTGTGAAGATATCCCACTAATTGATGTTCACTCGTGTTGGTATTAATCATGTATTTGATCCTTCTTGGTTTTACATTTTCACGTAAAACAGCCACAAGTTCATTAAATTTCTCTTTCATGGAGCCATTGCCTCCAAAAATTGCAGAATTTGCAACAATTTCATTCTCAAATGCTTGTTCGTTTTGTTCGACTGATAACTCAGTTTGAGAAGGGTTGAATTTAACCAACTGATTCAAACATTCATCGATGACCTCCTTGAATTTATCGGAATTTATCACAAAATCAGTTTCACTGTTCACTTCCAATAAGACACATTTCTCATTGCCTAATTGTTGCAAGCCAATGACGCCTTCCTGAGTAGTTCTTGAACTCTTCTTTGCTGCTGTTTGAAGTCCCTTTTGTCTAAGCCATTCTTTTGCCTTTGAAATATCATTTCCACTCTCTTCCAAAGCTTTTCTACATTGTCCGAGAGGAGCATCAGTTTCAACTCTCAATTGTTTAATCAAATCCATTGGAGGTGGACCTCTCACGTATGGTGTAGCGGTAAATAAATTTCTTTGAATGGAAGCAGTGTTGCATAGAAGAACATTCAATGATGATGAATGTGTTGATGAGGTAAAAGGCTTCAAGTGGGAAGAAGCGAAACGAGAGGAAAGAGCAACAACAGAGCGTCTCATTTTTTCAAACAAAAAAAAATTCAATCAAAATTTGAAAAAGAATGAGAAAGCTTGTTATTGCTGGATTATTAGTATCATTATACTTTATACAATATTCTCTCATCTAACACATTATTTTTCAAACTTCTTTTTGAGTGATCCAAGGCCACCACTGAAAACACCTTCGACAATTTTCACACACTTTTCAAGCTCATCGGGTTGTGTGTAAAATTCAGTCGACCACTCAGCAAATGTTTTGTCCTCGTCCGTAACTGGTTTCAAGGTCAAAGTAGCAAAGTATCCAGTGATTGGCAAGCTACTGCTCACAATATCATACGAGTAGGAATGACTTCTCTCATTAAATGCCAACAAGGTCTCACGGAAAGGAATATCATTGCCAGCAACTGTCAATCTTCGAATGCAGCCGATAGTGTTGTCGGTTTGATTGTTTTCAATCTCACTGGCAATAACGCTACCTGTCCACGATGGAAGGCCATTGAAAGATCTGACAACAGACCACACTGATTCGAGAGGAGCTGGAATGATGGCGCTCTTGTAGACCTTGCCGAATGCTGTTGGTTGAGACATTTTTAAGTGATCATTAATTGAGAGGATAATGTATTTTCATTCACAAGGATTATTCCATCCGCATGCGGGTGGTAAATTAATTTTGATAGTTTGGACTCTATTAATTTTTCGACTCTTCTTAAAATTCAAGACAAGTGCCTACTCTGTCATGAAATAAGATCTTGTGCCTCCCATTCTTTTTAACCAACACACAATGCATGGTCATGGAACTAAGGGAAGGTGACAAAAAACTAGAACTTTTAAACTCCAACAATTTGGCTACTACCTCAAACGACTCCTTCACAATCTTAATTCTGTATAATTGACCGAATTGATCTCCACAAAGAAGTGTCAATAACGCCCCATCCTCTTTTTCATGCCTCACAGCACTCACTGCACAAATCACACATGAGGAAGGAACTTGTATAGGAATGGATCTGAATGTTTTGAATTCATCTTTTGAGTAGATTAACGACAAACTCGATTCACCTCCAACGAGAACACATATCAGAGAAGGAAAAAAGAGCTTTGTACATGCAATACTACAAGGACAAGCTCTGATGGCGTTGATCGTTTGACGATTTTGAGCTGAAACATTCACCGTCGAAAGAAAAGGATTACCTCCTACAATTAATGTACGAGATTCAACTTTGACCTCTGAAACCTCCATGATTCCATTGGATCGTTGAGAAAATAAGAAAAAGGAACGAAAGTGATGTGCTCTTTCGAGTTCATAGGATTCCTGACATGGAAGAATACGGAGAAGAACCACAGAGGGAGCCTTGTTGCTAAAGAAATCGTATTGCTTCCATTGAAGAAAACCAGTAGATTCATCATAGAGAATATGAAACAACAGTACCTGCCCTGAATATAGGCCGACCGCCATCAACATGGAGCATTCATGAGAATAGTTATTGGTGGAATGAACTGAAGTCATTGCCATGCAAGTCAACGGAGAACCACAATTTAAAGCTTTGCTTTGAAACTCAATGAAACGCTCTTTTCCATCTTGAAAGCAAAGCCTGTACGATGTAAGAATATTATCGCTTCTTCCAACAAATAATAGCCTTGTTCTCCCTGAGGAGCAGAAAGAAGCACAGACACCACTTGGCTTTTCTTCAGCATGTTGGTTGACCGAGAAGTGGATAGGAACCTGCTCTTTTTTAAAATTTTCAATACTAACGGAGCCATCAGAGAAGCATTTACACAAGAACTCATGATCAGAGGCATCCATCTCATTATTCATAGTGTTTGGAGTGGTAACAACTTGATCGCATTCATTGAGAGAACTGCAGATGTAAGTAAGGTAAGGACCCATTTTTTTATGAAAAAAGCCTAGCAACTGAAAGGGCGAATTAAAATACAATATTTTGGTAATTTATCGAGTAGTGATGGAATGACAATCAGCTAGATTCCTTCCCAAAGCTTGCAACGAGGTGTTATCCAACCTTTCGTTGATCAGCAGCATTCATGTTATCCTTCTCGGCTGCCAGGTTCCAACCCGCCAAAATTCATCAATTCAAAAAAAAAATTGTTCAAACATGCCAGCTGACGATGTAAGTGTTGTGTGTTATTAAATTGTTCAGTATCAACATTCCGAATCGCTATTCAACATTACAATAGAAAAAGAGAAAAAGAATTGTGGAAGACGATGATGTTAGTGAAGAGGAAGAAGTGGAGGAGAAAGTTAAAATTGAAGTGGTAAAGAAAGAAACCAAAAAGAAGAAAGAAAGTCCAAAGGCAACCAAGAAGGAAGAAGAAGAATCTTCATCAGCTGCAGCCGCCGCAGCAGCATCTTCAAGCGTAGAGGACATTTACAAGTGGTGGCAAGAATCCGATGAACAGATTCAAGAAATACTTTCTTCCGATCAGAAATGGAACACATTGAAACACAATGGAGTCTTGTTCCCACCTGATTACGAACCTCATGGCATTCCAGTTTATTACGATGGAAAGCCAGTAAAATTAACTCCTGAGCAAGAGGAGGTTGCAACCATGTACGCTTCCATGTTGGAATCGGATTATGTCAAGAAACAACAATTTAATGACAATTTTTGGAGTGCTTGGAAAGAATTACTTGGAAAAAACCATACTATCAAATCTCTGGGCAAGTGTGATTTCTCAAAGATTTGGGAACATTTATTGACTGAAAAAGAGAAGAAGAACGGTCGATCATCCGAAGAAAAAAAGGCAGAAAAAGAAGAAAAAGCCAAATTTGAAGATGCCTACAAGTATGCTCTTGTCGATGGAAGAAAAGAGAAGGTCCAACAATATAAAATTGAACCTCCAGCTCTATTCAGAGGAAGAGGAACTCACCCAAAGATGGGACAACTCAAAAAGAGAATTCAACCTGAAGATATTACCATCAATATCGGTAGGCTTGAAGATTGTCCTCCACCTCCAGTGGGCCACAAATGGGGAGCAGTTGTTTCCAATAATACGGTCTTATGGTTAGCTGCTTACAAGGATGTAATTAACAATAAGAACAAATATGTACAATTCGCAAGTGGGTCCAGTTTGAAAGCTATGAATGACTATCTCAAGTATCAAACTGCTAGAAATTTGAAAGATTGTATTGAAAAGATTAGAGAAGATTACAAAAAACAATGGACGGATAGTAGTGAGACAGAAAGACAACTTGGTGTTGCTATTTATTTTATTGATAAGCTTGCTTTGAGAGTTGGTAATGAAAAGGACGATGAAGAGGAGGCTGATACAGTTGGTTGTTGCAGCTTAAGAGTCGAGCACATTACATTAACTCCACCTTCATCAATCAAATTTGATTTTCTTGGTAAAGATTCCATTAGATACGAAAATACAGTGGAAGTAGAGAAAGCTGTCTACAAGTGTGTTAAAGGATTTATTGAAGGAAAGAAACCAGCTGATATGCTTTTCAACAAAATTAATCCAACCAAACTTAATGAGCATTTGAAATCGTACATGGAAAAATTATCTGCCAAAGTTTTCCGTACTTACAATGCTTCAATTACTTTGGATAGAGAGTTAAAGAAGCTTGAAAAAGACATTACCACTGATATGAGTGTTGCTGAGAGAGTTAGTATTTACAACTCTGCCAACAGACAAGTTGCTATTCTATGTAACCACCAACGTGCAGCTCCTAAAACCTTTGATAGCTCTGTAGAAACCATGGACAAAAAGATTGAATCTCAAGCTTCTTATTTAGAAAGATTGAAAAAAGCACTCAAAGACATTTCAAAGTCTGGATATGATGAAGTGAAAGAGAAATGGGAGAAGGATAACCAAAAGATTACGAAAAATTATGAAAAAGAGGTTGAAGAGTTTGAGCAGAAACAAAAGGATATTGAGATGAAGGCCAAGAACGCTGGAAAATCTGTGGCTGCGTTCTTAGGAAGCGCAAAGAAAGAAAAGGCTCCAAAGAAGCCAAGCCTTCCAGTGCTTCCAAAAACGACAGAGGCCATCGAGAGCAAGATAGAGGCAGTCAAAAAGAAGATTGAGGAAATGAATCATGAAAAGAAGATGAAAATTGACAACAAAACCGTGGCACTTTCCACCTCAAGACTTAATTATTGTGATCCAAGAATTACAGTTGCGTGGTGTAAGAGAACAAACGTCCCTATTCAAAAGCTGTTTTCCAAGACTTTACAAGACAAATTCCCTTGGGCGCTTGATTGTGGCACTGATTTCACGTTTTAATATTATTATTTAACCCCAAATCCACAATAAATTATTGTCCTTACATTGAAGGAAAAGATTTAAAATTGAAGGGCACACTTGAAAAAAACAAAAATTCCAAGTTGAAGAGCGGGATGGTGTCTCTGAGGTGATGTCGATCACATTCCATGTCTGTTTTGGGATGAGTCAAATATTTGAGAGTTTTCTTTGCTTTTGACTTGTGGATAAATCTAGTTTTGTTTTCTTCTAAGGATAGGCCTGGATAATACTCAAATCTACCCTCCAATGGTGTACCTAACCAAACTTTTGGTCGAGTTTTGTCGCTTGTAAAAGGAGCTATTGTCTGAATTCCTGGACCAACGATGTCATTTAAATTCATCCATCCACACCCCATTTCACCAAAGAACTCAATTCTTTGATTCTGAAGAACATCTTTGTCCTGACCAATGATAGCCTCAATATCTGATGAAGGATGACACAACAATAATTCACAATCTCCTCCAGCAAATCCTCCAAAAATCATTCTTGCGTCTACACCCTCATCAGCCAATTGTTCTAAATCCTCTACTGAGTCACACTTGATTGTCAACGGGTCAGATGGCTCTGGTTTTTGAATATTGTCCCATTCTCTATCGATTGCCTGATAGAACAATGGCCTCTCTTGCTCGTTCATATAAGCTGCTTCCGCCTCAGTAATGTACAACGTATGCAGTGAGTCGCTATAGCTTGGAATAGTGTTTCTAACATGTCCATAAGATAAAATATATGCAAAGTCAATAAATCTCTCTCCAAATATCGCTTCGAAATTGTGTTGCTGACTCTGCTTGATAGCTTTTTTGAAAAAAGAGTGACCAAATGATTTGTGTTTAGGTTTTCCTAAAGTTTTGCTTCTTAACACAGAATGTTCAGAAGAATCAATGTCCAAAATTTGTGTTGTTTTAGATTGCTCCAAGTCTCTATCAAGAAAAGGAGAAAGAGAATAAAGCTCATTATCTTTCAAGACTCTTCTAAATTCACTTTGAGGAGCCTTTGATGTAGATTCCTTTGGATTAAGTAAATCATGTACAGTATCTGATGTCACCTTATCAGATATTTTAGAGAAAACTCTTTCCATTTCAAAATCTTGGCAGAATTTCAAAATCTTGGAAACCAAGTCCCATAACACGTGATATTTGCTCTTCTCGTTAAATTGATAGTTATTAATTTCGTTAATAATATTTCTACAAATATCTTGTCGTTGAAAACTTGTAATATTCTTGTTAATTAAATCCAAGATATTGGAAACCAAATTTGATATTTCCAATGCAGTATCTTGTGGAATGTTGTACACTGTTTCTGATTTTCCAAATATTTCTCTCTGCGATCTATATTGTAGGAGCTTTCTCCTTATTCGTTTTGAAAAGCACTGGATCATCAAATAAATATCCCATATCTCAGTATTCGTAGGGTCTGCTGTAAATGTATCTTTTTCATTGGTTGGAATAAGAGGAAGTAACTGTCCGAACTGTTTGTGATGGTATCGGTCATGTTTGGCAAGAGGCAAATAACTTAGTGAATCTAATAACGCCAATCTAGAAGAGGAGGAACACCAGTCGAGTGTGTTCAGAAACATATCTAACAACGTGGTACAATTAAAAATTTGGGATGAATCAGCGCTTCCCAAGTTTCTATGATTCACAGGAGCAGAAATGTCGAAAGGATAGAATTTTTCAAAATGTTCTTTTAAGTTTGTATTACTTTCTGCTTCGTTCTTGAAAACAGCCCATTCATTCCTCTCTTCATCACTCATTTTGATTGGAAAAAAACTACTAGTTCTATCTCTGTACTGAATGTAACATTGCAAGTCAAAACTCATTTCAAGCATGTTTTTCCAAATAAATAGATTTGTTTTCTCTGTAGGATGTATTAGAATAGTTAGAGGATGAATTAGAAAATTGTCAGTTTTGTGTTCCAAGAATGAGTTCCATAACATTGTTTTGATATCTATCATATTGGTTGTAGTCTTGCTTCGCCACCGAAGTGTGTGAAAATTTTGTTGTTGAAAAATCCTCTTTACAGTTTTGTTGCTCGTTTCAGTCATTTTAACTCTAGTTTGTTTGAAAATATCTATCAATCCAAGTTCAAGAGAAGGAGTATCTGGAATGTTTTGTGTCCCTTTCGATAACAATTTGAAATTGAGAGCCAACTTGCATAAATCTGTGGTATCCATCTTGGATTTAGACTGTTTAGTTTTGAGTAAATATTCTACGAGAAATAAAAGGAACAGATGAGCTAATTGTTTTTCGTCAGCATTCCGTGATAAATATTTCCCAACAAGGGATGTTGGCACCTTCATTTGCTCGGATTCTAAGTTTGAAAATGGTATCTCACTTATAAGATGTTTGATGGCTTGAATAATTGAGTCATCAATATGGCTTATCTTGACAATGCTAGTTGTTCGATCCAACATTGGTGGTTGATATTGCTTCTGTTCTTCATCGGAGATTATTTGCCCGTGAAGTTGAGTGGCTATTGGTATCGCAAAGCAGTCAACAATTTTCTTAAAAACATATCTTGTGGAAGGAGTCATAATTCGAACGTAGGATAGTGGCCTCTTCCATTTCAGGTTCATAAATCTTGAAAGTAACGTAATATTGTCGCGTAGAAGAGTCGTTGCATCATTTTCTTTGATATCTTCTTCTAAATTTTTGTTAATACTCTTCAAAAATTTCTTAACTTTGTGCTTGATGTAATCTCTATGAAGCAGTGGATTATGAGGAACAAACAACCCTCTCAAGTACAGTTTAAAATAAAACCTCTCCTTTCTCATTTGATGAATGTTGTCCCGAACACACTCTACAATATAAGGCAACAATTGAAGCATAGTGTTGCGAGATTGTTCAATGTTTTGAATCGTAGTATCATGAGAGGGTGGATGGAACAATAATAAGGCCAGCGTTGCATCTTCTTTTAAGCTACTTGTCAAAAGAGGTGGTCTCTGATACGAAAAATTAGGAACATTTTTAGCATTCTCTACTTCTTTTTCTAAACTAGTCGATTGTAAATAATCTCTCAATTCTAATGCTTCATGTAAAGTCAAGTTAGACATTTCTGTAATGCTGACGTTAAAAAGAAAAGCCATATGTTTAAAAAGGCCATCTAAATATCGCTGAGTATTCCAAGCCAACATTCTTTCTTTTCGATACAAGCTGACAGACTCTACATTGCAATGGAAAGGTAAAAACCATTCTAAATATGGTGTATCATTTTTAACTACAGGTAAACGTTTGAAATCGTCAATGGTATACCGAATTTTGCTAAATTTTGGCTTGCTAATGGTGAGTGCCGATGATATCAATCTTGTCACTTTTTCGTTAATAATTTCGCTGACCACAATGTCTGGTCTGTATTTCAAAAGAACATGAAGAATGGATTTTCTTCCTTCCATTAATCCAGAAAAATCAGTTTTTGAAATAGAATTATGAGAGAGGATGCTTCCAAATATCCAGGTTCTAAGAGGAGGAAAAACTGGGAGCATATACTCTTGTCTGTAACCTTTGGATATGATTGTTGCTTCAAGTTCTGGTTTAAACATTGATATTAGCGAATTTGGTGGTTTTTTTGTTTCTATACATTCTGTTCCGTTCGAGTTGAAATATGGATAATTATTAAAGTGTTCTCGATTCATTTCTAAACCACAAATTCCATGTTTCTTCATTGAATTGGCGCTTTCGTTCATGCTGGAACAGCTTTTCCATCTAATACCATAAATTAGCATGTATTGGCCATTTCTTTTGATCAATACAGGATATTGAGAAAGCATAACACTGCTCCATTCCTTTCGTGCATCGCTTTTTTCAACTGAAAAGCGCTTATTCTTTGGCATACGCGTCATACATGAAAGTAACTTGTAGATAAGTTCTGATCTGTTTAAAACACTATTTTCCCAAGTAACTCTATGTCTGAACACATTTGGTAAATATTCATTGCAAAGCCATTCGATTTGATCAAGTGAGTAGTCTTTAGATGGAGAGGTTGTTGTGTCATCTGGCAAATCGTGAAGCGGTGGTGGAGGGAAAACATTGCTCCTAAGATTACAATATTTAACTTGGCAGGATTCTACAGCCTTTTCAAGCTCATATACCAAGGGTAGATAGGATGTTGGCTTGTTGAATAATCTGGCATGTCCGTGCAATCTTAAAGGTGTCAACAATGTACACTTCTCTGTGTTAACAACTTACATAATCTGAAATGCTTTAACAGCAGTTACAGCGCAATTTTCAAAATCATACGGAACAAACAATCCTCGAGTAACGATTATTCTATGAATGATATAATTTTCTCCATCGAGGGGATCGTTCGCTCTAAACAACGCTGGTGACTCGTTTTTCAAAATATTACTGTCATAGTAGTCATATTCCAATTTATATTTTCTATCGAATTTTTTCGAAATCCTACAAAGGTCGTATAAAGATTGCAAAGATTTAAATTGGTTCTTATCAATTCCATCGTTCGAACGATTAAAGTACAACGAACGAACAACCTCTGCAAACGAAGAACTTGAAACTGATTCAGTGGCAGTCTTTTTGAACGCCTTTGAAAAAGCAAATTCTCGTGAAAGAGCGTATCGTGTGTAAAACGATTGGAAAGAATTAGTTCTACTGATATCAGGTATGGTTGTGAACAAAAAAGAAGGTTTGACAAAGATTTTGGTTTCGTTGCTAGCTTCCTCTTCGTCCATGGATGTGACTTTCAACCCAAAAACACTTGCCAATTCTTGCAATAATGCATTATTGGATATTTCTCTGTGCTTCAGTTGATTGCGAGAATTAATTTTCTTTCCTTCACTGATCCATAATAATTCGTCCAACAATTCCGAAAAATTTTTCAGTCCATCATTGATTTCTTGTTGATGTTTAATTGTAGCATCAAGAAATTCCTCCATTTTGAGCTGTGGTGATGATAATGATGATGAAATTAAAAGCCTTTTTGATCAAACAACATGCGAGAGCGGTTCTGGCAAAAGCAGCACATTTTTTCAACCATCAAAAATGAATCCACAACAACGTTCAGGCAATCCACAACAACAACAACCATCAGCACAACCTGAAATTACCACACAAACAATTCAAAATGTAGAGTAGAATAGTATTTAATTTCCTCATTGTTATAGTATTTATCATCATCATTGTTGAATTAAAAAAACAAATTGGAACGATCATCGGATTCATAGTATCTTGATGAAAATCAGCAATTAATATTTGGAATATTAGAACGGCAAAAACAAGGACAATTTGATCAATGCGAGGCGTATGTTTCTTTATGATCATCATGAATTTAATGGTTTTATTGAAATCCGTCTTCAATGAATAGGCTTCAACAAAAACTTCAAAATAATTTAATCAAATTAGCCACACTTGCAGACCAACCAAATCAAACCACAGCAAAGCCTACAAGACCATAAATCATCAATAAGATGGCTAATTGCAGCGAAGCACAACACAATATTTTACAATGTCAATATTACACCAAATGTCACTACTCTTGTTTTTACGAAAGATTCTAACAAGAACAGTGACCATCCTCTGTACACAATCCTCTTTAATCGAAACGAACTTTACACAAATCCAAGTTACAATTCCTTCTAGATTTTGCAATAAATTACGTTGACTCTGTCTACTTGTTATTTCTTTGAGGATTACCACATGGGATAGGGAACTATCGTGTTTTGTAAACCCAAACAAGCGTGAACGACTGGGTCAAGTACCCATAAGACATTATTTTGTCTTCAAACAATTCCTTCATTAGCATCTCAAGAGCTAGTCTATCGTTCAACTATAACAAACAACTGTCAGTTGTCGTTAATTTAAGGAAGCATTGAACAATTTTATATTTCAACACCCATTAAAAATGTCATCAAAAGCGAGTGCTGCAACAACAACAACTCCTAACCATCAGCCAGTTAGTGGCCAACCTCCATCCATCTCTTCACTCTCGTCCAACACTCCTTTCAGAACCTCCATCCGAGAATTATCTTCGACAGGAACACCATGCTCTCCTCGAAACTATAACAACAATAACCCTCAGCAACCACTAACTCCAAAACATCAACTTGTTTCATTTCCAGCATCATCCACTCCTACAACTCCAACCTCCACTCAAACCCATTCGAATAGGACTACTCTGAACTCATTGGCAATGACTCAAACGGATCAAGGAAATCCACACGAGTCGTCATCATCATGCTCGAATTGGACTGTATCTAAATCCAATTATTATTATTACCATCATTCCTCTTCGGAACCACCTTTCATATTGAGAGCCAATTCATCTTCAGCTCTACCTCGAAGAAATCGCAAAGATCATCACACAAGAACAACAGAATCCAATCATGAATTGTACAAGGATATTAGCACTGGTAGTAGTAGTACCACTAATGGCATACCATCATCCTTATTGAGTCAACAACGAGAAAGTATTTCTAGTACTCTCAGTGCCACGAGTGATGCTAGTAGTACTACTACTACTGGTAGTGGAGTTGGTTCTGGTTCTGGTTATGGTTATGGTGCTGTTCAAGATTTGGACCTTCATTTATCGACCACTCCTCCTCCTCCTTTGTGTTCTCTCCAAACAAGCATGACAGAAGAACTTTCCATTCATCATCGTCATCCTTGTCATCATCATCATTATCAGCACAAATCACATCATCAACATGAGAAAATGTTCACTTTCACTCCATCTCCCTCAAAAGAAATTCCTTCTCCTCTTTCTTCCACGTTACCACCATATAAACGAAAAAGATCGAATCTTCGATGTAAAACCACAGATGATATTCGAAATATATATCGAGCGAACAGTTTGAGTCCAAATTTAATTTCACACAACAAACATTCGTATGCAGTTCGAGATAAATCAAGAACTTTATTATGGTTAAATAGAGATAAATATGAAATGATACATTTAAATTCACCTGGATCTCCAATTGGAAATACTACTACTACTACTAATAGTGGTAGTAATGGTAGTAGTAATGGCACTGGTGGTACTGGTAGTGTTGGTGGTTCTGGCGGCGGTGGCGGCATTCAACTTTTACTTCAAAGTCCAAGTTTTAAATTGCGAGCATCTCAAGGCAATCATGCAAGTGGTTTAAAGTTGATGGATCATGCAGCAACAAGTGTTGATTTATCTTCAAATGGAGGAATGAAAAGTTCTTCAGATTCACCTACACTTGACACTTCTACAAATATCCATTTATTGGGATTGGATGATGAAGAGGAAGATGAAGAAATGAAAATGGAACGAAAAAAGAATATTCCAACTAGTTTTTCAGACGTGACTGAAGAGTTACATTATTATATTAAGAATAATCTTCTCGATGAATTTAAAAGTACTTTGGAAAAGGAAAAAATTGACAAGGAAAATTCTGGAAAGACAGCATCTTTCAATGTGAGTGCACAATATCTTGACAAGGATGCAAATAATTCGTCACTGCTGCACAAGGCTGCCTCTTTGAATCGATTCAAATTTATGAGTGTGTTAATTGATGATTACAGAGCTTCCATTGAAAAGAAAGACATTGCCGGTTCGACACCACTGTTTTATGCAGTTGCTAATAATTGCATTCGAGCTTGTTTTTACTTGTTAAATAAGGGATGCTCAGGTAAGTATTGTGTGCAAAGATCTCTCAAAAGATTCATGCTGAAAATGTGGTGTTGAATTTGTACTCTTCTACAAATCATTTTCTCACAACAATGACTCACACAAAAAATTCATATTCCATGAAAATTCCATACCCTACCATTCAATACCATACCCTACCCTACCATTCCATACCCTACCATTCCATACCCTACCATACCCTACCCTACCATACCATACCCTACCATACCATACCATACCATACCATACCCTACCACTACCAACAGTGAATATTAGAGATAATTTTGAAAATACTCCACTCTCGGTTGCTCTTCGAAAAGGATATATGGATGTCGCAAAAACTTTAATATTATTTGGCGCCGATGTCAATTACAAGACACAAAAAGGCCAAACCTGTCTTCACATGTGCTGTGAAGAAGGAGATTTATCCAAAGTTGAATTTCTCTTAGAGAGAGGAGCAAGTTTCATGAGAATGAATCGAGAGGATCAACATTGTTTATTCCAAGCTGCTCCTCATCCTCATATTATTGAATATTTATGTCGCTATTTATTATCCATTGAAGAAGAGAGTGTTTTTAACAGTCCAACTCCTTCTCCTACTTGCATTGTTCCAGTTAAGGGTAAAAATTTAGAAATTGAAGAACAAAACAAACAAGACAAACAAATCTTTGAAAATATGGAAGATGCACTCTCCACAACTACGAGTAGTAGAGATGCAACCACGAAACCAACATTTTCAAAATTAATTGTGAAAATGTCTGGAGCTGGAAATACCATCATTCATCATTGTGCTTCTTTTGGATATTTAACATCACTCAAAATTCTTGTCAATTACATGAATTATGAAACAATTGTGGAATGTTTGAATACCAAAGATAAAAAGAATGGAGATACTCCATTGCATGTCTGTGTGAGGAAAGGACATCAAGACATTGCACTATTGTTGGCACGTGCACGAGAAGTAGATGTCGATGCTCAAAATGATTCTGGGGATACTGCTCTTCATATTGCCATTACTCAACAAAATCAAGAAATTGTGACCATCCTAGTAGCAGCAAATTGCAGTGTGAATATTAAGAATAATCAAAAATTGACAGCGAAACAATTAGCAAAGAAAAATAACATGAGTTTGAAAGTAGAAGAGGACAAAACATTGAAGAGTTTAAAGACTCAACAAGCATTAGGATTTTTCCAGAAAATGAAAATCAAATTCAAGAAAGAAAGTAATTTGACACTTGAAGAGAAAGCTGCAAAGAGACACACAAGTGCATTTACAGGATCCAACACAAGACTCTCTACGAAAGATGTCAGACGAATCAGTCGAGGATCAAGCAACATGAGCAAGACAGTATCACAAGATGAAATTGAAGACATGATCAAAAAACAAGCGTATCTGAAATGGACTTCCAAATTGGAGTTTGATCCTGAAATGAACGAATATCACAAAGAGCTATTCTATCAAGTCAACAAACTTTACTATTATTGGGTTGCTGATCAACACTCAATCCAGATACAAATTTGCCTCAGTGATTTGCTCGAAAAGACCCGAAAATTCTTTTCCAAGCAAGACCAGTACATGCAAGAAAATCATTACTCGGCGTTGGCAGCTCACAAACAAGACCATGACATGTTCCTTAACAAGATTGAATCTACCCTAAACAAGCTCAACACGCTCGATTTCAGTTTGGATGAGGATTTATTTTCACAAATATCCACAACGTTGCTCAACCACGTTTTGAAACATGATATGGCACTCTCCGTGTTCTCAAAAAAAAAGAAATAATATTTACTCTACTCCTTTAAAATATTATTATTACCACCACTTGTTAATTCTCATGGTTCCGTTTTCATGCAGATTTTGATACATCTTAAAAACAACACTCAAATCATGAGGTTCATGAGCAGATCCTGCTTTCAAACACTTCTTGAGACAGGTTTCGTAATAATCAAGCAAAATAGGTCTATACTCTGGGTGAGCACACTTTTCAATAACAAGCCTAGCTCTGTCTCTTGGACACAAGCCACGCATATCTGCATAACCGTATTCAGTTACGAACACGTCCAAATCGTGTTCTGTGTGGTCTACGTGTGTCACCATTGGTACAATGCAAGTAATACCAAGTGGATCGTTCTTTGATGGTCGAACAGAAGGAGTATGCATAATTGAGAGTTTACCATTTCTCAAAAAGTCTCCAGAACCACCTAAACCGTTAATCATTCTTGAACCATTAACCATTGTTGAGTTTGCGTGACCATAAATGTCAATCTCAACAGGAGTATTCATCGCAATAACTCCCAATCTTCTAATCAACTCGGGAGCGTTAGAAATTGATTGAGGTCTCAAAACAATCTTCTTCTTGTAATTTTCCCAATCAGCATAAAACTTGTCAAATCCTTGGTTAGACAATCTTACTGAGGTTGCAGAAGCAAAATCTAACTTTCCAGCCTCGAACAAGTTTAAGAAACAATCTTGAAGAACTTCAGTGAACACAGTCAAATTCTGGAAAGGAGATTCAACCATACCAGAGATGACAGCATTGGCAATGTTACCAATTCCGGATTGAAGAGGTAATAATTCCTTTGGAAGTCTCTTGGCATCTACCTCTGTCATTAAAAATTCAGTAAGGTTCCTTGCAATTTGTTTGCTGGTCTCATCCTCTGGAGTATTACCACCAGTGTTATCTGGACGATTGCTTTCTACTACAGCAATAACCTTGCTCATATCAATCTTGAGTCCTGGAGTACCAATACGGTCTTGAACCTTTTCAATCAAGAATGGTTTTCTGTGTGGAGGATCGGCAACTTCATAAATATCATGGATTCCGTCAAAGGATGGCAATGCCGTATTGACCTCAATGATAATCTTATCAGCTTTTTGAAGAATTTCTGGTGTAGCACCCACACTAGCAGCCAAAATAAGGGTGCCATCTTCCTTAATTTCGGTTGCCTCAATAATGGCATAATTGATTGGACTCTTTTGATTAGAGGCTTCTCTTGTGTAGAATCCATAAGCCAAATTTTGAGGGAACATGGATAAATGTTGATCTGAAAATCTAATTCTACCTTCATTGATACCCTTTTGGATGTTCTTTCCGACTTGGTGAGGATATCTACGATCAATCATATCGAGTTTGGCCCATCTGTCTTCTACTTCAGCACCCAATGAGGCTCCAACGAAAAGATTGAATTTCAACTGTCCTTGAAGTTGGTTCTTTTCAACATGGTCAGCGAGAGCCTTTTGATATTTTCATGAGAAAGTTCATATTTGAAGGAGGAAAATTGCAGGTTCACGTGTTGCGATCAATTTTTTTTCAGTAGTGAACAACAGTTGAAATAGCAACAAACAATTACAATTCCGAGTGATGATATTGAATTCACATACCTGTGGGACAACTTTAGGATATCCAACACCTGTTTCAATCAATTTCAATAAATAAGAGGGACAGAATGTGTGTTGTATTATTTTTACATCATCGAAAAATGTGTTCCGAAAAACGTGTGTTTGACATACCTGTAAAACCACTCATACCGATATAATCACCATGTTTAAAAAGTGGAACCAATTCTCTGGCATCCTTGACAATCTTCTTGAGCAGCGAAGCACACTTGACTCTCTCTTGGAGAAGACTGGACATTTTATTGGGTTTTCGTTCGTTTTTTTTAACGTTGTTGCTAAAGAAACATGGAGAACGCTAAATTCAAAAATTGACCGAAAAAGACCTCATCACCATACCATTCTCGGGATTCTGAAGCATACGGTTATTCACACACAACCACAGGTGCAGTTCTCGTTGGGACGACCTTATGGTGATGCAAGCTTATTAAACGGAGTTTTCGTGAAATTTTGTCGCTCAAGAACTATAACTACAACCAAGTTGGGCTCCAATTTGTGCTGGCGAAATTGAGTGAGTGGGTATAATTGCAAGCCTCACTCACTCCTTATCAAATCCTTCAACAGTTGAGGATGAATTGAGCGAAATTCGTTCTTCGTGGCTTCCCTTAGGAATACAGTACTCACAACGAAGAAGTTTCATGATTGAGGATCGTACACTTGGTAGTTGAAATTGTTCATACATGTTTGTCGTTCAGGGCATTTGTTATCATTTCATTCCGCTAGAAATCATCCATTGACTTACCTTGGTAAACCTAGAGAGTACACAGTCACATTCAAAAATCCTTGAAGTGGTACAAGTGTGTTATAAAAGAAAATATAAAAGTAATACTCAAAGTTTTCATCAGGTCTACCCACAAGATTTTGTAGTCCATTGTAGAAGAACCAAATGATCAAGCAGCTTGAAGATAGTAAGCTATTGTAAAAATAAAAGCAATGATTTGAAACCGAATTGATTCAAACTTGGATACTTACAATGGTAGTAGATAAAAGCTTAGCTTGACAATAATTCTTCGTTGAGCCCTTTTTGTTTCTTGTTTGACAGCTACACGCAGTTGTGAGGCAGATAAAATTGCTCCTACATGTCTCCAAATTAGGACGATCACAACACAATCCACAATTGCTGCCTAATTTGATGGGTCATTAAATAGAGACTGTCAGACTAATGTTGTTCTAGTTTCAACTTTCACTTACAATTGCCAAATAGAAAGCTCCAAAGAAATTGAAAAATGTCAATAAATAACTCTCGACAACTGGATGGTCTGCATGAAATCCAGTCATTCTCGAAGCCACTCGGTACGAAAAAACGGCTGTAAATGTAATAAAGGCAATTCCCCATGAAACGACATGAAATATGATATCATAGGCAAAATTCTCTTCCATCCATTTCACCTTCTTAGTGGTTGTATAAATTGCAATAGCAATGCTAACGCTCCATGTAGCACTACAAAGAGCAAAAGCAAAGTTTCCATGTGAAAATATATGACTAATAATCCATGAAATATTTGAGACATTATCATCTGACACATTCAAATTAGGAATATAACTGGTACACCAAGACCAAACAGTGAACAAAATATTACTAGTGCTAAATAATAAATCCGATACACACAACATGAGCATCGTTCTCCGAATAAATTGTTTCTTTTTTCTATTGATGAGTCCATTTGAAAAACTTGAATTCATAGATTTACGATAATGAGTGGTTAATGATCCACTTTCATGATCCCGTATGGTTAAAGAAAATGAATGATTTCCAATCCGACTAGAAGAGATTTCATTTAAATTTTCGGAAAATTGATTGATTTCATCACCTTGTGGTTGGCCATTGCCTGTGGTTTGTGTACCAGTATTGAAAATATGAGTCGACTCAATGAAAAATACTATGAAAACAATCACTGAGCCAATAATGGATAGTAAATTTAACAACACAAAAACCACTTGAGATATCAAAAACAAAATATCGGGTTGTTCAGTAACAGTGTCCGATGTAGCTGTTGTGCTATTCGAAAAAATCATTTGTTGCTATTTTTTTGCTTTTCAAAACACAAACATGTTCCGACGTTTGATAGAATAAACGATTTTTGAATACTTAAGATTGTAATACTTTAAATATTTGCATGATATAATTCAATTAATGTATAGTACATTTTATGTTTGCCTTCGTCTTTTAAATAACCTAGCCAAAAAAGTATTCCACTTTGCAAACAAATAAAAATGAGCAAAAACGAAGCGGAAATACCCTCCAACCCTCAACAACAGCAAGAACCTACATCATCACAGCAAGGAATAAGAATTCCTGCAAATAGTCTGAAAGATCTACTGAAAAGTGAATATTCTGAAGTAACCCGAGAGGCTATACAAAAAAAGTACCAAGAACAGGCAGGAAATTTACCACTCAAAGCCAGAGTGGAGGCTAAAATTCAAGGTTTTTATGGCGGCGACATTGGACCTCAGGCTCTAAATACTTTGAGAAAAGGAGCTCACGAGCAAGCCCATAAACGAGGATGGACTCCACTTCAAAAAAGAATTACTTTGCTATTCGGATCTTTTATACTTGGGCAATTGTTTTATTTCGGAGGAAGATATATTTTCAACAATTTTATTTCATCAAACAAACAAATGACCAATCAGTCGAGTTTCTATTATGGACGAGATGTTAATGAATTTAATTCAGAGGTTGAAAAGTTAACGGCTAAAATGATACACGACTACAAAAACTTCAAAGGTTCTGAAGATGTAACACCAGAGGAATACAAGATGATTGAACGAGATGCACTGAATAGAATATCTTTGAAGTATGCACAACAACGTGAAATTCTTGGCTCGTATTCACAAACGCCCTCTTCCTCAAAATACGTACCTCGTTAGATATGGGCGGCTCCCTAAAAGAACAATCAATATAAAAATTAGGATTCAGTATTCAAGTCCTAGGAAAACGAATACACAAACAATTTAAATGATATTTTTGAATATATTAAATGGATACTTTAACACCGTCTCCCATCTGTTTAAAATCATTTGTGTCACTAAGGAGATCAAAAATGACATTATTGAGTGTCACCTTTCAAAAAAATGAGCATTGCTGCTTCTTGGATACAACTCACCGAGTACAACAACAATTTCTTTTACTACAGGAGAAACAATCTCTACAACAACATTTCAACAGCATGGTGCAATGAACAAGGTATCAAACCAAAGGACTTTAATTTAGCATCGTACGAGATTGTGATTTGTCCTTTTGGTGGTCCGATTGCCATGTTCAAAAAACCATCATCGAGCATGTTATTCGGAGAAGGATCATCAAGTCAATCAGCATTGAGTGAATCACAAATGATTTATATATATTCTGCTGCTTGTAAATATTTGAGAAAGATTGATCAGAGTAAAGAAGAGCCATTGTTAGGGATTGGTTGGACTGATGATATGAAATTGATGGTTTTGACAAAGTAAGTTCTTGAGAGCTATTGGAGTCATGTTATTGACCACTTACACCTTTATATTCAATTATTAATATTTCAATGGTCCTTCCTATTATAATTCAATAACATGGCTTGTTACACTTGTTCCAAAATTTATATTTCTTTCATAATTTTGTTCTTCATGTATTTTCAACACAGAAAACGATTACTCCTCTACAATGTTTTTAATGGTGAGCGATATGCAGGTCCATGGCAAAACGAAGACATCATCAATAATGACAAGAAGAGTGACAACAATAGCAACAAACCGCATCTTCCCTCCACAGCCATGGATAAGTTATCAACAACAACAACCAACAAGAAAAAAGACGATCCATCACATACTAACACCTCCACAGACACCACTTCCACCTTCATTTCTGTTCCACTTCAAGCAGAGGAAGAAATTAAAGCTCATGCCTTCTTCGGAGAAGGATGTGCTGTATTTACATCCAAGAGACGTCTACTCGTTGCGTACGACTTGTCAGAGGCTAAACCCTTCCACGAATATATTTTCCCAAAAACTGGAATTTCTCAAAATGCTGATCTCTCTCAATCCGTTATGACGGTTGTACCCAATTATGAACTTTCAGTGAGAAAGAAAAAACCTAAAGTGGAGGGTAAAAAGAAGGCTGGAGCAGCATCGGATGGACCACACGATCATGATCACGAAGACGAGGAAGAAGAGGACGACTCGGACGATGATGAAGAGGATGAAAAGACGAGCTCTTCCAGTAACAATACTTCACCAAAATTAGCACAATCTTCTGGTCCTATTACTAAAAAGAAGAGTGGATTCTTTGGAATGTTGGCTCGAAGAAATGCTCGAGCATTAAATAATGGAGCCTCACTCGGAAGTGGTGGTGGTGGTGGTGGAATTGAAACAAAATCCTTCAAAGTCGGAAAAGGACCACTTGTATTATTCTGTACTCCTGATAAGATGACCATTATTATGTGTTATTCCAATCTCTATAAGGACATGAAATTAGATGAGAGGTTGAAAGGAAATATTCAAGAACAAGATACTTCTGGTTTTACCAAAATTGCTCTCTCACCTGATTTAAAGACAGTTGCCGCTTTTCATCAAGCATCTGGTCATTTATTTGTGTTTGATTTGGCATTGACTTCAAATTATTTGAAATTTTTCACAGGAATTACGGAACATCGGTTGGATCAATTGGTGTATTGTGGAGGAGAATCCATGATGTTATATTGGAGCCCTGAAAATATTGGAGGTGGTGATCAATCTCTGGTTCTTTTAGTGAATTGTTTTGGTCACTATGAATCTTTTACATTTGATGGACCTATTGTTCTTTCTCAAGAAATTGATTGTGTTCGATTTGTTACATCAAATAGTGTCGAATTTATTGAACGTATACCTGAAAGTATAGTTGAAGTTTTTAGAATTGGAAGTTTGTCTCCAGCCGCGCTTCTCTATGATGCCTATTCTGATTTTGTGAATGAACGAGCAACCTGTTTGAAAACAATTCGAGAAATTAAGAACAAGGAACTTGGAGAACAAAGCATTGATGCTCTGTTTGATGGTGTCAACAAGTGTATTGATGCTGCATGTAGAGAATTTGATACTAACATTCAAGCTCAATTATTGAAAGCTGCCATTTATGGAAAGAATTTTATGAAAACTTCGATTGATGAAGCAAAAGCATTCCAAACAAAATGCAAATACATTAGATTAATGAATGAATTGAGAAATAGAAGCGAATTTCCAATCACATATGAACAAATTATTGCACTAACTCCCCAAGTATTGGTTCAAAGGTTATCTGAAATGCATGAATTTCTTCTCGCCTACAAAATTTGTGACTATTTGAATCTTTCAAAAGCTAAAGTTCTTGAACATTGGGCTAAAACCAAGATTAGAAGTCAAATGGAAGAAAAAGATGAAGCATCTCAAATGAAGCTTCGTGACAGAATTATTGAAAATCTTGGAAAATTCTCAACCAGTGTGAGCTTTTCAAACATTGCTATGGAAGCATACAAAGTTCAAAAACCCAAATTAGCAAAGGCTCTCCTCGAAGTGGACTCTAATCCTCACTCACAAATCAAATTATACTTGTCCATGCATGAAACTTTGAGTGCTTTGGAAAAGGCACAACAGAGCAATGATACTGATTTACTCTACGTTGTCATTTTATATTTGATCAAATTCTTTGACACGTATTACATGTTTGAAATGATTGCAGATAAGAAAGCAGCTAGAAAACTATTTATTTCCTATTGTACTCATCTTGGAAAATTCAAGAAACTAGAAAAGTTTTACAAATATTTGAAATCAGATCATAATGAAGATGCAGCATCAAGAGAAAATGGATTTGTACAATTAAGACATGCTTTCAAGAATTATGATTCACCTGATGATGACGCTGAGAAACGATACGCGTATTACCTTGAAAAATCAGAAAAATATTTCAATGAAAGAAGTAATGATAAATTAGACGCAGAGTTTTCATTAAAATCAAGAGAGCTCTATGGATTGCAAATGAAACTTGAAGAAGAAACAGATGAAGAATTTATTGGAGCAACACTGCAAGATACGCTCTATAGAGTCATGATTAGTCCAACACTCAGAGAAAAGAAAGGAGAACGAAAGAAATACGTCAAAATACTCAAAAAGAATTTTGGAGTCTCTGATAAGAGATATTACTTTTCAAAAATCAAGGCTCTTGTACATTTGGGTGAATGGAAAAAGTTGGAAACATTTGCAAACAGCAAGAAATCACCTGTGGGTTACATTCCATTCGTAGAAGAGTGTTTGGCCTCTCCAAAACCTGAAGAAGCTCTCAAATTCATTCCAATGATTGAATCAGTTGAGACCAAAGTGGAATATTGGATCAACATGCTCAAATTTAAGGAAGCCATCGAAGCAGCATTTGAAGCTCGAGACGTTGACCTACTTGAATACATCAAAAAGAAGACAAAGAACAGCAAGACAAAGGACACGATCGATCAGTGCATTCAACAACTTAACAAGTAATCTGTGTGTATTTTCTGCTACTATTAAATGCCACAAAAATCATATTTTGTATTGTGTAGTACACCAAATTTTACTTGTATCTAAACTTGAAGCTTGGCCAACAATTGTTCACACTGGTGTTTTTTAAGTGTTGGAGCATACGAGTACTGTTTCACCTTCTTAATAATCTTAATTTGATCTTCTAAGAATGACAGTCCATCTCGCAATGAATTATCGTCGATTGCATAAATTCCAAGTTCTTTCTTAATGTCTTGATAAGTGCATCCTGGAGGAAGTTGGGCTGATTTATCTTCTGACTTTTCTTTTGCCGATTCAAGTTCAATAAACTTTTTGCAAATAACTATGAAAATCTGTTTGTACTTTTTGGTACTTGATCGAATGGTGTTGAAAACGATGTCAACGGCACCAACAGCTACCTCAGCCTCGTTGTCGCTAGTGGCTGCATTTGCTTCTGACAGCAATGCACTTAGAGAAATATGTTCGCTTTCCAAAAAGTATGTACAAAAATTGGTAATGTTAAACCTCATAAACCCAAACTTATTTTCCAGAGAGTCATCCCACAACAAATTAGAGAGCTGATGGTCGACGCTACAAATCAAGTGAATATATCTAGAAGAAGCCAAGACAGCTAGCAATTGCTGACTCGATTTGTCTCTCAAACTTGGCCCATCGATATTGTGAATGCAAATATATAAATGTTGCTTTGGCATTGAGGTTGGTTGTGTTGAAGGATTCACAAATGATGAAAAATCTCCAAAATCTTCGTCATTGGATGGTTGTACTTGCTCATTTCTTCCAGAGAGATGTCTTACAATATAATCGATCTTTTCTATGGATGACAGTTTTTTGATCTTGGTTTCCTTCTCTTTGAAAAAATGTTTTAAAATTTGGTATAAAATTGAATCGGTAGTTACATTAGGATTAAAACCAGACACTACCACAAAATATCCATTTGTATCATTTGTCTTCAAGTGGAACATTAATTGATTCATAGGATACACTTTTGAACCAACTCCATAAAACAATAAATTATTATCACATTTGACACAGTGAATCCATTCAAACATTCGATGCTGTGTCAACTCCTTATTTTTCGCAGAAAATACTTCATTCTCAAAAAACGAATCTTCTCTTGAAGGAATGCTGCTATCAACGTCTTCAAGATCTAGTTTTGTTTTGTCTGTTGTTTTCACTTTTTTATGTAGAATTTTCTGAGTACTGTATTGCTCGAAAGGAGTGGAATAAAATCGATCTTCTTGCTCTGCATCAATTTCAATACCAGAGTCAATCAATCGATGTTCAACAAAATTATGATCTTGTTCCAATTGAATTTGTTCCCCATTTTCTTCATCAAAGAACGCTCTCAAAGTGTTATCATCATCACCAATAAATAAAATTCCATCAGAAGGATTAGAAGGCTCCGATAAAGGTATTGCGTTACGAATTTTTCTCCCACTTCTTGTAGTGGTTGTAGTAGTAGTTGTGGATGAGGAGGAGCTAGCATTAGCCATTGTAGATGTTGAGCTACTACTATTACTCTGTGTCAGAGAGGTTGAAACAGTGCTCGAGCCTTTCGTAGAGACTCGACGTTTGGAGCTTCTTCGTCGCTTCATTTTTTTAAGTGGCGAAAAAAATGATTGAAAACACAACACCATCATCTTCCTCTCAGGATGATGAGAAATTTTCGCAACACACTCGGTCGTCCATTGCTTATGGTATTTCCAATGTTTATTCAAAACCTTTTATTCCTCCTTTGGAATTCATTCCGATCATTGGAATTAAAATTAAAAACAAATCTAAAACGTCTGCATTGGTGCGATATGTAAACATTCACTTCTCTCTTGAATCTTATGGATTGGATCATTTAAAGAGGATTAAGAATATGGAAAATGATGTTTATTGCTTTTTATGCCCACTCAACGAGGAAATTAATGTTTTAAATGATGATGACGAAAAAAATATTCATCTTCTCAACAAGTGGTTGCAATCCTCGATTACTTCTGACCAAATTCAAGAAGTCTTTTACAATATTTTAGAATATTCACAAGTCAATATTTCTGAAAATTTTGAAACCAATATTAATATTACACAAGATTTAAAATTATTTAAAATTCCTAAACATGCTCCGAAATTAAGGGGTCAATGGAAAGAGTGGAATTCTCAATATTGGCCAATGAGAACTGTTAATTTATTTGAAACTGAGCTTCAGTTGGCCAAAGGTGATCCAAAAGCAGAAATCAATGTAAATACTCATGACATGGAGGCTGTAGAGAAGTGTGCTCAGTTAGTTTTGCAGTCTTGGGAGAAGACGAAATTAGTCTCTGGAGTTTTTTACAACCCTACTACAAAGACAGTTGTACAAAAGCATGGAGGTGATGCGATATTTCTTGACGAATCTCATCTCTCGTTTTTCTCTCCATATTATGATGTCTTGCCAAGATCTCAAGCCAATATGTTAACACAATTTAAGAGTGTATTAAGACATTGTTCAATGGCTGGAATTGATATGGTGGCCCAAAATAATTGTGAGATCATTGAAACGCTCAATAGGAATTCAGAAAAGGACCCTTCTAAAATTCCCTATCTATGTAAAGGTTTAGATTTATTTATTTCCCATGAGCCATGTTGTATGTGTGCCATGGCATTACTTCATTCGAGAATTAGGAGAGTGTATTTCATTTATGAATGTAAACATTATTTTGGAGGATTTGTGAAACATGGAGAAGATTCAACAAATGATAGGAACCAACAACCTAATAATCATCATCGTTCTCAACAATTTTGCATTCATGAAAATAGTCAATTGAATCACCACTTTGATGTCTATAGGATCATCCTCACGACACGCTATCATTCACAACCATCACAACACGAAGAGTGATCCTTGAAACTGTGTACAGCATGAAAAAGTGAGTAGCGACATGAAATCAAGCCTTGAATGAAACATTAACTGATTGATGATGTTTTGTGCGCTCCTACGACATTCTGATCGTTTTTAACTGGAAAAAAGAGTGACACTTTTCAACAAAAAACGAAAACACACAGAACCCACCGTTCACACTTTGATCAGCATTTCTCACACACATTTCCACTTACTGTCATTATCATAATTGATCTATTGTACATTGATGAGTGATCCATAAAAGTCAACCAATGAATTGACCACATCATCATCACTGAACACATCATCACCTACGACATTTTCAATTTCAACCATAACTTGTTAAAAACAAGCTCAAGCGCACTTGAAACAATACTGAAAGTTTAAACTTTACGAATTTTTATTCCATCATCCTAATAATTATTAGACACACCACTCCCGATTCCAAATTCCCACCAATATATTGATCCACCAATATGAAATCACTTCTCAAAGTATCACCACCTCCTCCACCAGCAAGTACTAAACCACCGTTATCTTGTCAATCACCAAGCACCACCACACCAACCCATTTAATCCCTTCGAATCATGATATTAATAGGATGATGATACAAGTCATGTCTTCACCAGTGATGGCTCATCATCAATTGTCCTCTCCTCCCAATAATGAAACTCATCATGAAGAATCTCACCATTTCACAACGACGACGACAAGCACATTGGAAAGTAATAACACGACGACGACAAGCACATTGCAACAACAACACACAACCAACTCTTCATCCACTGACTATTCTCATCATCCTATTATTGAACAAACCAATCATGATCCTTTGATCATTCACAACTCATTAAATTCCACGAATGATCATCATGCTACTGTGGACCATAACAACAATCATGAATTACATTCTCCTTCAACACCTCTCTGTATCACTTCTGAAATGAGTAGTTCATGTGGAATGCATTTCATGACCACCATTACAACCAGTAGTAGTGGTGGTGGTGGTGATGTTAACCTACATCAAGACTCGACAAATGTTCTGTTACACGTTTCACATCATGATGATGACGAGGGTGAGGAGAACAACCACTCTTCCACATTAAATCCAACAGTCGAGATCACCTCAGTGGTTGGTTCAAGCACTTCCTCTCATGGAATTATTGATGATTTACACGGTCATTGGACCAATACGGCAACGACAACGACTATGAGTCCAGCTGCTACCCACGAGAGTTCTTCTTCTTTATTTGGTTCCTCGACTGAAATTTCTTCATGGAGTCTTCCGAATAGTCAACAACAACAACAATTACTCTTGACATCACAGCACACGACTACGACATTGACACCTCTTCAAATTAGTCCTCGAATGCTACATTTACAACACGCTCATTTAGTAGATACTATGGATGCTGTGAGTTGTGATAGCAATTGTAGTAGTCCAATCACATCGAGCTCCACATGTTCTTCTCCTGCTTCATCATACAGTCCCATTCCTCTTCATTGGAATAGCACCACACTGTCAACAACAACACAGAATCACTCTTCGTCATCATCTTCTACACCACCTATCATTGATCCAAAAGTCATGTATGCCAATTATATGAATCCAGAAGCAACCGATTCTAAATCCTTACTCTTACAATATTGTGTACTTGGAATGGAACAAGAATTTAAACAATTACTTTTGAGAGAAATTCATGCGACAAGAACACGAGAGTATGCAACGACAACTACCTCTTCATCACCTCACCATCAACATGATCATCTCAACTTTTCAACAACCACTGTCCCACACCCATCCACAACTGATACTACAACTGCTACAACTGCTACGTCTACAACTACTGCTACTACCACTGATACTACTACTGCTACCACAACAACAACTGATGAAACCATTGAAGAAATATCAACTCCAACTCCAACACCACCACCATCAAACATGACCACAAATGAGACTCATGAATCATCATCATCTCCTTCACAACAATTATTGAATCAACAAGAAACAAGTGAGCAAGAACCATTCAATACAACATCAACCACCATTCATGAAGAATCAACAACATCACCTCAACTCATTCTCACTCAATCCAAAGTATTAACTTCACTCTTCACATATCATGATCATGACAAGTGTACTCTCTTTCATTTAGCCTCTAAATTCAATCAAGTACATTTATTGGAATTCATGTATGAAATGGTACCTTCCATGATTTTCATGAAAGATTCCAAACAAGCTCATCCTCTTTTTTATGCAGTCTCCAATGATGCAAAAGAAAGTGTTGCTTTTTTATGTAATGCAGTGAGTGTGACATTGAACAATGATCAATTATTGGTACCAATTTCAAAATATGTGAATGATTTGGATATGTATGGAGGTTGTTGTTTATATTTGGCATTACAGAAATCGTATTTTGAATTGGCTGATTTATTGTTATTGTTTGGAGCTAATATTGATATCAGTTTCAAGACTGGTGAGACCATGTTGCATAGAGCCATTACAGAGAGAAGATTGGATATTGTGGAATATTTATGTAAGAAGGGAGCAAATTTATTGAAACAAAATCAAAATAATGTAAGTATAGCGTACACGTGAAGAATACTTGAAAATTTATATTTATCTATATATATATCCATTTCTATATTCATGAAACATTGATTCTGTTAACATCCCGAACACTTGCATACTCTACCTCTCATGAATCTACTTGTGTGTGTGCACACACGCTCACACACTTGTATATAACATTCCTAATCAACACATCCTTCATCATTCGAATTTCATCAATTCTTCTCATTCTCTCAAAATTTTCTCAAAATTAACCAATTCTTGATTCCATCACTTATTCTCATTCTCTCAAAATTATGACTGGACACAATATTTAGGAAAATCCACTCTTCAATGTGTTTGTACATCAAAAGAAAAAACTTTCCGATCTCAATGAAAAAACAGTGAATGGCTTCTTCACCACCAATAATGCCAACTTTTGCAAAAACGGAGCTCAATTTTTACAAAATCTTCTCAAAAGTGATTGTTTCTCTTCTGAAGTGATTATGAAAGGTTTAAAACAAAAGAATTCACATGGACGAACCATGTTCCAAGAATGTATTGTGAAAGGAGATTTACCAAGTTTTAAAGTATTATTGGCTTATTTAACAACACGACAAAGCTCTGAAACACTTTCATGGTTTGTGAATGATGTTGAAAATCAAAAGAATAGAACTGCACTTCACTTGTCAGTCGTTTACAAACAATTTCACATGTTCAAAATGTTGGTAGAATCTATTCCTGGAATTGCCAAGTTAGATGCTGTAGATAGTGATGGTAAAACAGCATTAGATATTGCCAAAGACACCAATCAGGAGAATGTTGTGGAATTATTTAATGAAATGGCAGAATTACAAAAACCAAAAAAGAAGAAGGGATTTGGATTGAAATCTCTTTTTAGTAGAAACAAATCAAAAACCAAATAATAATGTACTTGTGATACTTTCTTGTGGTATTGTGCTACCAATCGTACGAGTGATACTTTCTTTTGGTATGATAATTTGTGACATGATTGTAGGTCAGTTCCAAGTTCTAAGCGAACAACAATGTGTGAGACCTTGTGTCATTTGGCTTTGATCTCTTTTTACACGAAAGAAAAATGTCGAATTACTGCTGCTTCTTTTCAATCGATGTCATTTTCCATGTCTTTGAATACTGTTCTTTGAAAGACATTTTATCATTGAGTCTTACTTGGAAAGTTTGTAATGAAGCATTACATGTGTATTCAGAAAGTGTTTTCAACAAGTATTATCAAGTATTCTCGCAATTTGTCAAGGAAATTGATCTCCACCACCCACAAGACACCTCTTTGCAACACCATTCCTCAACAAAAGAAAAATTTATCGCACTATTCCCAAAAGCCTGTAAGGAAATGAATGAAGAAACTGAATACTATCCTTTTCATCAAGGTATGGTGCCAGGGGGTTTTCATAACTGTACGGACTTGTTTTCTCGAATGATTGCATTGGATTTCAAAGCATTACACGGTGCGAATGACTCTCGAACCATCTTTGATTGTCGTTTTGGGCTTGACATGGAATATCAACGCTGTTTTAAGTGTTCCGATCGATTGGTGGTAATGCCTGAAATTTTAAGTCTCATGGGATGGAATTGGATCTCTCAAGATTATGATTTGAAATTACTACGGTTTTATGTGCTGAGAATTATTGCACCTTATTACCCAAACAATGTTCCTGGAATTGTTTTGAAACAACCTGAAAGTATGAAATCTTCCAATATTTCCTCTCTATGGTTCAAGGCTCAAAGCGAATTTACAGAACCAGAATTTCATTTTGTTAATGCTAACAACTCGTGTAGTATGATTGGAAAAGAAGAGAAACGAATGATTCGAGCTTGTTTTTGGATACTACACGACAGAACAGATTCGTCTGAAATATTACTTTGTTCCCATCGAGGTAAAATGTATTCAAAAGTAGAGCTGTTAGTCGATTATGAAAGCGCTTCTATCGAAAACATTCGTGTTCTTTGCACTGTGAAATGTCCATCCAAAGAAAATTTCAAAACACGAAATGGAACGTGTTTGGTCCACTAGGTTGTAAGTGATTGAAAAATTCCTTAACAATTGTTCTGATAACGTACTCATTGAACATTAGTGAAAAGATTCCCATTTCTGCCTGATACCTCTTTTTCCCACAAGGTTTAATTCAGCATTAAGTTAGATCATGAAAAGAAGAAATGGATCATTCTAGAAGCTCATGGTCAAATTGTTTGAAAATGGTGCCTTAATTCTGTGTTCATAACGGACGAGAGTGGTTTCATAACAAACGAGCACCTGTCTTCATGAAACACTTCCTTACATGGTGCGAGCAACAAATAGTCATTGTCCAAACTACACACTCTATACTCGTTTGTCCTTGGAACTGTTTTTGCGAATTGCTAAAGGTCAAGCCATGGCAGTCCCAAAGAAGGCAAAGTCAACCGAAAACCGCCCTCATAAAAAATGCGATCTTCTTTCAATCGGTTGTTTTCAAGTAATAGCAGTTCGTCCTCTTCATCAGCCGCCACAGCAGCAGCCCTGAACAACAACATCAATTCTACAACTTCTCCAAATCATCATCACTCACAACAACAGGGAGGAGAGGTTGCTATCCATCATCATCATCACGATACCAATGGAGCCATCAACTCCTCCTCATCTCGGGTGCCAAAAACTGGGATTCATGTCGTTCCGCCACAACAACATCATCAAAACGATTCAGACCGATCATCTCCCACAACAATTATCGGAGATGTTGCTAAACCAATTTCTCAAACACAAGCAAAACAATTTTTTAAATATATGAAAAAGTTAAAAATAGACGGTGTGGAGCAACTGCTGAAAGAGAATATCAATTATCTCATGGTCCGAGATGTTGATGGAAGTACACCACTGATTAAAGCTGCTTCGAAAAACATGCTCAGTTTCGTTGAGTTGTTTTGTAGGATGAATAGAGACAACAAAGTAGGATTTTCTTGTTTAGACTTGACCAACAAAGAAAGATATACTGCCATCAACATTGCTGTAAAAAAACATAATACTAACATTGTCAGCTTGTTGTTACAATATGGTGTAAATATTTCAGACACTCCTAACAAAGATGGAAATTTACCCATTCACAGCGCTAGTAGACGTGGATTTACTGAAATAATTTCTATACTTGTAAAACATGATCCTAATCAATTGAATATCACCAATCCTTGTAATCAAAGAACTCCATTATTCATGGCAGCTCAACATGGGCATTTAGAAACAGTTGAATGGTTCCTAAACCAGCCTGGAATAGATCTCGCGATGAAAAGTAAAGACAACAAGAGACCAATTCACTCAGCCGCATCTCATGACAATGTAGAAGTTGTAAAATTACTGCTAGAAAAGGGTAAAGAATATATCAATATCCTGACAAGCTCTGATAACGAGAAAGATAAGCGATACACACCATTGCATTATTGTTGTAAGAAGGCAGCACTAACAACAGCTAAATATTTATTAGAACAAGGAGCATTATTGGACATTTTTATTAACAATGCAAAATTTAACTATTTTGGAAAAAAGACGCCGCTCTACCTGGCAATTCAAAGCAAACGAGAAGAAATTTTAAAGCTTTTTCTTTCATACTACAAAATCATTATGGAACTTTCCGAGAACCCTATTAGAGAAGATGCTCTTTTAAAATGCAACATGAGTAATGTTTTTAATCTAGATATCCAGAATATTGTCAGAACATATGATTATTATGTTCAACAGGATGCCATAAATGCCATAATACCTGATCCATCATCTGACTCTGGTGACAGTGACATGGATGACATGGAGAACAGCAATGACGCAAACACTGAAAACAAGGCTGTAAAAACAGTACTACGAGCGACAAAGGAAGTCATTTCGTTAGCTATTATGGAAGAAAATCAAGAATTGATTCATTTAGCTTTTTCTCTAGAACTTTTTGATTGTGTTAAAATGTATTTGGCAAGCTTCCCTCAACTGCTAAACTGTAAATCAACCTCAAACGGAAATACACTGATCAATAAGGCGGCACACATTGGTAATTTGGAAGTGATGAAATATTTAGTGTCTAAAGGAAGTAACATTTCGATACCCAATGATGTTGGAAATCGTCCAATTCACAGAGCTGCCTATTGTGGTCATACAGAGCTTGTAAAATATCTGGTAGAAGAATGTGGTGAATGTGTCGATGTTTTCCAACACTCCTCTCCAAAATCAAAGAGACTTGAAAATTCATTGCATTTAGCAGCAAGAAAAGGGTTTTTGGAATGTGTGAAGGTTTTACTGATGAATGGATCGGATATCACTCGAACCACAAAAAGTGAAAGTACAACAGGAAGAAGAGATGCCATACAATTGGCAAAGAGATACAATCAAATAGAAGTCTATGAATTTCTCAAAAAAGTTTATGAAAAGACTGCTCGGTCATGCTAAGTTTCTTCATGGTATGCAACTGTCCTAGAGTGATTAAAGAGAGGAAATTGTTGTTATTGATCATCTCAATTTTGACCATTGTTTCCAAAATTGAAACTAGTGCATACTTGTCTGTTTCAAGGCCTGGTGCTTCTGGATATCAAACCAAACTTTAAATAAATCTCGTGTTTCCAATCCAAACAAAGCATTTGCTCTCAAATATAAATAAGGGGATCCCGATAATTGAACAAAACAAGGATAAAATTCTGTTTCAAAGACAGGTTTACATGGATCATTTTCATATGAACTTGGCATACTAAGAGCTTCACTTGGTGTTTGACCATCCTTCTTTTCCGACAGACAGTTCTTGTATTTGCCTAATTGAGTTCCGCAAGGTGTATGAGGAGCGTGCAGAGAGCAATAGGAACATTGATAAGGATCTTCTTTAGCAATTAAATCATGTGGAGTAAATAATGAATATGTTTTTCCTTCAATTTCAAATTTGTTTGCAAGTACTTGTGGTTTAAATTGAGCGAGTGCTTTCAGTGCGGAACGTCTTCGGTGTTCTTGTTCTTTTTTCGCTGCTTGTGTGGCACGTTGATTGGATGATGATGTTGCTTCAGACATTTTTTTTGATTGAATGAAACGTCCATGAGTGTGGACGCTTTTGGTAGCCAGATAACTCGTGCCAACGGTGACAATAATGATCCTATTACAGGATGAAACAAGATGAAATGATAGGATCCTTGATAGGTGTCTCCACATGTGGAGAACGAGTTGAACAAAGAGTTGTGTTAGTTTCTCTTCCAAAAAATGAAGTCCAACCTCGTGTCCAAAATCCTTGTGGGTGAGAGCTCTTCTCCGACCAAGAGAACTCTCATTCCATTCAATGACAATGAACAATTGAAAACAAGTAACAATAACAACAAATTACAGTCACCATCAACCCATGCAGCAACATCCTCTCCATTCAGTAGTCGAAGTAGCAGCAGTATGACTATTTCCGATTCGGTTGATGATTCATTGAATAATCATAATACGTTGAATTCTTCTCTCTCCGAGGATGATATTTTAGAAACAGTTGAAAAGAGTGAAGAACAAAATTATGTATTTGAAATTAATGATTATTCCAAGTTGACACCATGGGAAAAGTATGTTTCATATTTGTTCATTCGATCAATATTAATATTATTACACACTGATTTCGACGATTGTTTTGATGAAAAAATAATTTCTAAATATAATATTATGATAGATTTGTAGATCAAATGGAAAGCTGTATTGTGACATGGTGCACCAATACTCAACATGTAAAACATTCTCCGGGACATGGTCATCATCACTCTGATTTTTCACATCATTCTCAATTGTTGGTCTATGGAGGAACTAAATATAGACTCACTTATTACAATTTCAAAAATAATAACAACAAGAATACTACCTTGAATCATTCTCAAACATTAGAATCTCCTCTTCAACATTCTGGTGGCTATTCCGATACTAATTTCTTATTGGAACATCCAAATGATTTTCCTCATCGATCTCATCATTTGACACGTTGGTTTGGAGTTCAAGAATTTCTCATTCTTTCATTATATATTGAAAAAAGAAATGATCATTCTCCACAAAAACCTCTTTCAAAACAAGTGATTACCACTTTATTGAGTGCCATTTCCATTGCTCTTTCAAATACTCATTTAAACATTCCATATTTTGTATTATGTGATGGAGTTCATGATTATATTGGAAGATTTGATTCTTGTTCACAAATAACAAGATTTAAAAGTGAATCTTTGAGAAAACAATTAGAACAAAACAAATATCTTTCATCTCGATATACAAAATTAAGTGGAATTATTGAACTCTTTTGTTTTAATATTGGAAAACATGTAAAAATTTGTAATGAAATACAAATCAAAGCAAGATATAATTACATTCTAGAATCATTTAATTCACAACAATGGAATTACGTGAAGAATGATTTTTCAATGAAAGAATCTAGAATTGGATCTTTGGATATTCCTTTAGGTTGTAAATATGATCCTATTCATTCCATAACAATGGCATGTTTATTTCCAAATGTTCATCATCATTCACATCATGATATTGATGAATTAGATATTACTTCCTCTTCATCATGGGAAGTGAGAATGAATGTTGCAAAAAGGTAAGAGAAAGAATTAGATTCCATTATTTTTAACATTCGACTGGTTTGTTGTTGTTTTGTGTTTTGAAAATGATTTTGATCACACGCGTGCGCATAATATGGAATCATCATTCACAATGGTGGGAACTCAACATGACAGACCAGAACTCGAACACACAGATGGTTTGCATCGACTCTTGTTTGATATTTATTTACCTTTCAAATCTGGTAGGTGGATTGCAATGATGTTTTCATGAACCTTTTTAACCTTTCAATATGAATCATTTGTGAAACCACCTACTACGATGAATATATATATATATATATACTATGAATATATATACTATGAATATATGAACAAATACACACACACAATATAATCCAGAGAATAACAATTATATCAACACCTCAACCCAAGACAATACGAATTACATTCATGAAGCCATTATCGATATTTTTGATGTCCATAATGATTTTTCTTCTGGCTCACAATTCATGAAACAATGTCAATTAATTCCAAAAAGTGAAATCTCCTCTTACATTCCCAAATCATGTCATCCTTCGAGTTTATTGAGAAGATTTTGTGACCATTTACCCAAAATGAAGAACATGACAGATATTTCTATTCTATGGAAGAATTTCATTCGAATTTTATTCAAATTCTGGGAAGAAGCAAATATTCAAGATATTTCAGTGTTGGCACAAATTACTCCAGATCAAACATTTATTCCATTCACCAAGGATGATGTGAGTTGGTCTCAATGTTGTTTATTAGAACAAAAAATTGACATGTTGAATGTGTGTTGTAAACGTGAATGTGAAAAAGCACGAGAGAAATTTCAACGAAAAGAATTGAAACGAAAACATTTGAAAGAAGAATGGAAAGATTCTGGATTGGATATTTCTTCTTCGGATGAAGAGGATGATGAATATTTTGATGTTCAGAGTGAGGATGACATGATGAATGTTAATACGACCACCACGACCACCACGACCACCACCACGACCAACACCACCACCACCACAAGTATTCATTCATCAGAGATGGCTTCTCATCATCCACTCATTCAACAAACACTCGAAATGAATGGTCGAAAAATTAACATTCCCATCACTCAACACATTCCAACCAAAACAGAGGATGTTATTGAGGAGGAACAACAGTTACTTTCGAATATGGAATCTTCTCAGCAACGTGCAAGATATCAATGTGAAAGTTTATTATCAGATATGCAAGCATTTAAGGTAAGTATTATTTAATGATGTGGAGTCATTTGCAAATGAATTGTATGATTATTGTAAAATTATTGTTGTTGTTCAATATTCATTATGGTTCAATATTCATTATGGTTCAATATTCATTATGGTTCAATGTTCGTTCTGAAACAAAGTATGTCAATCCAAGTGCTGATTTTTCAGATTTTCTGCTTTGGTATTCTCCAAAAGATGTCATTGATAGCAGCAGTAGTAGTCTCAGTTCAAGAATGAGTTCTCAATCCAATGAAAATATTTGGAAACAATTTTGGGATGAGGCACAACCCAAGCCAATCTCAAAACAAAAATCATTATTTGATCACAAATTACATGCAGAGAAAGTCATTCACTATTTAGACACCGTAGAAATGACCAATGTCATGGATGAGTAAGTTTGTGTTTCCTATATGTTTGCGTGTGTGTGTGAAGGAATGAGATTCAATTTTCATTCATCAATTTTTTCAATGATGATGATTGTGCTATCATAATCTTTTTTTCAATGATTATTGGTGCCATACTATATCATACCAACTAGATTAATGATATGTTCTCTTGTTGCAACTTATTATTCATTGAGAGAGTGGTGGATGGATATTGTACAAGGTCAAACCAACTCCATTAGGAGTGAGAATGAGAATACACAATTGATTGCAATGGAAACACATTCCATATTAGAATCTACCACACCTGTGATCACAAAAATTGAAGAACGATTTGCATTCATACGAGAAGTGTTGAAAAAACTCTCCAAAGAATCCATTCTTCAACAAACAGATTTGTTAGAAGTACTCACAGAAAAATTACAAGAATTGGAGAAATCCATCTCGATCGTTATTTCTGTCTTGTCAAAGGTTGGTGAAAATTTTGAACTTGTAATCCATCATTCACTTATCATTTATAATGAAATTTCTATATATACATGATAGTTTGATCATGACAAACGATGGCTAGAACATCCATTGCTCCAATGCATGGAATTGTTAATATTCAATGAGAATTTTTCTTTAACTACTTCCAAGGATGAGAATACAACTATTCATCAACTACTGTGCAAGGTAGGTACCAACTGTCCGTTTTGCCAGTTTCATATCATGTACCAACATTTTGAAGAAATGTACTGAAAAAGAAGACAACAACAGTGAAGAGGACAATCATCAATTGAACACTGAGCTGCTTGTTTCGAAACGAGCAGTGATGATTCATGCAACAGAACATGCCAGAGAATTCATTTTGAGATGTAATGCTCTAAGACCTTATCTCAACTCGGATGCTACTCCTCAACTCTTATATGCTCTCATATCGAGAGATGAAATTCGTGTTTCTACTGCCTTAACGGAAAAGGTACCGTGGTAGTGTTTCGTTACTTTTCAAAAAAAAATTTTTCGATTGCCCCTCACTGTCCCTTAAAGCCTCCTCTCTCTCGTTGTACTAACACTAGAAAATGGCAGAGAAAGAGTTGGATCCAAGACTCTTGGAAATTATGAAAGAAACGGGAACCAAATTGTCGGGAGATGATTTGAGCGCCCTTAAAACCGTAAGCGTAAAGGAGCTTATTAAATTGTGGGAGGCTCTAGCTGTTGATCAGCAAGAGCCTACAGCTGCAAAAGGAGGCATCAAATCCGCTCCTAAACGTTCAAAGAAAGAAATATTCGAGGAATGGACAAAAGGAGTGGTAGAGCAGTATAAAAAGGAAGCAGAAAAGAGACTTGCATCCTCATCTCAAGGATCTCATGTACCCAAACCAAAAGTGATGAGTGATCACGAATATAACAAGTCAATCAAAGAAGTAAGAAGTAATTTGAAAAAAAGAATTGCGCTTTATGAACAGATGGTTTCCGCAAAAGAAGCTAATGATGAACATGCTATTCGAGAACTTTCTTCTCTCCATAGAACAGGAATGAAGAATGATCTAAAACTCAGAAACACTTCATACTACGAAACAATTCTTAAAAAGACATCAAATCAAGCCTTAAAACTTGTGAGACCCTTGGTTGCTCCTCAACTAGTTACAGTTAACGAAGCAAAAAATCAACCGTTAGTTCTTGCCTCTAAACAGCTTGCAGCCAATGGAGACGTGTTGCTATTTCTTGAAATTGCTAGTGATGACACAATCCGAGATTTAGTTGTTGAGGCTGTTCCAAATCAGAACGAATTATCATGTTCAGTTCTTTCAGCCCCTCAAATTGATAAAATTGGTCCAGAAGATTTAGAAGCTGCAGTGTTGAAGGTTGATTCTAAAGATGTAATTACTGTAGGTGGAGGATGTCAAATGAAACTTCAGGTACATTATACAGATGAAGAAACCGGACAAAGAAAGACACAAATTCTTTCTCCCATTCAGCTTGGTATTGTTGACATTATTGAACAAGAAACCAAAGACACTACTGAATTTGAAAATTTGTGGTTCAAGACGGGACAAAAAAACGAAACCAAAGAAACCGTCGTTTTTGACTCTCCTCTTCAAGAAGCAATTGATTCATTTGTAGAAGGATCTGGTATGATTCCAATATCTGAGGCACAACAAGAAATATCTACAACAGCTGTAAAACATACTATGCAATTTTTTGCAAAGAAAGATGAAAAACCTATTTTAACTAAGGTGATATTTACTACTAAATCAAATGGAACAGAAGCCGTTGTTCAAACACGTACAGAACTTGAGAATGTCAGGACAGAGGCTGTTAAAAACCTCAAATCCTTTTGGGAGAATATGAAGCAAAATAAGGAAGAGATTGTTAGGGGTGTTGGTAGAAAAATTAAATTTGAAAAAGAGGAAAAAGTGAAAGAGGAACACCTTAAAGCTCAGGAAAGATTGAGGAAGGAAAAGGAAGAGGAAGAGGCAAAGCGAAAACAGGAGGAAGAAGAAATGGAAAGAATGCTCAAAGAACAGGAAGAAGAAGAAAGACTGGCTAAAGAGGAAGAGGAAAAACGTAGATTTGAGGAACAAGAACGAATAAGACTTGAGGAAGAACGAATTCGACATGAAGAAATGCTAAGAATCATGGAAGCAGAGCGCATCAAAAAAGAGCAAGAGGAGCTTGAAAAACTCAGAAGGGAAGAAGAAGAGAAAGTAAGACTGGAACAAAAGAAACGTGAAGAGGAGGAAAGGAGAAGAAAAGAAGAGGAAGAGAAACGCAGAATTGAAGAAGAAGAAAAACGGCGACGAGAAGAGGAAGAAATGGAAAGAATGCTCAAAGAACAGGAAGAAGAAGAAAGACGTGCTGAGGAAGAAAAACGTAGATTTGAAGAAGAACAGAGGCTAAAACGAGAGGAAGAGGAGAGAATTAGAAAAGAGCAAGCACGGTTGGAATTGGAACGAAAAGAAGCTGAAGAGAGAAGGAAAAGAGAGCAAGAAGAGAAGGAAAGGCAAGAATTATTGAAGCAACAAGTCGAAAACCACAGAAAAGCAAGAATTCAATCTCTACAAGCCAACATGCAGAATTTTTGGAACAAATTTGGTCAACCACTAAAGACCAAGGAATTTTCAGGAGCAGGTTCCTTCGTTGTCAAATTACACACCCTTCCTTCTCATCAAGTAATTGAGGTTCAAATATCTCCACCACAGGAACCAAATACGTGCTACAAGAATGTAAAACTTGAAATCGATCCCATCATTATAGGTCTCGTCAAGGAGCCGTATCAGGTTATGATCGATGAACTCTTCCCCTACAATAGTGCTAGCTCTGTTGCCCTGGCCTTAAAGAGAAATGAAGATTTCCCTGTTGGACAATTGGGAGAGCTAAAGATCATGTTCGACTCGGCAACATTTGAGCCATCAAACGATGAGATCGTTGGAGAACTCCAACCATACGAAGTTTCGATGGATAATATTGAATTCAAAATCGGGGACCTAAATCTTACTCAAACAGAACCAAGTTTCGAAGATTTCAAAACATTATGGGATAGTGGTATCTTTAGTGAATATGGAATGGATACTATTGTTTCCGGAGAGCATGAAAATCCTGTTGATTTAGTTAAAGCATTTTGTGTGTCGCATGATCTTGCACCAGTTGTTCATGTAAAGGAAGGTGTTGACGAAGGTACATGCTTCTTCGGTTCTTCATATGAATTTCCGTCAGGCGATGCAGCACTGGTTCTTGGAAAATCGAACAAGTTCGATAATGGTATTGTAAAACTCAAGGTTCAAGTGAAGTCATCAGAAAAGAAAATCACAGAAAAGTTCCTTAAATCTTTTTGCTCCGTGTACAAGGAACACATCAAACCTGTACAAATGTTTGAAAACAAGACAGGTCATGAAGCAGCACAAGAAAAATTGGGAGTACCTACAGCCATCCAGAAACGTGTATTGATTTCCAAACCATCTAATCCACTGATCAAAGTAGACGTGTCTAAGCGTGTGTATTCTGATAAGAAAGTGATGCTGGAATATCATATAGCGAACAATGCTTATTCGCCCATTGAAAATGTTGACATTTTGATGAGCGGAATAGGTTATGAATCGGGTGGCGGTGAAGGTGATAGAATTGAACCAAGTGAAGAAGCGATTGTGTGCAAGTTTGTATCTACAGATGTTGGTGAAGGATGTATTACACCTTGTTTGTCCTACTCCGTGTCTGGTCATCCTGAAAAGCATGAATTGTTTAACGTGATGTTCGGATTGAAAGATGAATTAATTCCAGTGTATCCAACTTCAGATTTCTTTGAAGTGGAGTGGCAACAAAGTCCAACTTTCGATGTGCTTGATGTTGCTGAGTTAATGTCAACAGAAATAAGCCAAGTGAGCGAATGTGTGAATGACGCGTTTGGAGCGTCCAAAGCTCTCAACCAACATGAGGTTGAAGAATCATCTTCAGATACTTTAAACTACATGTTCACTTTACCATCAGGAGAAGACTTATTTGTTCAAGTTGTTTTGGACCCATCTCCAAAATCCATCAAATATTCTCTCAAGTATAAGGGTGACGGCCCAAATTTAAAAGCTTATGTCCAATCATTGGCTGCCTTTTTGCGTTATGAGGTTCAAAAAAGAAATGTCATTCTCGAAGGGGAACAATCACCTCAAATTCCAGAAGCAGATAATGACCAACCTCCCATTGAAGACTCCGAATTGCCTGAATTACCTGCTGAGGAAGACAAACCTCCTGAACTTCCAGTAGAAGAAGAAGACCACACCAAAGAACCTCTAATTGATGAAGAACCTGAAATTCCAGATGTTGAAGAACCTCCAATTGATGAAGAACCTGAATTACCCGCAGACGAAACCCCTCCTGAAATACTAGACGAAGAAGAGCCTCCTGAAATTCCTTCCGAATACGAAGATACCACACATGAAGAACCACCTGAACTACCAACAGAGGAAGAGCCTGAACTTCCACCAGAAGACGAAGAACTTCAGGAGCCTGAATTACCACAAGAGGAAAATGTGCAAGAGGATACAGAACCTCCATTTGTGGATGATGAAGAGCCTCCTGTTCAAGAAGAAGATGTGCCAGAACTCCCACCAACAGAAGAGACTGAAAAAGTTGTACACATCGAACAACAACAACAAACACCGATTGAACAAACTAAGCAGCCTGAGCAACAGCCATCTGTTGGAGATGAGGCGCCTCCAAAAAAGCCTGAAGTTTCAGAAGAAGAAACATTTGCAGAAGAAGAAAAGGTGCTTAAACAAAATCAAGTGGATGTTTCCAAACTTGCTAACACAACATGGTTAAAACCACGATTCGCTGTTCACCAAAACGGAAGTCCAAACGATAAGAAGATTTGGGAAATTGACTTCTTCGCATCCACCTTCAAGTTATTCGAAAAGAAGGGAGGAAAACTTAAAAGTACATATCAAGCCAAAGATTTATATTCCCTGGAGAGACATTTTACTGACTCTAGAAGATCTGTTTTGAGATTCTTTGGAGACAAGTCACATCATGATCTCGTATTTGAATCAAACTATCACAGAGAACGATTTTTTGAATGCGCCTCATGTATGAGAAAGAATTTATTTGTTTGGTGCCCTTTCGTTTGTGCTCCTGGGCAAGTTAAAGTCATTTCTGACCTCAAAGGATCATTCAGCTGTGTTGAGAATGGCCAAATCAAGAAGTACCATGGTGAGTGCAAGGTAAACGCATATGCAAAAGCTTTTGAACCCATCCAAGTGTTCTGTATGACTTGGAATATGGGTGGAAAGAAAGCTCCCAAAGATCCGCAAGAGCTTCAAGACATTCTAGTCCCTGGCAAATATGATTTGTATGCCATTGCCACCCAAGAATCAGGATTCCCTAAGGACGTAAACAAATTTAAGGCGTACGTCGAAAATTGTCTTGGAGACAAGTACATTGTTTTGACGTGCATTACAATGTGGGAAATTCAATTAGTTGTGCTTACAAAGAAGTCGCACTTTTTAAAGATTTCGAATATTCAAGGCGTTCAAAAAGCAACAGGTTTTGTAAAAGTTGCCGGTAATAAGGGTGGTGTTGGAATTTCATTGTGCTTTAACGATACACCCATGCTTTTTATTTCATCTCATTTGGCTGCTAACCATGGAGAAGGAACAGATGATAAGGAATATCTTAATCTTAGAAATCAAAATGCTCAAGAGATTATTGATGCAATGTGTATTGGTAACCCAACCATGGACATTAGTGGACAGTTTGATTATATTTTTGTTATGGGAGATACCAATTATAGAGTTGAAATGCCTTTTGATGAAGGAGTTGCTTTGGCAAGAAACAAAAAGTATGATCAATTAGTCGCCAAGGATCAACTAAAAGCACAGCAAAAACTTGGAAAAGTATTTTATGGCTTTAAAGAAAATCCAATTACATTCCCACCTTCTTACAAGTACAAACCTGGAACATTAGAATTTGATAATAAGAAAAAGCGAACACCATCTTATACTGACAGAATTCTTTACAAGACATTCCCTGCTTGCAAGATTCTAAGTGAAAAGTACACTGTCAAGTTCCCAGAATGCAAACACCCATCCGATCATCTTCCAGTCCAATGCGTCTTCACTGTTCCTACTCACAGACCATTTGTGTCCGTGTTCACATCTGAGACCCAATATTCTTGCCAAATTATCTTTGAAGAAATTGTTTGTAAATTGGCTGTTAGAGAGGAAATTGTCAATCCTACTGTAACATTTTATGCCTCTTGGTTGGACTCGAATGAAAAGGGCGAATATCCAATGACTTCCAAGATTGCAAACACAAAGACACCACTATGGGCGAAGGAGCAAATACCAATTCTTGTTCCAGCAACCTCTAATGTTGAATATTTACGTTTGAAACACCTTACCTTAACCATCAGAACAGGCAAGCCAGAAATCAGCCGTGGAATTGAAAATCTTATTGGAACTGTAATTTTGCCTCTTCAAAATGCTGTTGCAAAGAGCCCAGAAAAAAATCCATTCAAGGCCCCTATTCATGCACAAGGTGGGTTGGCTGCTGGCATCATGGAAGGTTGCTACAGAATTGTATATAAAAAGGAAGATGTGGGCAAGAAACTCATGAATGTGGATACAGAATAAAATTGTACAAGTCGGATGTTGAGGAATTTTTGATTAAGGACCAACAAGACGAGATTTAATATTGTCCATGATACAACACATTGTCACATTTAAATGTTTTTCCAATTGGGATCAAACTTGGTTTCGCTCACGTCATTGTGAAGATTGATGGCTCTGGCATACTCACGCGCACCTTCTTCATCGTTTGGATGTTGGTCATAGGTTTGGACCTTTCCATAGGTTTTGAGATCATTAATAATCTTTGCATGAGAATGCCAACGAGGGTATTGAAAAACTTTGTGGTGTTTGACTGTATGTTTTTTTTGCAAATACCAATGATCATGTTCCATGAATCCAACACATGATAATATTACAACTTACATGGTGGTAATACCATATGCAAATGCAAATGTTTCACACTCACTGGATAATTGTAACCAGCAATGACATGTTGCTCAATATTAAAATTCTCTCCAAATCTTGACAAGTCTCTCTTTTTAAATTCCTCAACACCTGCTTGAAATAATGCTTCCAACATTGGAATATGTTCTTGTGTTAAACAAGTAACATCATCATACACATCAATTGGAATAATATCAATGTGATCATTATGAACAGATACTCCAAATTTATCATTAAACAAACACAATGAATCATTTCTAAATAGAATTGGAGTATCCTTATTCTTTCCAGTAATAATATCCAAAAATACATTGTCAGGCAATTGTGAAACATCGTGAGGTGTTAATGGAAATGAACAACCAGTACAAAAATCTACATTGACAGAATTTGGTTTTGTACAGGCAGGACAAATTTTCCCGTATTGATGTTTGTTTGAAAATTCAGAAATGGTCCCACGTTGTGATCTCTCCTTTTCAATGACTTGTAAATCTTCGGGAGTGAAATCTTTCCAATGGGCTTTGTTGAATCGGAAGGTAGGTTGACTGGACATGTTGTGATGAGTAGTAGTAGTAGTAGCAGTGGTAGTAGTATGGTTGAAATGATGTCGTTTTATGATCGAGAGGAAAACACGGTGGTGAAACAAGAATAGCTGATTTGCTTGTTGTTGTTTTTTTGATATTTTTTTGAACATGATGGAGTTCATCATCATCACGATTCGTTTTGGAATTTGTAATCGAGTTCCTCTAGTGTTAACATATGCACCGGTGATCGAAGTTTCCATTCAACTAAATGTCCTTGAGCTTTGCCAAAAGCCAACTTGGCATCCCATCCATTGCATAGGATCACAACAATGATTGGTTCAAGAGTCAATCACAAGAATAACAAAAAAAAAATGAGTCACGTTAAAAATCCTTCTCCTGCTGCTTCTTCGGCATTACAAGAAAATCATCATGATGATGCATCACCATACTCGGTGGGTGATATCATTTGGTTAAAAGTACCAGGATGTCCCTATTGGCCTTCTAAGGTATGTTATTCAAATATTTTTCACCACATGACATCCTTCAACTCTTCCTCGCTTATGTGTGTGCGTGTGTTGTATATTGGATATATTCAAAAAAAATTCACAACAACAACAACCATCTCCGATTTCAACTTGTTGTTGTTCTCGAATATATATAATTCTCATATTTAGATTCTCAATTCCAATGACAAGTCCATTCCATCGACCGTCTTACAAGCAAGAGAATCTTCTCATCACATTCTTGTAGAATTCTTCAATGCAGAAGAAGGTGAAGAATATTATTGGATCGATTTATCAAAAGAGAATAATCATAAATTATTCTCATCAGATCCATACATGTTAGATTCCAATCCAAGTGCATTAAAACATCCCTTATTAAAGAAGGCTATTAAAATGGCTAAAGAACAGTGTGGTATTGCAGTAGTGACATCTCAAAAGAAGTCTTCTAAAAAGAGAAAGGATGATGCAAGTGATGAAAAGAGAAAGGATGATGTAAGTGATAAAAAGAGAAAGGATGATGCAAGTGATGAAAAGAGAAAGGATAATGCAAGTGATAAAAAGAGAAAGGATGATGCAAGTGATGAAAATGTTGAAGAAGAGAAATCTAATGAAATGATGACACAACCTCAAAAAAAGACAAAACATTCTCCAGTGGATAAAGTAGTATTAACTGATGATGAATTATCAAATATTCAAATAGAATTGGATCAGGCCATTTCAAATCAAGATTTAAATTCTATCAAGGAATATATCAAATTTATTCATGACAAGTGTACGGACATTACTGTTGAACAATTGAAAAAAGTTAAAATTGGTAAATCAGTGGCTAGTTTAAGAAAAAGTGAAGATCAACAAGTAGCAAGTATGGCTAAAGAATTGGTGAAACAATGGACGAATAAGGTAAATGTGGAATCGAATACTTCAAGTAATATTACTGTACCAAGTACTACAGTCTCTCAGAAGAAGAGTCAGTCTGCAACGAGTAGTACTACTACGAATTCAATGAGTTCAACCTCAGCACTGACCAAATCTGCAAAAAAACCCAATACCTCTAATATCACCACGAATACCATGAATACCAGTGCCACCACTACGAATACCACAATGAAAACCAATCCCACTACCACAACTACCAATACCAATACCAACACCAACACCACCACGAATACCCCTTCCAACAAACCTGTCAAATCCTTAATCACGACAACAACCCCTCAAAAACCACCAGTCAAACCTCTCTCCAAATCGACTAGTATGAGTAGTAATTTATCATCAAACTCTAGTAATTTATCATCAAACTCTAGTAGTAATTTATCATCAAACTCACACTCAATCAAATCACCACCAACCACTCCTGTACCCACAATGGATTTGAGTTCAATTCCTCAAGTTGCAGATGAATCTAGAAATAGATGGAGAACCAAGATTGCCCAAGGTCTTTCTCTCGTTAAAGATGCTACTGAGAGTAAGGTCATTGAATTGTGTGTTGAAATTGAAAATGCAGTATTCAATTACTTTAAATCCAATCCTCAAATTCATAACCATACCTATGATGATCAATGTAGAACATTGGGTAGAAATTTGTGTGATTCCAAGAATGAAGACTTTAGATCCAATGTGTATCATGGTGTGATTGTAATGGATGCACTTCCAACCATGAAAGTACAAGAAATGGCATCAAAGGAGAAACAAAAAGAACGTCAAATTTTGCAAGAAAGAAAACAACATCAAGATATGGTTGCGAAACCAGCAGAAGTGGAATCAAGCATGTTTAGATGTGGTAAATGCAAACAAACCAAATGTACTTATTTTGAAATGCAAACAAGATCAGCGGACGAACCAATGACTGCTTTTATTACATGTCTCAATTGTGGAAATAAGTGGAAACAGTAAAGTATGGTCAAATTTTTGTTTATAGGATTGTGAACGAACACAGAATGTTCATTCTTTTTCCTTGCCGTTGTTGTTTCGAGAATATGGCCCTCACCAAATTGCTGTGAACTACCAGCAGGTCAAGTACAAGGTGACATACCTTGGGGACAACCTTAGAGAATTCTGACATTGCATCAATTTGGTGTGAACCACCGAAGGCTGGGACTGTTTCGGCCAAAAAGAGTCTCTTATTTGCAGATGTGCTTGTGAGAAATCGTTGGTGTTGGAATTTTTTGAATCAAACGTCAAAGAATTCAAATCACGTTAAAAAAAATGTTGCAACCAAGTGTGTCAGCCGATCAGTCAGATCTCGATCGTGCTGCAGATAAGCTTCTCACCTTTGTAAAGAAAGCTTCAGATACACCTAATACAAGTGAATATGAAGTGTTGGAACAAGAAATACGAGACCCCAAATTTGATCATCCGCTAAAAGATGATTTTCTTGACATTGCTCATCAAATGCGCACAGTTAGAGATTTAGAAGATGTGAGTCAAGACATTGTCAGATCTTTGAACAATATAAGGAGCTATCTGAATAGCGCATTGGAAAATCACAATACTTTAAATAACGTCCATCAACACCCATGTATGAAACTCAGTATCGATTGGGACAATGGAGAAAATTTGTCACAAAACTCAACGAACGGTATCGTTGGTGATCCTATTACAACTCTGAAGAAGTTGATCATTGTCCTTGACAACAATTTAAAAGAGTTGGTTGGCAACAAAGAAGAATCACAGGAAAGGGAAGAAGACGAGAATGTTGAATTTGCAGCATTTAAAGATCGCATTATTGAATGTCTTGGAAACATAGTGGATGGAATAGATTCCGAAACAAACCTTTCTGATATGGACCCCGTTTTTGATGTCCTATTTGAAACCATTTCAAAAAATTTCCTCTTTCTTAAGAATGTATATTTTTCACGGTTTCAACAAATGAAAAAGGAAGCAGTATGGCTTAAGAAAATAATAGAACTTGTTCATAATTACCCTTGCATGCAAAATCGAATGGCAGAAATAACCAAACAAAAACGATCCATTGAAAGATCCATCAAAATACTTAGTTTTTCTATTGATCTTGCAAACGAAGATTTGGAAGAAGAAGCCAATTCCGATTCTCTGAAACAAGAAATTTCAGAATATCAAAGAAAGATTCATGAAAAACGAGAAGAACTTTGTTCTATTATACATGAATCCAATGAGATTCGACAGAAAATTTGGATATTGCATCAACATGGATTTTCAGATGTTAAACTTTCCAAAGATGATCATGAAGTCATATTATCAATGTTTAGAATTCCTGAATTGTCTCCTGTGATGTTTCAAAGGCTTGCTATGTTTAGCGGCAGTCATAAAGTATTTATGGGTATTGAGAAGCAGACCAAAAAACAGTACGTCATCAAGAAATATCACGTGGATGAACAGACACAATTGGACAATTTGAAAAAGGAGATCAAGATTCTCCAAAAGGTCAAGCATAGAAATATCGTTGCACTCGAAGGTTATTACATGAAGAAAGATCATGTACTTAATCTCAATACCATACATGTGGTCATGCCATTTTATAATGGAGGAGATTTGAAGAATTATATTCAATCTCAACGTGGAACTGGCATTCCCATGGATATCATTTTCTGGGAGAGGATATGGAGACAACTATTGACTGCCATTCAGCATATCCATGCTAACAATGTGATTCATTGTGACATTACACCAGAAAATATATTTATTGAAAGAGAAGAAGAAGTTGTGAGAGTAATATTGGGAGATTTTGATGAGAGCTGTGACAGTTTAAGTGGAAGAAGTTTACCCAAACAAGTAACAGCATCTTTTAAATCAGACATGTACGCATTTGGACAGACCATCAAGGATGTAATGACCTCTCAGGAATTGAGTGAATTAAGCTCTCTGCAACAGCTAGTGAATCAATGTTTAAGTGAAGATGCATCTCAAAGACCAACAGCATCTCAAGCATTGGCTCATGAATTTTTCGTTATCGCTGTTCTCCAAAAAGAAGAAGAACTCCAAACCAAGTTAAAACAAATTGAAATGAATGAAAGAACGTTGGAACGAAAAAGACAAGATATCGATTCCAAAGCAAGGAATGTTCAACTAGACATGTCTTATTTGCAGATACAATGGACTCGTTTTGAGGAACAACAAAATCAACATGCTTTTGAATTGGAATTTAAGAGGCAACTCAACCTACAAAAAGAAAAATATTTGAAACAATTGGAAGAAAAATTGCAAAAGGAAGCCCAATCACAGCTCACTCTCAGATTACCTGAATATTGGAACAACAGAGCTTTGGGTGCAAATTTCAGTCAAACCCAACTTGTTGATGTTACGAATACCATGAAACAAATTATCCAAGAATTACTCGACCTTACTTGTGAAACAACTACATTAGGAGGAGATCAACAACATACTCGTTTGGTAGTGAGTCAAGTTTTTAGAGTTGAAAATGCTCTACTATTCTCGTTATACAACTTTAGAAAACAACAAATTCTCTCTTATAACGATGCTCCAAAATCAATAGTGGTAAAGACCATGGATAATATTCCATCGGCCACCTATGAAAGTGCATACACATGGATCCAACAATGTGGTCTTGACCGCACATGCAATGAAGTCTATTTGTGGCATGGTACTACACCTGAAACTCTGAATACCATTGTGGAGTATGGTTTTGATGAGAGAGTGAGCAATTTGAGTGGACCATTCGGAGCTGGAATTTATTTTGCAGAAAACTCAAGTAAGAGTGACGATTCCACCACGAATGAATTTCCCATGTTGCTGAGTCGAGTTGTTTTGGGAAGACAAATCTTTGAGGCAGAATCGAAGGGACAAAGCCTAAAAGATCACAGAAGACCTCCATTAATTCCAAACATACAACATGGAAAAGAAAGAGTATTCGATAGCGTACATGGAAAATCTAATGCATCCTCGAGTGCATATAATGAATATATTGTCTATGATAAGAATCAATGTTATCCAGAGTTTCTCATTAAATATCAAAGACAATAAAGTTCAATGCTTTTTTGCACCATATGGGAATTGAGTTTTTAAGGTAGTGGTGGTGGAGGAGGAAGTGGTGGAGTGTTTGATTAGCGAGTAAGTACCAATGATTGTTCCATCCACCACCTCATGATAGAGGTTTTTCCATTGTTCCATCCACCACCTCATGATAGAGGTTTTTCCATAAATATCCATTCGAATTGACCTATTGAATGTGATCGATCGATAATATTATTCGTTGTTGATCAATGAAAGCAAGAGGCTAAGTGTTTGAATTTCCACTCGACACTTCTTGTCATTGGGAACTACTTGATAGAGAGAACAATAGGTTTTGAAAAATTGATGCATCCAATCATCATGTAATTCCATGGATGATGAATCACAACGCATGCGATGAAATGCTCTCACTCGAAACATGAGCTCTCTTGCAATCTTGGTAGGTATTTTTCGTTGATTCGAAAGAGTGATGGTGGATGCTATTTGAGAAAATTTCAAATCATCATTTCTAATATTGGGATCATTCCATAACTTGTCTCTATAAAAATCATTCAATTCTTTACAAATTTGCAAGTATTTGCGTTGAGTATTTTGAAATGACTTGTTAAATATTGGATTCAATTGCATGATAAGATCATCACTGATGATCCAATGATCATTTAGAGACGACCAACTCAATACCACACATTCCAATACATGTTGATCCATTTTGTCTGATTTCACCAAATGATCTGGTGGATCTTGAATGATCGTTTCATTCAATATAAATGCTCCTGGATAATTTCTGTTATTGATTCTCAATCGACTCAAATGATAATGAATTGGACATTTCACTTCAAAACCACTCAATTCTGAAGAATAATTAATCACATAACAACGTTGAGTATGATGAAGGTGTGGTAATGATGAATCAGATACCATTGATATACTGTTTTCATCGTTCGTCAAATATATTTCTTCTTCTACTTTCAATAATATTTCTTCTTCTACTTTCAATAATAAATATCCTTCATATTCATAGGGATTTAAATGATTTACAGCATTCATCAATTCATACAACCATTGTGTTTGTTGACATTTTTCATCATTTTTCAACATGTTTCTAATCATGTTGTGAATGATCAATGATGTTGTTGTATGGTTTGAGTGATTCATAGTGCTAGAATGAGTGTACATTGTATTGGAATCTAAATGATATTCTCTTTCCATGACTTTCCATCCATATAATTCTTTCATTCGATCATAATTCAATAATGAACATGGTATGACATGGGCATTACTATCATTCGTGCTACTGGTACTATTATTACTATTACTACTACTACGAATAGAATCATTCATCATGTTGAAACAAGTAGAAGGTCCATCGTTGAACATTTCTTCAAGACATTTCTTGACATTCACACTTCCAATATAAATAATTTCATGAGTTTGTGGATTCCATTTAAACATAAATGTCACTTGCTTGTACTCTGAGTATACTCTCTCTTGATTTGGTAATTTCATAAAAAGTCTTTGAAAATCATTCCAAAATGAACTTCTCCAATTTTTCATATCATGTTTAATAACATCATAGAATAAGGGATAATATTCCCATTGTTGTCTTTCCAAGATGGGACATGAGATGATCCAATGATCATGTTCATTTTCACAACAATATTCATGATTCATACACGCATAGTGATCGAAGTGTGCGTTCATTTCTTGTTCAAGTTTAAATAAATTCACTTGTAATCCATATGGATTTTTAAAACATATAAATTGAGATGGATGATTTGTTGTAGTAGTAGTAGTAGTAGTATGGGTTGTACTACTGTCATGACTAGTATTGTTAGTATTATTATTATTGTTCGTATTATTATTATTGTTCGTATTACTATCAATACTCTCATTATGAAATAAAGTATTCAATATACAGGAATGATCACAAGAAGATACTCTTTTTTCAATTTCTCTAAAATCTAACATGAATGGTCTTGAGAGGGATTGAAGTTTAAAAGAATTTGAAATGTGATCATTGATATTAGAAGTAGAAGTAGGAGTAGAAGTAGAAGTAGGAGTAGAAGTAGAAGTACTCGAAGTGGTTGTTGGTGTGGTTGTTGGTGTGGTTGTTGTAGTGTTCATTGTTGAAATACATTGAATGATCATTCCATGACATTTCAATAATTCACTATTCTTATAGAACAGAGATGGAATTTCACTTTTATAGAATGGTGCATCAATGGAACATTCATAGAGGAGTAGAGATGGAATATTCAATGATTCTTTTAGAATGTGAGGAGAATGGTTGGTTGAATTCATCGTGATGATGATTGGTACACGATACAAGGGTGTGACTGATAATCCAAATATATTTGATAATAGAAATACATCTTGTAATGATGGGAATAGTTGGAATGGAGATGATGATGACAATGATTGGAGAGGTTGAGTTGTTGTTATTCTTTGAAAATTAAGATCACATGTCGTAGAGGAAGCAATAAGCATTCGAGTGGTTGTTGTTGTTGAATCATAATGTTCAAGACCTCGTCGTACAAACTTGTTTAAAAACTGAATGATGGGGTGTGGAGTCATGATGGAGGAAGGATGACTTGTTTGATGAGGAGGAGTGGAAGTGGTCATTAAATTCTGTTCATCCATTCTTCTACTTGGAAAATCTTGTCTTGTTAAATCTTGTCTTGTTAAATCTTGTCTTGTTAAATCTTGTCTTGTTAAATCGTTTCTATAATACACACTTGAAAAATCTTGGCTTGGAATACATGTTGTTGAATTGTTTCTATTATACAAACTTGTATTAAATTGTTTACCCATTCTTAATAATTCTTCAGACATTTCATGAATCAAATCATTACAATACTTTTCAAATTGTTCTTCATATTCATTGTATAATTTTTGAAATGTTTTTTCATATTCTTTCCAAGTGGTATAATGTTGACTCGTATGAAATACCATTTCATAGAAATCTGAATTAGATTCAGTATAATCTTGAATAGATCCATATTGAATGAGTTGATAGGCATATCTCAAAAGTCTATATCCATGACAGATATTCTTTTTCACTTTTTTTAAGAAAGATGATGAATGGTTATTATTCGTGATGGTATGATTACAATCTTGATGATCACTCATGGTATTATTATTATTATTATTGTCATTATTACACTTGTTATGATTATGGTCAGTAGTAGTAGTAGTAGTATTAGTAGTAGTAGTATTATTCAAAATATTATTATTACTATTCATAATACTGTGTGAATGTTCCACATTTCTCACACTTGAATCATATAAATTCCAAAATCTAAATGCCTTATTCATTGAAAAATTTAATTCATGAACAAATGAATTCTTCATTCTTGGTATTTTCATCAAGTACTTGGACCAATGTTGTCTCCAATATTTCATCATTGAATCTTCATAAATGATAAATTGATCATCATTTGTTTCTGATGTAATAAATTGTAACAGTATTGGTTGATGATAATTTAAAAAGGAAAGAAAATATTTAGTATTGAGAAGGGAGAGTTCAATTTCTAATTTGAAACTTGTGTGAGGAGTGATCACTTGTGGATCTTGTTTGTGTTGTGAATTGGTAGCAATAAGTTGTTCTTCTTGTTGTTGTGTTAAATGGTCGTACACGGATGATGAAAGAATACGATATCTATGATGGTGTTCTAGAGTTTCATTTGGTAGTATTATCATTTCTTCTTCAATAATATTTAAATAAATTGTTAATTTATATTGTAAATTTGAAGTGAGACCACCTTCATCAAAATTTTCTGAATATAAATCATCACAAACAAGAATAATATCTAAATCAGAATTGGTTAAATTATATTCAATTATGTCTTGCTGATTACGAGAGAGTAATTTCAATACATAATGTTGAGATGGTAATGATGACATTTGAGATTTGGGATATACTTTTGCAAAATAGACTTGAGATCCAAACAAATAGAGAGCTCTGACTTTGGACTGGAATACATTTGGTGTCGTCGAGTTTAGAATTTTCAAGGATTGTTGTTGTTCATCATTTAAATATTGTTCAACTGTTGAAAGAATAATCGGAGCTAAATCCTGAAGTGTTGTCACAGTGGTGTGATTTGGGTTGGGTTGTAACATTTTTTCAAGAAGTGATTTCAATTTTTAATTTAAAAAAACCAAAGACAAATCTCTCCTGCAGTTTCCAAATTGATGACGGCAAGAAGTGGTGAACGCCCTCTTTCTTACTCGAGGAGTAATAGCAACGATTCCATGAACCCACCAACCCTCTCTTCCTCTCCTCGTCTAAGCCACAATAACAACCTGACGACACTGGAACAAGAAACACATTTTCCCAAACGATCTCTATCACCTCCTCTCCGCTCGGTGGCTTCCAACCAACAGCACCCAAGTTGTACTTTCATTTATTCCAACAACAACAACAACAAGTTTCATTCATCTTCCTCACCCTTATCTCCCTCCTCCTTAATACAACTACAACATCGAAATCATCATCACGACATGCAATTACCGCCTTCCTCCTCTACTTCCATCCCATCAAACCATGTCATCTCAAAAAACCACAACTCTCCGAAAAGAATACAAACTCTAATGATCTCTTCTCTCAATGAGCCTCACATTGTGTCTGCACCTTCGTCGGTTAGATCTTCTTTAATTTCTCCAAATACATTACTGACCATGTCAGGTGGATCGAATACAAGTTCTGTAACTACGACTCCCACTCAACAATTACCACCACACCACTCCCAAGCTTCTCATTCCAACATCTCACCCTTGAATCCATCTCCTTCTCACTTTTATTCTTCTCATCCTCCGAATTATGTTCATCGAATCAAATCCTCCATTGATTCCAAACACAACAAAATACCATGGGAATTACCAATGATCAATCGAGTGATTCGAATTCAAAGTGCTCCTCGAGGATACAATAATTTCAAGAACAATCCAATCCTTTCGAGACCCACAGGCACCTCCTCTCAAAGCAAACAGCAAGAAAAAAATGTACAAAACGAGCCTTCAATTTGCAGTGGCAGCGATTCGGAGATGATTGATGATGACATTCTTGATCATGAATTTGATGATTATAACAGCAATGATGAAGTACAATTTGATGAAAGTGATATTCAAGAAAGAAATGATACATTACTTGATGATTCCTTAAAATCTTTGAAACCAACAACACCCTTGAAGGATCCAACAAATATTTCAAAGAAATTAATGAATCATGAAATTAATCATGAAAACATTGAAGAAGCATCCATGAAACATGTAGAAGAAGAAACATCAATGAAACATTCTAGCAAGTCTAAATTAAGAAATGAAGAATTGATGGATCCACACACTCAACATTTGAAACGACCAACATCTCTGAAAAATAATTTATACATTTCATCTCCCATTCCACATCGTAGTAGAACAAATCCTTACAATGATTGGTATTATGATGAAGGAGAGGGTGGAGGTGAAGCTGATATTCATTCAAGTCTCAACAGTAGTATGAGTAGTACACGAAGAAATGAAAGTGATGAAACCAATGAGATCATTTCTACTCATCAGAAGAGAAGTTTGAATACACGCCGCCATGACACAACTAGTCATCAAAATATAGTTGCGGTGAATACAAGAATAGGTTCTAGCAAATTAAATAACTCGAATAATACTCGCTCAAGTGCTGGAGGAGGAAATATTGAGAGTGATATTGATATGATACTTGAAAAACCATTACCACATCCAGAACAAGAATTGGAGGTATGTTTATTCATTGAATATATTTTAATGTTCATTTTTATTATTATTCATTGAATATATTTTACTATTATGTATTTATTATTCATTATTTCCTATTATGTATATATTTAAACAACCCTCTATGATTGATAAAAAATACACACTCCTATATAACCACAGCATGTCATGGATTCTCTGTCCTCCAGTGATTGGGAAAGTCAATTATCTGGAGTGATGATTGTAATTCGATTATCAAAGTTTAATTCAGATTTATTAGAGGGTAAAATGTAAGTTCATTCCTCGAGTCATTGATTATAAATGATGATAATAATGATCGAACACTATAGAAGAGAAATCATTCCAAATTTAACCAAATTAGCATCTTCTCTGAGATCTTCCATTTCTAAAACTAGTCTCAAATGTTTTGAAGAATTATTTATCAATAATCCAAAATCCATGGACTTGGAATGTGATACAATCATTCCAATACTATTGAAAAAAACAACAGACACAAACAAATTCATTAGTACGAATGCAACAGATGCTTTGATTCAAATGATACTTAATACACAATGTATTGAGAGAAGTATGAATTGTGTCATGAATCAAATAAGTGGAATGAAACATGCGACTATACGAAGTGTTATTGCTCGATTGATTTATGAAGGTGTGAATTATCGATTGAAACATTCATTGTATTCTAATTCTATTATTGGTAGTAATCGTGGTTTCAGTAGCAGCAGTGGTACGAATAGCAGTAGTAGTGGAACCACTAGCTCCTCCTCCAACAAACGATTCCTTTCAAAACTATTTCAAAGCATTGGAGAGTTGTCGAGAGAAGGAAATTCTGAATGCAGAAATTGGGTGAAACAATCTGTGCTTTCTCTTTATCATTTCTACAATGGAAGCATGAGTGACTTTAAAAAGATGATTCAAAAATATCAAGACAAGTATTACAAGGACTTTGTAAAGATTTTAGAAAAACATTCTGAACCTCAGAATAAATCGTTACAAAATTGAGATCAAACAATCGATTATTCTTCTATTTGCTTAGGAGGATTGTTCAATCAATGAAGAGCAGTATAGCATCATCATTCTTCCTTTTGCATTCATGTTGTTGGTATAACTTGTACAGCAGATTCAAATCATGATTTTGGAGTGAATCACATCTTGCCTATTGAATATCAAGGATCAATATTAATAAATTTTTGTGAATATTTAGCAACATCCCTTGTTGTTCAACTATTGTAAGCAGCATTGGTTTTAAATACAGTGTCCGAGTCAAACTTACATGAATTATTCTAAGAACATAGGATTGTTGTTTAAAAAATTAAAAATTTCTTCGACTCTATAAATCAAAACGAATAGATTAGTAAAACAATGAAAACATTCAAGATTATTACAAGCAAAAGTGATTTGATCTTAACTAAGTTCTTCAATAATGTTACAGTTATTTTGCAGCTCAGTTCTAACCACTTAAGTAACAAATGTTGTTGACTTCCGAACCTTCATTTTTGACAAGGTTCGGATATTTCAAATAAATTGGTATAATTACATTATAGCAATGATCCTTCCAGAATATAAATTACGCAAAGAAAATGATGTAATAATGCACAATAATGTAACTTTTGTATAATTACAAAGCGTGCTAATTTGCAAAGGAACTCACCAAAAGTATTAAGTCAGAGAAGAATTTTACTACATAACATTTCCATCTATTATCATTGATGTGAATATTTTGGAATCTTTCGTTTGATTTTCCTGTCTTTTATGTACTGTTTATGATAGTAAATATACTACCATCAACTAACAGTTATATGTGGTTGAATACGTTTGGCGTTACATTGTTGTTAACAGTCGAACATATTCGTACTGGTTGGAGTAATAACTTATAGTTATAAGAAATGATTATGCTGTTGGTAACAGATTTCTAACAACTTCCAAAGCTGTATTCGTCTTTTACCAAGGTTTGACAGTGCGGAGAGAGATTTTATTTCTTTTTTGAAGTGCTTGGACGTCTAAAAACTAATTAGTGACTAGGATGTGTGATTGTGTAGCTCGGCAGCATTGTGTTTTGAATAATGGCTATTCTGTTGTGAACGGTACCGCAAAGTATCATAAAAAAATATTTGACAACTGAATGATGCCTTGTCGTGATTGACCACTTGATCATCATCCTAACAACATTTATCGAATATTTCCAAATTTTCTCATTATCCATTCACAACAACCACATCAATAACAACCAAAATGGCTTCACAACTCCTCTCCGATATTGGTTCCTCTCTCAAACAACCACACTCCTTTCTCAAAGATTTAAAAAGTACAGTCATTTCTCATACTCCATTTGTGAATAACAACAACAACCAAACAAACAATGCAATGGCATCATCATCCAACGAAGACTCTACCATCACGTATAACAATGACATTCTCACACTCTCTCGTGTCAATCAAATTGATTCCAAACTCAAATCCGATGATGTTCCTTCCACAGAAGAAATGAAAGAATTATTAGAACCATTTTGTGATTTTGATTTTAGTGATATTCATTATGTCAATACCATTCTTGATAAAACAAAATATGATAAACGTATTGAAAAGAGATTATTGAGATTTGATAAGAATTTTCTCAATCAAAAAGTATTTAAAGGATTTGATTTAAATTCACAAAATTTGAGACAAGAAGTGATTGATAGTTTTGAATTGAATGATGATGATTTGGATGATGATTTAGATCCTCATGCAACTACTACTACAGCTGTATTGGAATCACCCAAAGATTCGAATCTTACTCAATTATTAAATCCTGCATTGGCTGGAAAGAAGTTAGTGAAGGGAGCGATGGATGCTGGAAAGAGATTTGCAAAAGAAGTGACTGAAGCAGGACAAGAAGGTATGTGTTTTGGGGTGTGTGTGTGTATGTGTGTGTAAAATTCATTTATATATATCTTTCTATTCACACACACATATATATATATATATTTCTATATTCACACACACACACATATATATTTCTATATTCACACACAAACACAAACACACACATGTATATACAGCTGAGGATTTAATTACTGGAAAGAAATTTCAACTCATGCAACAAGAAAAGAATAACAAGATTATCAAAAATGTCAATGATCACAATGATCGAGTGTTGAAAAAACTGAGTGGTGTAGTTTCTCATAATCTCATTACTGATGTCTATCAACATTATGGATTCTTTATTCAAACTTCTAAACATATTGAAAAGATGGATAAAGAATTAGTAGAATTGAGTAATTTATGGAATGAAATGAAATTAAACATTTCCAATGTATTGTATGCATTGAATGAATGGAATGATGATGGAATTATGAATCATTCACAACAACAACATGATAATAGTAATACCACCAACACCAACACCACTCGATCCAAGACAACCACCACCACCACTAGTAGTAGTAATAATAGTAATAGTACTAATACCACGACAAGAAATGTCTCCACCACCAAGACTTCAACGAGTAACAACACTATTGTCACACCAAATACTACTACTACTACTACTACGAATAAGGGAATTGGTTCTACTACAACTACTACTACTACTACAAATATAGATACCACTAGTACTACTACTACTAGTACTAATAATGATGATGATGAATTGAGACAACTCGTTCTCAACAAGATCAAAGATTTAACCAATGATTTCTATAATGCTCTTAAAATACGTAATTTTGAATCATGTATTGAAATTTATGATCATGGACGTAAAATCGTTGAACATTATATGGTCGATCCAATCTTTGTGTCCAATCATCATCGTCGTCGAAAGAATCATCCATTAGAATCTCATCACCATGCAACTCTCTCTCGATCCACATCAACAACTTCAACACCTTCAACAACACCTTCCATTCATCCATCATTCGATTCTTCTGATATTGAAATGATTGAAAAATTCAATCATGTTTCTGAATTATTTGTTGAAACTCTTTTAATTGAATTGAGAAATTCAAGAAATACTTCATACAGTGAATTACTTGTTAAATATATTAGTATAATGAATTACAAAGAAGATGCTATTACTGTCTATTTAGATACACAAAGTACAGTGATTGATGAAGTATTATCACATTTATTGATTGGTGATCCAATAGCATTATGTGAAGAATTGAGTGTGAGATTTTTCAATGCCATCTCTACGGTCTGTGATAATTACATGACCATCTTTGGAAGTGGATTGAAACGAGAGGTGGCAGTGGGGGCAGTGGGGGCTCATTCTGGTACTAGTGGTATGGGTACTAGTAGTAGTAGTATTAATAGTAGTATTAATAGTAATAATGATCATAGTACTACTACTACCTACAAGTCCACAAGTCGTTCCATCATGGATGATGATCGTACTCTCTCAAAAAAGTCTTCTTCTTCTCAACAACAACAACAACAACAACCTCACAAATCCTCTCATACATCTTCCTCTGGTGGTAATAATATTCTCTCTTCTTCAACTGCGAGTAATAATAATACGACACTTCCACAAGGAACTCATAACAGTGGTTTTATTAATTGGGTCGTCACACAAACCATTGAAAAATTTTGTATGAAATTCAAAACAAGTATTGGTTCTGTATTGAAACATGATTTATGTAAAATGACTTTGGCATTGAGTATTGTATTGAAGAATTCAAGAAAGATGAATATTCAAGGTTTATCTGTACAACACTTGTTGAGTGAATTCTTTAGACATGATTTGGAAATTGCCATTCAAAGTTATGTGGATCTCAATATTGAGAATTTATTTGATTTATTGAGCAAAGAGAGTTGGAAAGGTTTTGATTTTGCAGTGAATGTGGCATGTCCAAATTTAGTTCAGAATGTCATGATGGGATCTAAGAATAGTCTCACTAGCACTACTACTACCAGTTATACTACTACTAGTTATAGTAATAATAGTACAACGAGTACAAACACTACGAAAAACAACAACACCACCACGAATAACAACAACAACAACAGTACCACCACAAATGGCTCCAATTCAACCATTTTCATTACTCAAAGTGGAAAATATCTCTATTCCTTTGCCAATGAATATTTAGACTATTTAAAATCAGTGGCAAATCTTTCACTCTATCAAACAGCAGTGAGAAGTGTCAAGGAAATGTTTGAAGAATATATTCTAGAAATATTTAGACTTGCAAATTCTCATCTCAATGATTCTCAATTCTGTTGTATGATTTGTAATTTAAATCAAGTGAGATATCATTTATTACCTAAATTGGTTGACAAGTTGAAATTATTATTTGGTATTGAAATGGTACAATTTAGTTTATTTATGAAATCAACAGAAGATTTGAATCAAAAGATTATTGAAAGATTTTGTGAGAATCGAATTGCCATGATTTTTGATCAAATCAAATTACATACTCCAAATATGTATCCATCACCCTCTTTGGTACTTGATAAGAGTAGTAATAATAATAATAATAATAATAACCATCATCAGAATAGTGATAATAATGATAAGAGTAGTAATAATAACAATACCAACAATAATAACAATACCAACAATAATACCAACCATACTACTACAATGGTGATTGGAATGCTCACGAGTACAGATGAATCCAAATTACAAGTCTCTCCTCAATTCATCAAATTTGTGAGTTATGTTAAAAAGTTACAGACTCTCCTCTCACAATATCCTCAATTGATGGTAGTTCCAGCTGGAGGTCATAACTCTTCTTCACAACAACAACGATCGATGGCAACTAGTAGTAGTAATAGCAGTACTAGTAATAGAAACAAATTGATCAATAATCATCACGACGACGACGACGACGATCATGATGAGAATATCCCTATGGATGCTCCTACCTACATTTCTCAACAATTATTTAAACTATTTTTCAAGTATATGGGTGAAATTCCTTACTTTTGGAAATTATTAACACCACAAAAAAAGAAGGAATCCACAACAGCAACAACTGACTTGTCAGAATCATCCTCCCTCACCATAATCACTCCTCCCACGAACACTTCCATCAAGAAACAAAACACCTCTCAACCCACTCTCAATCTGTTACAACTTAATGCAATCATTTTAGATTTGGAATTTGTAAAAACGATCTGTGGTGAACCTATCATGACTGCAGAGATTAGAACCATGTATCATCAATTGAAAGAGAGAATTGTTACTCAATTTTGTACTCTCAATGATTTGAATTCTAGTTCTGATGTATTGAAATCAGATACTTTCTTTGCATTTATTATTAAGAAATTAATGCAAGAGAATGAAACTGTGAAATTGGTTGCCAAGTTCTTTCAATCCTCCTCCTCTTCGAACAACAACTCGTACTCTGAACAAGTGGATGATCAACCCAAATCCTATTCAACAACGAGTAGCAGCAAGGGAGGAAGAAGTCTCAAAACTAGTGGTGGTGGTGGTATGAGTGATGTACAACAACGAAACCTCAAGAACAAGTAATTGATGAAATAGCAATTACGCTGACAAGATATTTTAATCACCTCCAACTTTTACGCTACTTCTCCAGTAGTTCAGCGGAGCTTACTTTGACAACTCCAAACATTTGTTCATACATGTCTACTAAATTCTTCCATGTTTCTACTTGTTCTTGTAATTTTTGATTCTTTGTTTTGTATTTTGTGAGTTGATTTCTTAGATCTGTAATCATGTTGGATGATGCTGTTGTTTCAATATGTTTGGGACTCTGAATCACACAAGAAGAAGGAAGACTCGTATCATGAATGTTCTTCTTGTGTTGGAATTTGTTAGTTGTGGTTGGACAAGCACTTGTCCTTGAGAACGATGGTGAGGTTGCAAAATGTGATGATCGTGGTGAAGGGGTAGCAGTAGTACTACTGGATTTAGGTGAATAGGAGGAGCATTTCGAAGGCATCATGACGATGGTATTCGTTGTTGGTGTACTTATTGTTGGCACGGGAATGGTATTGATTTTCTCATCATGTTTGAGTGTGTCGCTCGTTTCTTGAAGTTCCTTAATATTTAAAACTTGATCAATTTCTTCTTTACTTTTAGCATTTCTTATCAATGAAAATAAACTTTTAAATTTAATATTTTGAGATTCTAATTCATATTTTCGTTGAATTAATTTCTTAATCGCCTTTTTGTGTTTGTATGGAGCATTGATGGTTTCAATGAAATCATGCTGACATTTTTCTCTTTCGTATTGAATTTGTTGTTCTTGCATTAGTTGTTGTAATTCTTCATTTCTTGCAAGTAGATCTTGAAGTTCATGTTGAATCATTTTTTTTTTGAATTCTGTTGAAAGAGAGAAAAGCCGCTTTCCATTAATTACTTTTACCATTTGATTATTTCATTAATTGAGCACGTTGTTAGCACACGGGTAGTTTTATCTAAGCACTTTCTCCAACGCTTACTTCAAAGCAGTTTCATGTTTTTTTTAAAAAACGATAAAAATGCTTCGCCGACCTTCTTCCTCCATCTTTTCCATCGTTGTGAGCAACAACAGCACACGAGCCTCATCGCTTCAAACACTCGTGAAATCATCATCAACAACAACAACAACTAGTACTAGCTCTGTCCGAAACTATGCACTTCCTAAAAATCCAACCCCACAAGAAGAAAATTACATGATAGAAGCAATCAAAGACTATGTCCGACCTGTAAACAAACCTAGAATTCCTAAAACACCACAACAATTTAAAAAGGATGAAATGTTAGCTAATTCATGGTCATCTCTAAAGAGAATTTTGACAGAGAAGGCTCGCAACGATAACAAGAGAAGAGTAAAATTGAAGAAGGCAGCACTTGATGCTCTTCCAAAAGAATTGAGAGCGGAAGCAGAGAAAATTGATTGGAGTCTAATTCCAATACAGCTTGGTGTTCAACCACACAAAGATTTGCCTGTACAACCTGGATACAAACCACCAGAAGAACCACTCAACATTGAGGTTTAATTTATGGAAAGAAGAATTTGGCAGGATGGAGAATAAATCAATCAATTATTGAATATTGAATGTAATTTTACTTTATGGTGAACAATAATGTTGTTGATGACAACAAATTTATGATAAATGACAAGAAAGGAATTGATAAGAACTAGTTTGCTTTCGAGTATTTACTTTTGATTTTGCATACCAGCTTGGAATCGTTCCGTAACACGCATATTATGTTTGATATATTTCACTCCACATTTGACAACACAAGCCTTTTCGTTTTCATCCAATTTATCTCCTTTTGGATCTTCAATACATTTATCAACACAATGTCTCACCATTTCGTTGAATAATTCCATAGCTTCTTTGATTTGAAGATCTTGCATCATTTGCATTTGCTGTTGTCTTTGATAATTTTGCATTTGTTGCATTTGCTGCATTTGATTAAATGGTTGTTGTTGTTGGAAGGACATGATGAATTTCTCTCTCGGAATGGTGTAAGATGATGACGAGAATGTATCGAGACTAGACTGGTTGTTGTGGCTGCAATATTTTTGAAGTGAAACCACAAAAAAAAAAATAATTTTGATTGGAAATGACTTGATTGTTATCCTTGCAAATATATTTATGTTGAATATATATGAGATGGCACAAAGCCCACTGACTCAACGTTATTTGCATTTACTCTCGACGAGAAACTACAGTACTGAAGAACTCTATGGCCAACACACTCCGATTCTTTTACTCCATGTTGTCTTGCCAACCAAAATAATCAACAAACCATTTTCATCGTTTTTCTCTTTTTCAAAGATCATTTCATCAATTATTGGAAGATGTTCAATGGTCTGCCTGCCATTAAGCATACTAAAAGCAAATGCGTTTATACATTTTCATTCATTCACACTAAAATGTACAATTCCATGAACAGAATAATTCCATTTCAATGATCATGACAGGGTCTTCACACACTTGATTCTCCGACCAACAACAAGGTCGTTTCTTTTTGAAGGCATGCCTTCATCAAACACAAAAAACATCAACAAGGTTTTCTTCAAGATTTCTCAGTGAAGGTTTTCCCAAACATTTCATACGTTTCCAAAAAGAATTCTCCTATTGTATACACAACTTGTACCACTCTCTTTGAACACGTTGTATCATTACCATGGTAGAAATTAAAACCACTCCTTCTGGTATTAGTGCAACTACTACAACAACTGCAGGTACCAAAGATGTTACCAATGTCACTGTGGAAAGTAAGGCCATTGATCAAACCGTAGAACAATTTGAAAACCTTGTCAATCAAGGTGAAATTCCATCCAATACTCAATTATTACAAGGTGTTGAGCAAGTACAACAAGTATTGGAAAAGACTTCAAGTTACATTACACAAGCACCCAATGCACAGAATATTCAGAAACGTACTCTTCACTTGTTAGACATTGTCAAGGATTTGATTCAAGAGAAGAATCCCAATGATACTCTTCAAAGATTTGTTTCCTTAACGAATAAGATTATTCGTAAATATGCTGATCAAGTCAAAGATATCACTCAAGAGACAAGTCAACAATTGAGTGGTACCTCTCAAGACGTGATTTCAAGTTCAAGTCAAACCTTGGAACAACAAGTGAGAGAAAAACAACCTCAAGTACAAGAGACCTTGTATGATGCTGTTCGAAACTTTAGTAATTTCATCTTTGAATTGTTTCGATCTCCTCACTTTCGATTACTCATGATTGATACGTTGAATTATTTGAGAGTACTCTTTAGAAGTAATTTGAAGAGTATTGAGAGACAAACCGATGAAGGATTGAAGCAAGCAATTCAAAGACTTGTCAATACTTTCCAAGATGAAGAGATTGAGGAGAAGGTGAGTGAATATGTTGAGAGTGCCAAAGACAAGGTCTTGAAAGAAGGTGTTCCACAATTGCCTGGTGTCTCTGAACAAACCAAGAAGGAGATTCAATCGGATTGGTCCAAACCACTCATTCAAGTTGGCTCTCAGAAATCAAGTCAACAACAGGAACCACAAGCCTCCTCAACACAAAAACAACGCCAAGAAGAACATGAACAACTACTACACGACGAGAAGAAGATGGTCGATGAGAATGTACCTAGTGATGAACAAATCTCTCTTCAAAAAGATGTTGAACAAAAAGAACAATTAGAGGATCAACTCTTTGATCGATTCAATCAACTCATTCAAGAATTCTCTCAAAATCCATCCTATAAGAAATCCGTGTTAGGCTTCTTCAATATCTTTGATCAATTGAAGAATATTCTTGTAGAGAGTGTATCTGAACAGAAAGAACAAGCCAAAGAAAGTTTGGAACAAGTGAAGAATGATTTGACTGAACAAACCTCTCAATTGGTTCGTGATATGAGAAATGATCCAGATTTCCAAGAATTATTGGATTGTGGTAAACAATTAATTGTTCAATGGACTGGAGGAGATGAACAAATTGTCAATGCCATGAGAAATTCATTGCGTGATATCTATCGTGCATTCAAGAATGATAAAGAATTGAATGAATTATTCCAAGAGAGTGAGAATGATATTAAACGATATTTAGACAATCCTCAACTCATGCAACAAGAATTGAATCATATCAAGTATAATTTGAGAAGAATTCGTGAAAAGATTGTAGAAAAGAAGGATTTACGTGCCATTGATCGATTCAATTCTCAATTGAATAGAGCCATTCAAAAGATGCGTAACGATGAATTATTGAATGAATTGAATGCAGAGTCTCGTCAATTACTCTCAGATCTCTTTTTAGATTCAAAGGGTGAATTTACATTCAAGACAGAGACCATTCAAGAATTGAGAACCATGTTAGTCGCTCTATTGAAAGAGAGTGTTGAGAAATTGACTGATTTAGACATTCATTATATTGATTCAGATCTCGAGTACAAGTTATCAAATCTTCATATCAATGCCAGCGATATTCTACCTTCTCATGTTGCTTTCAGTGCACACTCAGTCACGAACATTGATTACAGTGAAGAGAATTTGGCACAATCTCTTCAAGGTACCAAATCCATTCTCGTCATGCACTTGTCAGGAATGGTATGCCATTTGAAAGATGTTCAATTCTCATTCCAACGATTTTCATTCCCTCAAATCAGTGATGAAGGTTTATTAGATATTGACACTGGTGATATTGGTTTAATGATACACTCCAAGATTCTCATTGATACGACAACACCAACCATTGGTAATGAATTCTTTTTGAGTGAATCTGTGAGTGTGGATATTGATGAATTGAAATTGACCTTTACCAAAACAGCTCATCATCAATTGCTCTTGAAATTACTCTCTCCATTCATTCAGAACAATGTGCGAAGAAAACTCAAAGAACAAATTCAATACGTGTTGAATTATTCTCAACAGCAGGCATTGCACAAGTTGAATCGTGCTTTGGAACAGACCATGAAGAGTAATAAGGGAAATATTGGATTGTCCTCATGGGTGATGGGTGGTGGAAGTGGAATGGAAGGGGGTGGTGGATCTAGTACAACGACTACCACTTCGGACGTGCTTGCCTCAAAGATTGGTAGTGCGACTGTATATACAGGTGGTTATCAAGAATTGTGATCAAAAGAGTATGAGTGTGTGGTGTAATACGAGTGAAAATGAATGAACACGTGAGATTAAAGGTGAATCATTTCATGAAGAAGTGTTTAAATTTGTTTGAAATGATATCATAGGGTGAAATGTTGTGTTGATTAAAATCCAACAAGATCGATCTTCTCGACAGAAAATTTTTGTGAACTCTTTGCGGACATTCAAGTACAAGACTTCTTGTTGCACATCAACAACACTTTCAAAAAAATAGATTCTCGAGAGGAGCGCAGTGTAGTAGTTTTGTTGTTTGTTGTTGCTCCTCTGTTCTGAATTTATTCGTCATGACCTCAACAAACAGTCAGAACTTTCTCGGAGTTGTTGGTAGTGGAGGCGGTGTTGATGAAGAAGCGAACGAACATCACACGACCACCTCCCAACAACAACAACAACAAGACAATGATTCAACCACCGCGACGACCTCTTCTTCATCCTCTTCTCCAATAATTTATTCCAACAATCCCTATGCAACGACTCCTCATAATAACAGCAACAACAACGAGGCTTTTATAGAATTAGAAGAATATTCATCCCGGCCATCGAATCAACAACAAGCCTATAACGATCATGAAATACCCGACAAGACCACAACTACCTCGCAAGACTCCATTTCATTCACGCCAACGCCTCTCAAAGATGCTCAATGTTCAACCATTCTACTTGTCGATGAATCAAGTCAATTCATGAATACCACAACAACAACAACCAAAACATCATCCAGTAGAAGTAGTAAAAATACTACAAGCAATACATCATCCTCTTCAGCATCATCATCCCATCATGACCATCATTCCATAGTCACATTGACAAAGGAAGAATATGAATTATTGAAACAATTACAACAAGAAAATGAAGAATTGAGAAAAATTATAAATTCAAACGTCGTAAAGGAGAGAATTAATACAGAATTGGTGAAAAACTCATCACCACTCGTAGTAGCACCACAGACTTTAAAAACAACCATTGATCCAAATACTACCAGTCACACAACTCTCACGTATCGAAGTCATGTCAAAAACGCAACCAATCATGACGATGAACAAGATCATATGGCCAAAAAGTATTTAAACATTCCAAGTGTTCTTTCTCAACCACAAAGTGATACAAAACAAGAAGAAAAGAAGAAACATCACAAAACTTCCTTTAAATTTCCAAATATTCAAGAATTTAAAAAATTTATCATTTCATTAATTTTCCTCTATTGGACCTATCTATCACATAATTTAAGAGAAATTAGAAAACGTAAATTAGCCTATCTATTAGGTGTTGGATCATGTGTGGTGGTGGTATTTGTTGTTTGTGTTTCATTAACCGTTTTACAACAAGTTCCAATTATATTTTTAAGATTAGCAGAAAATAACAAGTATGAAGCAGATATGGTCATTACTCCATCGAATGCCATCTCTTCAACAACAGCGTTTAACTTGACTGCAATGAAAGATAATATTATTAGAGCAACAGGACAAAAAGATTATGAATCTAAATATTCATATCATTCACCAAGAATTGAATTAACTTCTCAAAATATTTATTCAAGTTCATCATGTAAAACTGAAAATAATGGTGTTTCATTACCATCCTTTATAGACTCGTTTGATGACATGGACAAAATCTCATGGTTCTATAATGGTATTAATTCTTCATCTTCCTCTTCATGTCGAAGATCATCAAGTTTTTGTGTACCAAAATATTGTACTCAAGTGGTCAAGAGTAATTTATATATTCTTGATTTGGAGAGAGAACGTAGAATGGAATTTGGAAGAGCCTTTGAATATCCTTTACTTCAAAAGAATGAAGCTTATGTTTCATCATCGATGGCATCTAATTTGAATTTAAAAGTTGGAGATACTTTTATCATTCAAATGAATACCAAAGAAGTATTGAATGGACCATTTAGACAAGCTGATTTAATTTATGATCCTTCTAACTCGACTCTTGTCGATAAGGTTCTCAAATTTACGACATATTTTTCATTTCGAGTCAAAGATATCATTCCACATAATTTTAGAAAAATGGAATATACAGTGAGAGATTTTATTTTTATCGAGTACAAGTATTTACTACATTCTATAGCACCCTATTTAAATCCAAATCAATATTCAAAAACATCTCTCATGAATTTATTAAGAGTCAATATGGATGAATATGCCAAAGTTGTTTATTGGAATTTAGCACCAAGTAGAATACAAAAATATAATTTACAACAATATACGGATGTGAGATCATTGGTTGTCAATTTTGCATCCTCTCTCTCGTATTATATTGGATTTGATCAAGTCTCACAAACCTATCCAGTATTACAATTTTTAAATAGTTTGAGATTTGTTTCCATGTTCTTGAGTCTTATTATTAATGTCATTATTACTATTTTGACATTACTTTCCACCGTATTGATTTATTCTCTATTAATGATCAATGTTGAAAATAGAACCTTTGAAATGGGTGTATTGAGAATGATTGGAATGCATCGGAAAGGCTTAATTCAGTTAATTATCATTCAAGCCTTTTTATATTCCATACCAGGATTGCTTTTGGGTTTAATTTCAGGAGGTGCAAGTTATGTGGGTGTGAGTTATTTATTGGGATATTTTTTTGATGCGAGGTGAGTGTGTTGTGGTTTTTTTTTTGTTTTTTTGAAAATGTGTGTGTATATGTGTGTATATACATCTATGTGTGTGTGTGTGTATATATGTGTTGTGTGTGTATATATATGTATATGTGTGTCTATGATTACATTTCATGATGGTAATATCTAATACTCCTCCAATATAATGGATATTTTCATGTGCTGAATATCATGATTACATAATGATGGTAATATTATGTTCTAATACTCCTCCAATATATATACAAAAATAGTCTCTCTAAATTACTAGATCCCACATCAGTGGGTGTTGCTATTGCACTTGGACTGGTCATTCCCATTCTCGCCAGCTTGTTACCAATCAAATCAGCATTGGGTCAAAATTTGCATGACTCTCTCGACACGGAAAGAAGTAAAACCAAATCCATTGAATATTCCATTGAGAGAAATTCTGAAACATCCTTCTCTCCGACTTTGGTAGCAGTTCCTCTTCTTGCCATTGTTGCTGGATTTTGTGTTTATTACTTCTTCCCAAGTGCATTATTAACATTGAATTTAAATATTCTATTGAGCATGTTCTTTGCAGTATTGCTTGGAATGTTATTAGGACTTGTCGTATTGGCACTCAATTTAGAAAATATTTTAGAAGCCATTCTCACTCATTTATTACTATTTTGGGAACATGTAGCATTGAAACAATTAATTTTAAAGAATTTAGTAGCACATCGAGTTCGAAATCGTAAAACAACCATCATGTATGCCATGTCTTTGGGATTTGTTATTTTTGTATCCATTGCCTTTAATTTACAATTATCTAATTTTAAATACATTTCAATACAAGATTATGGAACACGATTGATCGTAACAGATAATAATAGTTTAGAAATTTCAAGTTATTTGGCACAATTAGAGTGGTATTTGATGAATTATCATCGACAAGTGGTAAAAGATGTTTCATTCATGTCCTATCCATTGACGTATTATACTGCGTATTCAAAGAATGAAATTTCAACTATGGGTAAGTGTTTGTGTGTATTGTATGTGTGTGTGTACATTTGAATGTGTGTGTGTGAATATGAATATATGAATGTGTGTGTACATTTGAATATATGGATGTGTGTGTGTACATTTGAATATATGAATGTATGGATATGAATGTGTGTGCGTGTGAATATGAATATATGAATATGAATGTATGGATATATGAATATATACTTGTTCAAAATCTTGTCATACCTATTGCCCATGCATGAATGACACACTCGATCAGGTGGTTATAAAACATATACACAAACTATTCGATGTGTTCCTCCCAATTTCTTTAATATTGCCAATCCATACTTTTTAATTACTGATCAAACCTCACGTGAGAATTCATATTCATTGAGTGAACAATTATATACCATTTCAGGATCACAGAGAATACTCATAGGAACAGCTTACAAACAATTACTCTCTTTAAAGAATTTAGAAAACATGTTGGTAGTGAAATATACAACACCCACAGATCGATTTCCAATTTATAATTATACATTGATGAAACCAATGGCATTTGTGAATTCAGCACCTGTATTTTTATTTTCTGCATTTCCAAGTTCAACTTCACAACCAGCTGTGGTTTCATGTACAACGTATATGAGAATGGCAAATCAAACATTTAACTCTCTCATGGATGTACCTATTGAAAGATTATTTATTGATGTCTATAGTAATGCAACAGAGAATCAAGTGAAAGCATTTAAGAGTGATGTAAGTATTCATAGTGGTGGGAGTGTTATTCTATAGAATTTATTGTACTGCACCGTTACATGATTATTCGGTACATGATGGTAAATCGGTATATTTTGAAATGATCATACATGTATATTGAAATGATACATTTTAAAATGATACCTATTGAAATGATAATACATCTATTGAAATGATAATACCCCATATATATTGAAATGATAATACATCTATTGAAATGATAATACATCTATATTGAAATGATCATACATGTATTTTGAAATGATAATACCCCATATATTGATCACAGTTTTCAAGTTATATTCGACTACTTAGTATTAGTTTGAAAGATGTCAATGACGAAATGGAGACCATTAATGTTGCTCTTGATGCTACCAACTTTTTATTACTCTTTGTGACTGTACTCTCCATGATTATGTGTTTCTTTAGTTTAGTCTCTTCACTCTACACGAACATTCAAGAACAAACCAAAGAGATTGCAATTTTGAGAGCCATTGGATGTAAAAAGTTTTTTGTGACACGACTCTATGTTTATGAAGCATTGATATTGGTGTTGGCAGCTTCATTGATTGGTATTGTCATTGGTTTTATCATTGGTTTTACCATGATGATTCAATCGAACTTGTTTACTGAACTGCCTATCAGTGTGTATGTTCCATGGCAACTCATTCTCATTGTGGTTGGATTGGCATTCTTGAGTGCATTCTTGAGTGCCTTCTTCCCAGTCGTTTCATTGTTGAGAAATGGAATTGTAACCTTGTTGAAACGAATGGTCACTTAAAGTCGTCCTATTGTATACCTTTCAGTCGTCGTTCTTATTCATGTTACCACTACTCGATATGTGAAAATATCAATCTTACTCTCATGTGTGAAAATATAAAATTCAATCTTACATTCTCGATAGATTTAGCTCCATTTATCCATTCGCATGCATTTTCAATTGAAAACGGAACCACCACCTTTTTCTTTTTGTTTGGATGTGTCTGTAGCACTTAGATTGCACCTGGTTTGCAGTATAACCATTGGTCTTTCCAAATTATTTGAAACACTTTTTGACTTTTTTTGGCTTCCACACCTTCTTTTATTCATTAGATTTTAAAAGGGTGTAGAAGGTTAAAAACTCCAAAAACCGCTCAGCGGAAAAAAAGTTAATGTTCAATTTCTTGTCGAAAACAAGGCACTGTCATAATGTTCCTCCTTACCACAAGAACATTAAAGGAACTTGAACAAGCTTAAGAAAGCATGATAAGGGTGGAGTGCGATGGGTTGATGCATCTCAATAGCAATGCTATTAACAACGAAAGTGTGGAATACATTGCCAACAGTATGAGAATGAAAAATTTAAAATATGGAAACAACAATGGCAATGAAATTATCAAAAATATTACCGGTAGAGATAACAATTTAACTTATCTTAGTGACAACGTCATAGGTTTGGAAAGTATTAACGATAGCGAATACTTGAAGAATTTGTCTGGAACTGTTACTAGAACGGAAGTTATCGTAACTTCCAGTGCAACCTTTCCCGCATCATAAGTGCGTCAGTGAGGTGTGGGTGTGAGATTAAAAATCCTGTCTGGAACTGTTACTAGAAACAACAACCTGTCAACAACATTGTGACATACCTTGTTTAGAAAAAAATGAAAAAGTTGAAATCTCTCTTTTCGCGTGTTCGCATTCGACCAATAACCTATGCTGATGATTCGGATCCAAACCACTCAACTGAATTGGCCAAACCCGTGCTACTACCACTAGCATGTAATGATTTTATTCCATTTCTGATGGCATTCTCTTTACCGGAATCAGCAAGAAACTCCTACATGGTCCTAACAAATCCCGATATTCTCTACATGATATTTCAATACATTTCCGAAACAGAATTCATTCACGGAACATGTAAGAGAGTTTGCCAAGCTTGGTATCAATGTGCAAGGAAAGTGCCAGTTTCTATTTCGTGGTGGAGATATGATTATCAACGGATGAAAGACTTTTTATTCATCGGGTCATCCTCAAAAAAGTATTACAATATATTTCAAGGAATGGCTTTACAATCGCTTAAGTGTGCTTTTGGAACCATTGTCACAACGAAACAAATTGAAAGTTTTATGAATTTGTTGTTGGCAAGCGATTCTTTAAAAAGTGATCAACAAGCTAATGTTGAAACACCAACACATTACCGTCATCAACTTTCTCATTTTACGTTCAGTTCTAATGAACTAGATCCGCAAGGAGTGAAAATATTATTTAATTCATATTTAGCATCATTATACACCAATCAATTTACTATATCCACACATCATATTTGGAGCAATTTGAAAGAGCTAGACATATCTTACAATAAGATTGGTACTAGCGGAGTCAAAGCACTTGTGGAGAGTAGTGGACTAGCGCTGGTTTTCTCTCAACTTTTACTCCTAAATCTGTCATCTAATCGTATTGAATATGAAGGTGTGAGAATATTAATGAAAGAGGGCTTTGGTCGGCACTCATCTTCATACCTCCTGAAAACATTAAAAATGGAAGGCAATAGTATTGGCAAAGAGGGTGCCAAAGAAATTGCACAAAATCCAAATATGAATAATTTGACACGTTTGGACTTATCTTTTACAAATATTGGAGATGAAGGGGTACATTATTTGACATCAGATGGAACATTTTTACAAAATTTAACTTATTTAAATATCCACAACAGTGCCATGACTGTGGATGGTGCAAAGTATTTATCAACAAGTGAACATGTGAGAAATTTAAAGACTTTAATCTTGAGTGCAAACAGACTTGGAGAAGAAGGAGTGAAATACATGTCACAATCAGGAACAAGGTTACAAAGTTTAACTCACTTGGAAATGAATTATTGCCAAATTGGAGATGAAGGTTTGGAATGTTTAATGAACGGACATTGCATTCAAAATGTGACAGAACTAACGTTGAGAGGTAATAATCTCACTCCTCTTGGAATGAAACACATTGCAAGCGCAAAGATTAGGGGAGTCTCAGCCAAGACTCTTGGTTTTTCAAATTTTCGATATTTAGATGTGAGTGAGAATGATGATATTTGTGATGAAGGTGTAAAAGAGTTGACTCTTGCATCCAATGAAAAATTATTCAAATTACAAGAATTGAATTTATTTAGAACAAATATTAGTGATGCAAGTATTGAAGCTATCATGAAGTGTCCATACTGGAAAAATACTTTAAAATGGGTGGGTGTTAGTAAGAATCCAAACGTGACTGATGCAGGACGGAAGCTATTGGAACAAATCAAAAGTTCTAATTAAGGTAAAAATAAAACACGTTTGATGAGGGAGTACGATTTTTTTTACAACATCAATATTGCAGAGATATGAAAAAAAAAGGTGCGGTAAATATTTCAATGAACGAACATTTGAGAAATGTGAAGACAATTTTGAGTTGAAATCAGGTTGTGGTACAGGCTCGTTGGATCATAAGGGATTACGAAAACTATTTTCTGATTTCAAAAATATTAAGAAAGTTCTTAATGACTTTACAATTTTGAAAGCGAGTCGCCAAATGCACCTAAGGAGGCATTTGAATGATTTTCAACACTTCTCATTCCAAGTCTCCGATTTTATAATTTTCTTGTTTTTTGGTCATCATGGTACAAAATCAACTCATTCTTGAGTGCCTTCTTCCCAGTCGTTTCATTGTTGAGAAATGGAATTGTAACCTTGTTGAAACGAATGGTCACTTAAGAATCTTTTGATGTACTTGTCATAGTGCTGAATGAGTTGAGTTCTTGTGTTTTACTTGATGTACTTGTCATAGTGCTGAATGAATGAGTTGAGCTCTTGTGTTTTACCACTTAGGGCATTCATGGCTTTTTGGTACACCGACG